AAAAGTGCAGAAAACTTTTTTGACATAAGAAAATCAATATTATTAGCATCAGTAACTGCTCAATTTGGTATTCTTAGCGTAATCGAACTGCAAATAAAATGGTTATCAAAGTAACTACCTAAGTCAAAGACATATGCTGCACAATCTATACACGCCGACGCTTTCCCTAGTATAGGTAGTAGTTATACTCCAAGCCATCCATTCTAACCTCTCACTTGGGAATGATGCTTCGAGTATATGGTGCTTCTTGTAACAGGGAACATACATATTGAAAACAAACTATAAAATTTTTAGTATACACGCTTGAAGGGTGGCACAGGCTTGCACTCCTTCTCATCCAAAGTCTGGTCCTGAACGGCACGGTAGGTAAGGTCAACCTTGCCGTGGGGGTTCTTTTGGTAAGTAAGAGTGTGCTTCATCCAGTTCTCGTCGTCACGGTCGGGGAAATCTTCACGGGCATGGGCACCACGAGATTCCTTGCGGTTAGCAGCGGCGTGGGCGGTTTGGGTGCTATGTCTGATTAGTTATACGTCCATACGAAACGTTGAAGGTTGTACTTACGCGCAGGTCAACAAGTTACGGAGTTCAAGGGTCTCAACCAAGTCGGAGTTCCAGATCATGGAGCGGTCCTTGGTACCAACCTGGTCGAACATGGCATCGACTTCAATAATCTTGGCGACACCCTCGTCCAAACTTTCCTGAGTACGGAAGACGCTGACATCAGTCTGCATAGTCTTCTGCATAGCGTTACGAATATCGTGGGTGGACTTAGGACCATCTGCAGTGCGGACGAAGTCAAGATCCTTGATAGCCTGAGCACCAGCATCGGAGGCGAGTGGCTTGTGAGCCTTTCCGGGAGAAGAGATGTCACGGACACGGTGGGAAACAGCACGACCGAAAACAATCAAATCGAGGAGAGAGTTGGCACCAAGACGGTTGGCACCGTGAACAGAGACACAAGCAGCCTCACCACAAGCGTACAAACCAGGAACGGTCTTGTCGTTGCCGTTCTCGTCCAAAGTAATAACCTCACCAGTGTAACGTGTAGGGATACCACCCATGTTGTAGTGGACGGTAGGAAGGACAGGAATAGGCTCCTTGGTGACATCAACACCAGCGAAGATAGACGCGGTCTCAGAAATACCAGGGAGACGTTCGTGCAACAACTCAGCGGGCAAATGGCTGAGCTGAAGGTAAATATGATCCTTCTCAGGACCAACACCACGACCCTCGCGGATTTCGAGGGTCATAGATCGGGAGACAACGTCACGAGAGGCAAGATCCTTAGCGGTGGGGGCATAACGTTCCATGAATCGCTCACCCTCAGAGTTGAGCAAGATACCACCCTCACCACGAGAACCCTCAGTAATCAAGCAACCGGCACCATAGATACCAGTGGGGTGGAACTGAACGAACTCAAGATCCTGGTTAGGAAGACCAGCACGAGCAACCATAGCCATACCGTCACCGGTACAGGTGTGGGCAGATGTGCAGCTGAAGTAAGCACGTCCGTATCCACCGGTTGCGAGCACAGTGTGGTGAGCCTTGAATCGGTGAAGAGTTCCGTCCTCCTGGTTATAAGCGATGATACCTCGGCACTCACCGTCCTCCATCAAAAGGTCCAATGCGAAATATTCAATGAAATAGTTTGTGTTGTGTCGTAGGGACTGTCCGTACAATGTGTGTAGAAGAGCATGACCGGTACGATCGGCAGCAGCGCAGCATCGGTATGCCTGACCACCCTTGCCGAAATCTTGTGACTGTCCACCGAAGGCACGCTGGTAGATACGTCCATCTTCGGTACGGGAGAAGGGGCAACCGTATCCCTCCAACTCGCGTACACTGGCGGGAGCTTCTCTTGTCATGTAGTGAATAGCGTCCTGGTCACCGAGCCAATCCGAACCCTTCACGGTGTCGTACATGTGCCATCTCCAGTCATCCTTGTGCATGCTACAAGTAGTTAGAAAAACCTCCAACCGACAATTCGAAAGATAACACCTACTTTCCGAGAGCTGCATTGATACCACCTTGGGCAGCAACGGTGTGGCTTCGAGTAGGAAACAGTTTGGAGACACAAGCAGTGTTGAAGCCAGCTTCCGCAAGACCGAAGGCGGCTCGCAGACCAGCACCACCGGCACCGACGACGACGGCATCGTACTCGTGGTCCTAGAGAAGTAAGCATTGACCAAGTCGTGAGCGAGTATTGCGTACGACTTACAATAATTGGGTAATTCTGGGCAATAGGACCTTCGGCGGCCTTTGCACGAAGAGGGTTGGAGCCGAAAATGCGAGCTATGCGATCCGACGATTAGCAATCGCAACCATCGACTAAAAACCACGCTTATTTCTCCAAACATACCGGCAGGTCTCGTCGAGGAAAAGTTTCGTCGTTGATCTCTAAGGGCTCTCGAGATCTAATCGCGAAAAATCGTTAGCTTTTTACAGGATTGATGACGGTCACGAGGGGCTGTAGTTCGGATGAGGGCATGTCGACGGACGGGACTGACCTTTGACGCAGGAGCCAAGCTCCGCAAGCTCAACGAGCTCATGATTATCCTTATACAGGCAAAAGAACGCCCGTTATTATATCAATTCACCCGAAGAAAGGAAAAGGAGAGAGGACGGAGCAGAGCGCGATGTAGAGAGGGGAGAGTGCCAGAACTTGCAGAAAGTTGAGGTTCTTCTGAAGGCTGTCGTCTTTGCCGGTAATTGCTGTCGGTTGAGGGAACGGGCGGCAGGCCGAGAAGCTAGTTACATAAGCAGCCAGGCGTTGCCGAACGGATCGAGCCAATCAGCGTGTCTGTAGAGGTAATCAAGGACCCCCAACCGCGGATGTGATTGGCTGGGTTGGCTGTCATCACGTGCGACATCTACAACCGGAAAATATAGGAATATATGGCCAGCGGCTATATGGCAGCCGAAGTACTGCTCCTAAGACAAATGTATACAAAGCTACCGAGCTGCCTTTCGAGTTACATCATACTGGAATATAATTACTAAAGTATAGAGATACCGCCCTTTCTTGCCATATATCTTCAAAAATCATGCATGCTATGGAAAATGATCATACAGTACATATATTCTGCCCAAGAGCGCCGTCTACCGGAATGATCAGAGAAATAACACAACAATCCACGATACATCCTAATTGTATTGCATATATGTCGCGGTGGAGTTGAACTTGAGGTTGCCCTTGATTACCTTGTCCACAGCAGCTAAGAAGTCCTTCTCGGTTGCGACCTTCCGACGAGCACGAATGGCGAACATGCCTGCCTCGGTAGCCACACTGCGTAGTTCAGCACCAGTGGCATTAGGGCAAAGTCTAGAAATCAGCTCCCATCGAATGTCGCGCTCTACAGACATGCTTTTCGCGTGAATGCGAAGAATGTTGGCACGGCCTTCCATATCCGGTAACGAGAACTCAATCTTTCGGTCAATACGACCAGGACGCATCAAAGCAGGATCCAGAGTAGAAGGACGATTGGTAGCGAACATGACTTTGATGTTACCACGAGAATCGAAACCATCCAATTGTGTAATAAGTTCCAACATGGTACGTTGAACCTCGTTATCACCTCCAGCACCGTCATCAAAACGGGCACCACCGATAGCGTCGATTTCGTCGAAGAAAATAATGCAAGCTTTCTTGGTTCGTGCCATTTCAAAAAGCTCTCGGACCATACGAGCACCTTCACCGACATACTTCTGCACCAACTCACTACCGATCACACGGATGAATGTGGCATCGGTACGGTTCGCGACAGCCCTAGCGCATAGTGTTTTGCCTGTACCAGGAGGTCCATATAGTAGGGCGCCTTTGGGAGGATCGATACCCAGATTGACGAAACGTTCGGGTGACAGTAATGGCATTTCAACAACTTCTCGTAATTTTTCGATTTGTTCTTTGCTTCCTCCGACATCTCCGTAGGTCACATCAGGCTTATCCTCGACTTGCATCATCGTCACGCTAGGATCGATCTTCGGAGGGAGAGGGAGCAAGATCTGGTATTTATTACGGTCGACACTGAAAATCTGTTAATATCAAGATTTCCTAGCTCAGGATCACAGATTAAACCTACCCAACTCGCATGCCCTCTTCGATATCTGTAGGACTAACCCGTTCACCGAGGTTGACGACGAACTTTGCAATCTGTTTAACGTTGATGACATATTTGCTCTTTTCAGGGTCTTTCTCGTCTTGGATGATCTTTGTGCATCGTGCTACTTGTAGAGGCTGTTCTTCGGCCATACGTTGTCGGTCGGCGGCAACATCCCATAAGTGTGGAGGGGCGAGACCTGTATCGGATTCCTAGATCGTGCTTATCAGTAAATAGTCATCATTGTTCCAGCGATAATCTATACCTTAACACCAATCTTCTCGTTGACACTCTGTTGTTTTTCCTTGATCTGCTTCTCAAGCTTCTTTAGCGCGGCGGCGTACGGAGCAGCTCCATATGTTTTGAGCACTTGAATATCCCTAGACTCCTGGTTAAAAATATCCGTTAAAACAGTAGTAGGATGAATTTACTCGTCGGTAAGTGGTGTAATCTTCTTCTCTGGTATCTCATCATCTGCAAAGTTCTTCTGGTACTTCTCCCAATTGGATCCCGTAGCACTGGGCATCTTGACGACTGCCGCAAAGGCGTGGGCGCGGATTAATTAGAAACAGGAACGGAGTCTATATTGATGTTATGAAGAGCAAGATCGGGAGATATAGACGCGGATAGGCGATGATGAAAGGTGTCGTAGGATGAGGAGATGGAGTTAGTGAGTTGTTGTGGTAGAAGAAGGATGATGTTAGTAATGAAGCTCGAGCTGTCCGAGTGACCGACGTAGGTCTAGCTGTCCGCGCTAGCGCCTTGCCAAGCATCCAAACCACCACCGCCTGCCGAACTCTGAAATTCCGAAAAGAGCGGGCAACAACTTTTGACTCCGCGATCAACGACTTATTTCTTATCACTTTTCGAAGTTCCTGTGTTTGTTGATACTCTTCAGACATTATGGCATCAGCAGTAGCCGTCCCTAGCGGCGCCGGCAATTCTGCCTTCAAGGTAAGTCGAGAAATGTTGTGATGGCGAAGCGGGGGTTTACTAACACCATGATCAGGATAAGGAGAAGCCCATGGCAGTGCGCAATGCCAACATTCTGGCAGCTCGAGGTTTGCTATTCCTACTCAAATCCATGTGCTTATCAATCGCTAACACAATGTAGCTGTTGCCGATGCGATCAGAACGGTATTGTTTCTTGATCACCCCGCAGAAATATTTGATTTCTAACAGTATGCAGTCTTTGGGGCCCAGGGGTATGGACAAGATGGTATGTCGTGTTATAGTCTCTTGACCATTTTGAGCGGTCCCTAACAGTCATATAGATTCAAAGTGGAAAAGGCAATACGATCATTGTGTGTACATCTCCTCCGTTTCGTCCGATATACACTGACTCCCCAGACCAACGACGGAAACACCATGTTGAAAAGTATGAGCGTTATGCATCCCGCAGCAAAAATGCTTGTCGACCTCAGTGCTGCTCAGGATATCGAAGCCGGTGATGGAACAACCTCTGTCGTCGTAATCGCTGGCAGTCTGCTCGGTGCTGCCGACCGACTGTTGTCGAAGGGTAAGCTATCAGAAATCTAGCATGGTTTTGAGGATGGCGACTAATCGTCTAGGTATCCATCCTACAATTATTTCCGAGTCCTTCCAAAGAGCAGCAGCAGCCGCTGTAAACATTCTTCACGATATGTCACAGCCCATCTCCCTGTCAGACCGAACCACCCTTTTGCAAGCCGCGTCGACTTCCCTTTCATCCAAGATCGTTTCACAACACTCAAATCTCCTCGGACCTATGGCCGTCGACTCTGTTCTCAAGGTCATTGACCCCAAGACCGCAGACAATGTTGATCTCCGGGATATCCGTATCATCAAGAAAGTTGGTGGCACAATCGAGGATAGCGAGATGGTGGAAGGCTTGGTTTTGAACCAACCTGTCATCAAGAGCGGAGGTGGCCCTACACGAATTGAAAAGGCTCGGATAGCCTTGATTCAGTTCCAACTCAGTCCGCCTAAGCCAGACGTGAGTTTTGTGGCCTTTCCATCTACGTGTTGTATCTAACCTTAACAGATGGAAAATCAAATCGTCGTCAATGACTACCGACAGATGGATAAGATCCTCAAAGAGGAACGGCAATACCTCCTCAACATGGTCAAGAAGATCCAAAAGGCCAAATGCAATGTTCTCCTTATCCAGAAATCTATTCTCCGAGACGCAGTGAACGATCTATCTCTCCACTTCCTTTCCCGTCTTAAAATCCTTGCGGTGAAGGACATTGAGCGTGATGAGGTCGAGTTCTTGTGCAAGAGCTTGGGATGCAAGCCAATTGCCAACATCGACTCTTTCACGGAGGACAAGTTGGGAACCGCCGATGTTGTGGAAGAAGTTCAGGCCTCGGGAGCTCGTTACGTCAAGGTCACCGGCATCAAAGCCTCTGCTTCTACAAGCCAGACCGTCTCGATTGTAGCTCGCGGAGCCAACAACCTCATTTTAGACGAAGCAGAACGATCTTTGCACGATGCCCTATGTGTTATTCGCTGCTTGGTCAAGAAGAGAGCCCTTATTGCTGGTGGTGGTGCTCCAGAAATTGAAGTCGCCAATCAACTTGCATTGAAAGCTCGTGAACTTAGCGGCACAGAAGCTATCTGCTGGAAAGCTTTTGCAGATGCCATGGAAGTCATCCCGACTACGCTTGCCGAGAATGCAGGTCTAAACTCGATCAAGGTGGTTACTGAACTTCGCCACCGACATGCACAGGGCGAACACAACGCTGGTGTTAGCATTCGCAGCGGCGGTGTGAAGGATAATATTACGGAAGAGAAGGTATTGCAACCTCTGCTCGTCAGCACAAGTGCCATCGAACTCGCGGCGGAAACAGTGAAGATGATTCTCAGAATTGATGACATCGCTCTTTCCAGATAAACGCGAGCGGAGTGATACAACGAAACAAAATGAATGGGTTGTCTGTCATAAATGTCGGCGCATGATGTTAAGAAAAGGTTTTAGAGATGGGATCTCGTCTGTTATACCAACCCTACTTATACAGGTTCCACCTGACTGTAAAATGGCTAGCAATGCATAGTAATCACTTGGGTCTTTCTTTCTTCACTGATAATATCACATCATACTTAACAATTACTGTTTGCCCAACCATAGTACCTGTTCCGTACCGCTGCAATGGTGCCAAGACCTGGCTGTCTCGCGATTCCGGGGAACTGCGGCGGGAGCCTTAACGACCACTCCAAACAAGCATGAAACCTGTCTAACATAGATGCTCCTTCTATCATGTTTTGAAGCTTTCTTCTGTATTTTATGATTCCTCGATATTTATGAGCTATTGATAAGCCATAGTCTCAACTTCAATGTTACACTAATCTACAAATCTAAAGGGCAAACGGCGTTCGCTCGGCTCGTGTCGCAACAACCATGGCAAGGAAAGACAAGGACTCTGGGCCAGAATTCGTGCCCTTGACGAACCGGTCACACAGCTCTTCCGCTTCCTTCAGCTCGACAGATTCACTGTCTTCTGACGGCTCCCTCTTTGGCGAGGATGACGTCGACGCGCTGCCATCTCTAAAGACGACGAGGACAAAATTACCGGAAGAAGCGCCCTATCGCGATATCGACGAGGACGTGGAAGTTGAGAGAGGAGATGATACATTCTTGCAGCCGATACAGAAATCAAAAAGACAAAGAGGCAGTCGATTGATATGGGTGGTTGGATTGTTGTGCTTGGGTGGTTGGATATTGGCATTCGTATTGTTCTGGGGTCGGCGGAATAATAATAGCGATTTGAGCTCTTCGATTGCGGCTGTTCATGACGCCGATAGTGCTACCGGGGCTACGAGTTATGGGAAGCCGCTCACGCTGGACAGCGTTCTTAATGGCTCCTGGGGCAGGAGGAGACACTCGATATCTTGGATTGCCGGGCCCACTGGCGAAGACGGGCTTTTGCTTGAACGTGGTGAAGACGGCAAGAAAGGATACCTACGAGTGGAAAGCATACTCAGTCATCAAAATGAGAGTAATGCTGGAGAGGGGTGGGTTCTCATGGAGTCTGGTACTATTGAGGCCAATGGGCAATATATGCAACCTTCGGAAACCTGGCCAAGCCCTGATTTCAAGAGTGTACTTGTTGCTGTGGATTCCGTGAGCAATTGGCGGTATTCTTTTACTGCTACATATTGGATTCTTGACGTGGACACTCAAACGGCGCAACCCCTTGATCCAGATGAGCCTAAGGGCCGTATACAGCTTGCATCGTGGTCTCCACAATCCGACGCTGTCGTTTTCACACGAGACAACAACCTTTATCTGAGAAAATTAGACTCAGACAAGGTTACCCAACTCACAAAAGATGGCGGAAAGGACGTCTTTAACGGCGTCCCTGACTGGGTCTATGAGGAGGAGGTCTTTGGCACAAATAGTGCAACGTGGTGGTCCAATGACGGCAAATACGTCGCTTTCTTACGCACAAATGAATCCATGGTGCCCGAATTTCCCATAGAGTATTACATGTCTCGACCGTCAGGAAAGAAGCCCCCGGCTGGTCTGGATAAGTACCCAGACGTCCGCAAGATCAAATACCCCAAAGCCGGATCTCCCAATCCGGTTGTGACGCTTCAATTCTACGATGTTGAAAGTGCGGAGGTGTTTTCTGTCGACGTCTCGGGAGGCTTTTCTGATGATGATCGTCTTATAACAGAAGTTGTTTGGGCTTCCAAAGGAAAAGCGCTTGTCAAAGAATTCAACCGAGAAAGTGACGTTGTCCGCACAGTGCTCATTGATGTTGCTTCAAGAGTGGGGAAGCTTATCAGAGTTGACAACTTTGCGCAGGACGATGGAGGTTGGGCTGAGGTAACTCAATCAACTACATTTATTCCCGCAGATCTGGCCAATGGTCGTCCAGATGATGGCTACATTGATATTATTGTCCATGAAGGTTATGACCACTGGGGGTATTTTACTCCTATCAACAATTCAGTGCCTATTCTTCTCACCTCTGGTCCCTGGGAGGTGGTAGATACAGAACCTGCAGTTGACCTTAAGAACAACATCGTCTATCTTGTTGCAACAAAAGAATCACCATCGCAGCGACACGTCTATAGCGTCAAGCTTGACGGATCAGATTTCCAACCACTAAGCGACGTATCCAAGGCGGGATATTACGATGTGTCTTTCTCAATCGGCGGAGGATATGCACTACTAAGCTATGAAGGACCTCATGTTCCTTGGCAAAAAGTAATCAATACACCAAGCAACCAGAATCGCTTTGAAGAAGTTATCGAACAGAACGAACAACTGTCTAACATGATTGAAAAATATGCCTTGCCTGCCGAAATATATCAAAACATCACTATAGATGAGGTCACTTTACAGGTTGTTGAACGACGACCACCTCACTTCAATCCGATCAAGAAATACCCCGTCCTGTTCTGGTTATACGGAGGACCAGGGTCCCAGTCAGTAGACCGAAGGTTCTCTGTCGACTTCCAGTCATACGTTGCCTCAACACTAGGCTATATCGTGGTCACAGTCGACGGCCGAGGAACCGGCCACATCGGTCGTGCAGCCCGAACGATCGTCAGAGGCAATCTCGGCTTTTGGGAAGCGCATGACCAAATCGAGACTGCAAAAGTATGGGCCCAAAAATCTTACGTGGACAAAGACCACATTGCCATTTGGGGCTGGAGTTACGGAGGCTTCATGACGCTCAAAACACTGGAACAAGATGCCGGCCAGACGTTCCAGTACGGTATGGCCGTCAGCCCTGTGACCGACTGGCGCTTCTATGACTCCATCTACACCGAGCGATACATGCATACCCCCGAACACAACCCGACGGGCTACGAGCATAGCGCAATCTCGAATATGACTACCTTGCAGCAAAACGTTCGATTCCTCGTCATGCATGGCACGGCGGATGATAATGTGCATTTCCAGAATACGTTGTCGCTGATTGATAAGTTGGATGTGGCGGGTGTGGAGAATTATGATGTGCATGTGTATCCGGATTCAGACCACAGTATATTCTTTCATAATGCGCATAAAATGGTTTATGACCGTAAGTTTATTGAGAACTCTAGGAACTGGGTACAGGAAGCTAACGATTATACAGGTTTATCGTCTTGGTTAGTGAATGCTTTCACGGACGAGTGGCATCATGTTAACAGCGCTTTGCCGGTATCTTAGATCAAAGACTGGTTCTTGATCGTTGATTTTTAAAATGCATTGATGGGTATATCCATCGGTATATTCATTTCCTCTGTTGGATGTTTTGAAAGCGAGGCGTTGGTGTTCTTTGGGTAGCTACATAGCTAAATATGCAAATATATATTATTCAAGGATCATCTTTTGAAGTTTCACCCCGATCACAAAGCACTAAATTGCCGTACATTTACACATCATTGGCGCCTAGGATTTTGGGGGGTACATCAATTCCATCCATCAAAATCACCCACAAATTTCACCGCGGCTTTCAAATGGTACTCCTCAGGGTCCTCCCAAGCCTCTTCCAGCTCCTTCAGAACCCGCAACGTCTGCAGAAAATACGCGTTTGTCGCATGCGGGCTCTTAAGAGCCTGCTGCTTAATCCACCCCCAATCCTTGTCGTGCGTACCAGATGCCGCAATAACATCAAAATCAATCTCCGGCCGTAACTGAGCCACATATATCGCCAACGTAGTCAGCCACCACTGCTGCACAAGCGAGATGTGCACCTTATCCGGCGTATGCGGTAAGATGACCTGAATCGCATGGCTCATTAGCAGTGGATGCAAAAGAGCCTTGTTATATTTGTTTTCGGGTGTTTTGGTCCCCATGAAGAGTGCGACGGCTGCTTTCTGGCTCTCGCGGAAATGGGTGCTTGGATCGGAGGGGATGGTCCATGTATTGCAGTGATCTAGCAATGCGGCTTCGTGGTCACGGAAAATGATGGCCATGTTCTGCTCGCCGGGTATGGCTACGGCGTCGTTGTTGAATCTCTTGTCTGTGCGTACTTTGTCTAGAATTTCGGATATAGAAGAAGAACTGTACAAGGACTCGGCTTGGAAGTAGGATGGGTCATCAGAGTATTTGAAGATGTCGTTATCGTAGTATGACGTTGCGACGAGGGTGAGGGTTTCCATTGCCAAAGCGCGAACGGACATTTGCAGAGCAAGAGCGAGGTGAATTAATGGTTGTCCCGCTGGACCATGTTAGTCGAGCCTCATTTTAAGAGCGGTTGAGGTACATACAGCCAGCTGTGATTGAGCTGATCAAAGGCTGCTCGCCTGTGAATAAGAATTTCTGGAGAACAGCTTGCCAGTCATAGCCTTGGTCTACTAGATCGTCTTCAAAGAGGTCTAGAAAAGCTCGTTCATACCTATAGTGCGTTTTCTCCGGTTTAGTTACGAGGTAATGATATAGCTCAAAGGTGTCACATACTCTTTCTTCCCCAGAAAATCCATCCAGTCGCTACCGACAACCTCACCGGGAGCGTCTTTCCATGGCTCTAGTGATCTCGAGTCAACTTCATACAGTTGATCAAGAGTGTGGGCGTCGGCTCCGAAGATGAATGCTGATATCAAATGCTAGACAAAGCTCACGGGTTAGTCTCACCCCGTCCTAGTTGCATATATACATATACACCTATTCAGGCAACAAAGGGAAAAGGAAACTCGTACATGAGGTACAAGATTATACGAGCTTGCTGAGCCAGATCCATCCCCACGAATCCGCACCGAATGATTGATATGATTCAACTTCACTAGATGGAAGAGTGTTCTTGCTGTCTTCTCAACGGGATTTTCGATGTCATATGTTTCGATGGCCGGCGCGCGGATCGACGTGCTCGATCTGAGCGCGAAGATTTTGCTTAGGAAAGACGTCATTCTTATCTTTCTCCTTGTCAAAGTGTACTCGGTTTTGGTCCCATGCGACTTGTCTCGATGATCGTTAGTTTGTTGAACACATGGTGGGGAAGTCAGAGACCAACAATGAGTCTTTTACTCCTCGACCAAGCTTCGTGCATAGGCTTCGCACGTTAGAGATAGCTTTCCAAAGGCAAATTGGTTGTAATTCATTAATTGACTTGTTATTATCCAATCAGCAAGTCACCACATGGAGGTGGTCGAAGGAGTATGAGCAGGAACATGTTGGGACAGCTTATCAGCGATAAGATAACGATAAGAGCTTCAATCATATGACAAAGCCGAGGCTAGTGTTTGCTTTGTTTGCACTCATGCTTCCAGCGGAAAATCATCTGGAACTCTCAACGCGCTTTCCACCATACATAGTACACCAGGCAACACCATGGGATATCGCTAGGCGCTGCGACTTACGGATCAATATGGCGGTGATACCGACCGTATTTTTACACGCAGAACTCTTACCGAATATCCGCCAACTAACCCTCCACGTGTCTCTGCCGAATTCTGCCTCCGAAATTGACATCCGAGAATCTACCATAACACTCTCCGAGTCCTGCCGTGCAGTCACTGTTTTCACGCTTCATCAAGATGTGGAATTAGTGGAAACACTCAAGCTACCCGTTATAGTTACCGAGACATCAAGACGGAATCTAAGTTTCGCAGGACATCGCGTCGATATAGGCGGGATCGAGTCCAAAGCGCAAACGGCCGAATATTCGTTTAGATTACAGGTTGATCCCAATGATGCTGGACCGACAATATCAAATCAAGGCCTTCAGGAAGATGACTATGTCCCCTGGACCGCGAGTGATCTGTCGTCCTGCACCGCATTACACTGTAGGTTCTGCGAGCAGATGATCGTTGACACAGCTTCAAAGGCCAACGCAAATTCCTGGCAGTGGAAAGACCTGCCCAGCGGCAACTGGGCTGAGATGATGGATTTCTGGCACTGTCATAAACCTGATGTGCATCCCGATGACAAAGAGGATCAGAAAAATGTCGAATCACAGAACGCCTCGGTCAAAGGATATGGAGCTTCTAATCGAGTAGTTGCAACGCTGCGGACAGGCCTGGTTGATGTTGCTTCTTTCCTGGTGGCTGAAAGTGATTGCCAAAATACCAAGTTGGTAAGTACATGTGACGACTATACACCTGACCGTTATTCCAATCTACTGCATTATATTTTGTTGCTTTCCTCTCTTCGTAATGGTCACGTCCTTTCTCGATACATATACGCCGGGTATAAAAGAAGGAGACTCCGTCGCAACTTCACGACGAAGTCACCGATACAAATGCCCAATAGCAAGCAGCCTCATCCCTCTCTTGAGCAAGTTCTGTCTACTAGGAGGACGTTTCTCGACTTGTAGTTAGCTCGAATGTGATTGGAGATAGCTACGAAAGACTCTTTCTAGTATGGCTTGATATCCTCCTTCATGCAAATGGAGTGATGGATTTCTAGTCTAAAAGGTCGAGATTTTTGCGGCTACTTGCTTTCCATTTGTCCAGCTACGAGATTCGAAAAACTGACTGGTAGGGGAATTCAAGAGAGGTAGTGAGCGTCCTGGTACAATTCACTGGAATGTCTAGAGTAATGGGCCTCACAGCGATTATCGCAGGATACATTGATAGATTTATTTTAGATTGGTCTCTTCTCACTTAACGCGCATCAACCCAATATTCACTTGTCTTCAATGCTATTTATATTCATAACTAATCAATGTTCGAATCATAGCTTGAGCAAAGACCACAGTCAACCTCTGTGAAATCCACGTTACGCGACGGAAAGAACGCAAGGAATATAGGATGCTCCGGCTGCAGTGCAATCATAGGAACAGAGGATTCCGTCGCTGAAGGCTTGAGACTATACAAAAATAATATTTCCGTGAAACATACGGGTGCAACAGAACGAGTTTACGAAACGCATTCGATTGATATCATCACAAGCTCTCAACTCTTGGACTTGATTGACCATGAAGGTGTCCGACGATTCGTCATCCACGCTGGTCGGTCTGACGGGATCCTGGTTAGTGATACGATTTCATGCATTCTTTCTGATCGTTGTGATTGACGTTGATGCAATTAGTTGTGGGCCTTCAACCCCGATCTCCGATACTCAAGCTCAAGCGCAGATCACAGCATTGTATCGCGACGTGCTATGAAAGTTCTCTATCAGAATGTGACAAACGTCGAAGGGATTCTAGAACCAGAAAATGGCGCCCCAACCCCTCTCTCGCTCGAAGAGTTATTCCTGCCTGAGAACATCTATGACGAGTTGGTTCTGTCACTGCAACGCAGCAATCTTCTGATGCCGATATCTGCAAGGATCTTTCGTGAGTGGAATGTTGCACTACTGGATCGGCTTGAGAAACGTCCATGATAATGGCCTCTTTGAGAGAATACTCTTGATTCGATGGGGGCAAGCAATACGAAACGTACCGCTTGATTTTTACAGATTGTGCATTGTTGCAAGGGGTGACACAGTTGAAGTGGCGTAGTACTACGTCCGTACTTAAATTGTCTTCCCTTCCGAAGGCAAATGCAGCCAACCCTTGCGTACTGCATGTACCCGTGACTGTCCTGCGAACTTGCGTCTTGAGCATTGCCCACGGTTGGTAGCGCTACTTGGCGAAGCTTGTCTCTTCTGCCCAGGAGTTTATATTCTACGCTTTGAAGAACTTTAAGTCTGGGATTTCTCTGGCAAATGTCTTTCACAAATCCCAACAGATTCCAACAACCAAAATGACTTCGGATTGCATGTATCCCCAGATTGAAGAGCGCCTTATCCCATTCAACGATAACCAGGACTATGAATCAGAATACGCAGCCGAAGGATGCGACTTTAATTATCGGGAGTGGGCAAATAAACAGGAATTCATATCACTCGTCAAATCCCTCAGCGCACTAGATCTACCGTCCGCGCAACACATCGAAGACATCGAAGACATCTCGACAGGGGATCTGGATTCTATCGTTAGCGGGGACCAATTCAGCCACAGCAACAACAAAACCACCCATGTTCCTGAGCTACTAGTTTCCAATTCTCCATCCCCGCCAGAATACCCTATCAACCGTACAGCCTGGGGAAATGCCGATGATATTCCGACCCGAGTACAAAGCGCAATACTAGAGGAATTCCCACCCCTTGTTAGGTGTCGCGATGCGCCTGCAATGAGGTACTTAGATGAATATATAATGGACCTGGAGGAGTCGATGTTATCGGATTGGTCGTTTTCCTATCTTGTGAATGGCGATTATGATGAGCATCAGGAAAATGCTTCGGATACTGAGAGCGCATCAATAAGCAAGGAGAAGGAGGTTAGGGTTGCCGAAAGCAAGGATGAAGAGGATTGGTCTTTCCTTTTGCCGTCAAGCAGTACGATATCATTACGATCACCATGTACGGATACTCTGCACTACTATGAACGGGAGCTATGAGGCTACTAAAGTGAGATACCGGGTTTGTACGATATGACTGTTTTATTTATATTTTTGAGCTATGTCATCTTATAATCCATTGATACAAAATTTTTGTACCAATCTAAGCCTCAAACGGCGTCTCGCGAGGAGGCTCAGCCTGAGGAGTTATACGCGCAAGATGACGTCTCTGGCCATTTTCCCAGTCATACAAGGCCGAGTGTGCAGTAACACGGTTCTGTAACCAGGATTAGTCCATATCACTCAAATTGACGAGAAGCGCGAAGAAAAAAAAAAGTAGGAAACTCACATCCCAAACTACAACTGTACCAGGAGCCCATTTGATGCGGGTCTGGAGATCCTGCGACAATGCGATGTGTTCAAATAAGAATTTGAGTAGATGCTCGGATTCTTCCTTTTTGTAGCCGACGATGTATCGGGTGACTGTCACACAATCATGCGTCAGTCATCATCCGGCAACCTGCGAATAATTAAATTAATGAGGAGTAGACTTACACTGAGGATTAACATAAAGCGCCTTCTCGCCCGTAACGGGATGCGTCCTCACAATCGGATGCTCATGCTTCACGGGATCTCTTCGCACCGTACTCTCCCTTGCCAGCGCACTTTGCGCCTGCTCAAAGCCCGAATGCACAGCTTTAAGACCGTGAAGTCTCTTCCTGAACTCGGGGGACAACCGCTCATATGCCTTGGCCAGGTTTGCGAATAAGGTGTCACCCCCGGTTGTGGGACCGTCAAGTAGATACAAAAATGTGGTGCCCGGTGGCTGGCGCTCGTAGGAGACGTCCGAGTGCCACGTCACGGAGTTTGTGTGTTCGTGCAAGAATGTCTGCAAAAACGAGTTGTCGTCTGCGCCACGGTGCACGAGGTGGACTTCGGGGTGGCCCTTGGGAGCACCGGAGGTAGGATGGATGTGGTGACGGCCAAAGTAGCCACCAAATTCCAGAGCTTTATCGATGGGGAGACTTGCAAAGTCTTGGTCACGGAATGCTGCATAATAGATTTTTGTTAGTTTGCCGCTCTTCTCGGCCGTATAGATGGGTGTGTCTAAAACGTACCGACAACTTTACGTTGGGCAACGAACAGGGCAAGTTGGTCTTTGCCTGCGTCTGTGAGTTGGCTCAGTTGTACGCCGCGAACCTCGGAGCCGATGTATGGTGTAATCTCAGTAACTTCGGCCTTGCCAGCTGGGAGAAGGTCCTTAAGTGAAGGATCGGCATCTTTGCCATGCTCATAATGCTCGAATGGCGTCCATGGAGGGTATCTATCACACAAAAACGTCAGAAACACAACAAAATCCAGATGAATTCTTGGAGGCTTACTTCACGCCCTTCTCATTGTCCCAAACTGGGAGGTAGTTGGGGTATGTAGCGGCAGGTTGGGCCGCTGTACCCTCAAGCTCAGCCTTGTTATCAAAAGCCTCCTTGCCGCCGATGAAGAATTCCTTGTTGAAGTTCTCCGTGATATTGGACTTTGCAGCTGTAGTTTCCCGGATAGGGAGGGGGTCTTCGACTAAGGCGGGGGCCATTATGTATTTAATCAAGTCACCTAATATATATATTATTTGGTGGCTGTATAATGATGTCGATATGGAACAAGATAGACTGAGGTGCTGTCTTGGTATATGTCTAAAAGATTGTCCAGGAAGAGAAGGGAGAGTTATTATACAGTCCAGACTACGTGTTTTATTCTAGTATAAATAGCATCGACTCATATGAGTCATCTAGAAATGTTCCGAAAGGCTTGTTGATCCCCACGCATCAGTCATTCTAACGGTTTCTTAGTGGTGAATGGCCTATTGACGACATCTAAGGCACTGGCACACCATATTCTACCCTAATTGCATACTTGGGTGAGGGGTATACACCACTCATGACGAGACTTTGGTAGATCATGTGATGTTATTCATTGACCTGTGAAAAGGTCCGTTATTTAAGCCCTGTTAGTGTCGGGTTTCGATCCGGTTATTTCTCCATTTGGTTATCTTATCAACTGCAATGACCATGCAATAAGAGACTGTAATTATGCATGGTCACAACCATTGGACATGTTGATGCTACCCGTCCAATTGAGATGCAATGCTGATTTTGCTATATGGCGCAATAGACATGGTAGTTGACATGATTTGGTGTTTTCCATGTCGGCCAAGACGTGGAACCACCTCGTGGTGATCACCATGCTATCAAGATAGATGACCGTGAAGAAATCACTCTGTATAACTCGGCCTTCTCACCGTTGGCTTTTTTTCTTGACGTTTTTGCTGACTATAGACGTTGACGTCTCCTGCCTAATTCACTTGTTTCTAAGATGTTTCAATTCTTCATGATGACCTCTCGACAACTCATGATCTTGCTCACTGCGGACCAAGCGCTTGAAGATAATCGACATCGTTCAAACACTGGTATGAGTACGATATAGATCCGAGATCGGCCAAGTATCTACTTACATTAAGCCATTACAAGTTGTCGTCAATGCGACATTCGATGCGACAAGACACGGTTCAGGTTTGCTTTGTTGTCTGGCTAGCCCTAAGGACGTCCGAAATAGGAAGGAAACAGAAACCTTCCTATTTCGGCTAATCCGCTGAGAGCGCCAACTAGCAGTCCGACTCCAGAAAAAGCAGAATTTGTTTGTAGCTGCTGTATAATAAATATGCTACGTCTTGATAAATAGAGTGCTTATCAGCGAGCACACTTAAAAGACTAAATATTGCACATTACGTATCTGATCGCATTTTGACGAGGGATCATTGGAGAGGGTGACGATAACGTCAGCCCCGGCACAGTTGCGTGATAGCACGCCACAGCCAAACCCCGGCCTGGCCACGACAATCGGCACACATCCCCCATACAACTTCCTCAGTTCCTATGCACTCGAGAAATAACGTCAATGACCCTTGTTCTGTCGCAATCCTTTTATTTACGTAGTGTGGTTTTTTTAAACCTTCAAGTGGAGATTATATAAGCTTTTTGCCTTTCGCGCGGTGATCCCGTCCCTAATGGAGGAAAGAGTCCGTCTTAAATGCTCCGCTAGGAGCTTGTTGCTACGTACATACGTATACTGATGTTCAACCCTGAATCACCATGTGTTGTAACCAACATTTTAGAGAACTTGAGTGGTACTCGTCTCGCAAAGAGGAAGCAGAAGCGCTGTTGGCGATATTTGACTTTTTCCTCGACTCGCAACATTGCCCAATCACTGTCAACATGGGGATTCTTTGTATCGTGGGATGCCACCAAAGAAAAGAAAACGCAGCAACATGTGCTAGATAAAGAACGCACCCGGGATTGGCGCAACAAATTGATAAACTTTCATCCGTAGAAACGCCAGACTGCTTAATGCAGGGTAGTAAACCATCTAACGCGCATGGAACGTGCGAACTGTGGACCGGAGATTAAGGCACTTTCCTTGAATAACTGGACCTACGTATGTACCTGAACCGTCCATTTGCCAATGCGAGAACTAATCAGCCACGCATGAAAATAAATTTTCAATGTGTAAGAACATGGCTGGATCACGTCAATAGAGCAAGGATTTGCAGTCGGGTCTCTAGTCTTTAAATCGGAGCCAATCACCCGAATTTCAATTGCATCTCAGCTTCTGTACTTCTAGACAGATTTTGCCGGCACCAGAAGATTGTGTTAAAGACCGCAAGAGATTTAACCATGTCTGGCAAGAGTGAACTCCCAGTCGATAGCCGGTACGTCTCGAGTGGCTCCGACAACTCCGAGCCAGAGTATGCGGCTACTACAACAGGTCGTGGAGGGGAAGCTTTTGAGGCTTTGACGAATCGCGTCTCGGGCGGCGATGCGACGTTTGACCAGACGGAGGATCCGCGCTATTACAAGCCCATTGAATCCTATGAAGGTATTCACCGATGGGATCCCGAGTTTGAGTGGGAGGAATGGGAGGAGAAAAAGATCGTTCGAAAGGTGAAGACTCCGTTCCTATACTCAATACGAATTTCACAAAATTGACGGTGGATTACAGATTGACCTGCGAATATGTACATTCGCATGCCTGACATTCTTCGCCCTGCAGCTCGACAGAGGCAATCTCGTCCAAGCCACTTCGGACAACATGTTGACTGACCTAGGCCTAACGACCAACAACTATAACACCGGTAACACCATATTTTTGGTGTGCTTTCTCTTTGCCGAACTGCCGTCTCAGCTCATCTCCAAAAGACTTGGACCAGATCGCTGGATTCCGATTCAGATGGTCTGTTGGAGTCTGATCGCATCATGCCAGGCTTTTCTCACCGGTCGCTCGACATTCTACGCTACTCGCGCTTTGTTGGGGTTGTTTGAAGGTGGATTGTAAGTTTATCCTTCTTCTGACGAGGTCGAGTGCACCACCTGTTACAGACTAGACGCTAATGCAAAAAACAATAGCATTCCCGACACCATCCTGTTCCTGTCTTATTGGTACAAATCAAAAGAGCTACCTATCAGACTCAGCTTCTTCTGGTCAGCCTACGAATTTACAGCCATCGTCGGCGCCTTCCTGGCCTTTGGCTTCCTCCACATTCACACTGATACTGGAAAGGGTCAATGGCGATACCTATTTGCGTTGGAAGGTCTCATCACTGGCGTCATCGGCATCTTCGCCGCATTCTACATGCCTGCCTCCCCCACGCAGACAGCAGGCGGCCTTCGTGGAAAAGGTTGGTTCTCCGAGCGCGAAGAGAAAATTATGGTCAACAGAGTCATTCGCGACGATCCAAGCAAAGGCAGCATGCACAACCGACAAGCCATCACACCCAAATTGCTTCTAGAAGCTCTGTACGACTATGACATGTGGCCTATTTACATCCTGGGTCTTGTATGGCTGATCCCCACGAACCCCGTAAACTCCTACCTCAGTCTGGAATTGAGGTCCCTCGGTTTCGGCACATTCCAAACTAACTTGCTCACCATCCCGGCGTACACCATATTTATCATCAATCTCGGACTATTCACCTGGCTATCTGAGAAATTGAATCAACGACTGTTACTCGGCGCGTTCGCAGAGATTTGGAACTTGACCTTCCTTATTGCCCTCGAGGTTTTACCACGAGACAAAAGCGCTTGGGCTCGCTACGCCTTGTTGATCCTGTTGATTGGAAGCCCATATATGCATGCCGCAGTCGTAGCCATGACTTCACGAAACTCGGGCTCTGTGCGGACACGAACTGTGGCATCGGCTGTGTACAATATGGCAGTACAGACCAGTAGTATCATTGGAGCAAATGTAAGCTCATCCAGGTTTCTTCATCTTGCAGAATGGAACACTAATCATGATATCGTTTAGATATACCGGAGTAACGACGCGCCTCTCTATCTCAGGGGTAACAAGGTTCTCATAGGCCTTGCCGCTTTCAGTCTGTTCTTGTTCTTGTTTGCCAAAGTATACTACGATCTAAAGAATTAGTATGTACTTGCCTTTCACGTTTTCCGTTCATTGTTTGAGGTGGCAACCACTAATCATGTGAAACACTATAGCTACCGAGCACGAAAGTGGAATGCCATGAGCAGCGAGGAACGAGACGCATATCTGGCTGCTAACAAGGATAGTGGAAACAAGAGGTTCGTATTATCCCCTTTCTTGTTGTGTTAGAGCATAAATACTGACTGAACTCCAGATTGGATTTTAGATTCATTTCATAAACTCCACGGCGTTGTACAAACAACGTACGATTGAAAGGCTAGGGTTTCCAATACACGAACTGAAATTTCTTCTACTGTTCAGATCTAAATGGAATCATGAGGGAGAACCGTTGCTAAATAACGATGCTTTAGACAATAAATTAAGGTATCTTGAGATAAATACAAAATTGTATATCTAGATGTATCATACAGCACGAAAAATTCTAATTGATCAAATCTAAAGGATTCCGGTCAATTTCTCCTCTTATAAACTGGTGGACTTTAGATCCACGATCATTGAATTGATCACGAACTGATGAATATACTTCGTAATCAAGTTCATCTAATCCGCCACCAAGGGGATGCGCAAAGCCGACCTGTACGTTCTTCATCTTTGCCATACGTAGTTTTTCTAATAAATGCTTCCAAGAGCCATTGCAAAGATAGACTTCGTGAAGTCTGAATTCTATATGATCATCCTCATCGTCATCGACCATGGCTTGACTAACGATTCTCTCTAGATCCGTCGTAGTGAGAGGAGTCTGTGTTAAGTGAAGGGATCTCATTGCTCCCGATTCGCGAAACCAGTTAATTCCGAGAGAGGTCGGCGCATGACGGATTGAATCGAAACCAGCACCAATCCAAAACTCTCCTAGATTGATATCCGCGTGCTCAAGGGTTTTACAATCTAGTATGGCGCCGAGATATTTATCGAGTGCTTGTAGCTCTGCGGCGGATTTCAAATTCGATCCCGCTCTCCTCACTTCAGCGCCATCGTCATCGACATCGACGTCTATAGTCCAGGGGCCACAGCCACTGGCACAGCGTGGCTGGAAACCGAATTGAAATATTTCCATGGAATCCATGGCAGCTGTCAAGGAGCTGAGGGATTCTGGATTTGTTGGCAACCGAGTGTAATCTGGTGCAGTCGTAACTTGGATATCCAGGAAATCGACCTTGATMCCTTTTGTCCCGCCAATAGCCATTGGTATCTCAAACAACAATTCGATTGGTACGCCTTGCCGTATTTCTTCTGTTGGTTGAATCCATTGTGCATCCTCCCAGACCATTGGACGCGAAAAAACAGAAACAAGAGCAGTCTCGTGGCCAACATGATCATCTTGAGGTACACGAATAGTCGTTCCTGGACCGTAATTGTTGTGAAATTCACGATCGTAGATAGTGACTCGCCGGAGACCCTCAAACTTCGATAACGTCTTGGAGAGAACAGAGCTAAAATCTCCGTCGCGCATAATACTATCCTGGGATTCGTATCCAGTCTTATATAACTTATAGGCTCTCTGCAGGACTATTATGGGGCGAATTTGATTTATATCTGGCGCATCAACATTGTTGGCTGTCGATTGCTCTTCTAATTCATGATGGCCAGTATCACCTACGGTTTGGTCAAGACTGCGGATAAAATTCCATGCGATCCGCTCGAAATTCCAAATACTGCCTTGTTGCTGTTCTTGTTCATAGTACTGTTGAGGAGAGGTTCTCTGCCTCCATTCTGATTCTACAGACGAAACGAAATTCTCGAAACTTGCTGCCACCCAGGACTGATAGAAATGAACTCGCAAATAGACCTCCCGCACCCCCTTAGCAAGGCCAGCATCGGCAGCTATTACTTGTAAGCGATCTACCGTCTCTGGTTTAGTGATATCGACGTAGACTTTGCGGATTAGAAGATGTGAGCTCAAGGCACAGAAGCGTCGACAGGTAAGGCGAATGTTTGGAATCGAGCCGGTATCCTTCCACTTGGCCTGCAAGTCCTGGAACTCGAAGATAGAGACTAGTGTTTCGGTTGGAAGTCGTAATATCCCTGAGAGGGACATTTTTCCTTGATGAAATGATGTTCAATAATCTGAATATCGAGTTAGACGATGTTGCCTGATCTTCTCGATACGACCTGCCAAGAGACAGCACGTGGTTTCCCCACACCTAACGAATCATGCGATTGGTCGTGATTTCTCTTCTGTGTATACAGCCATTGTTGACAACAGCAGCATGAGATTGTCGAAACACCAGGAATGCTTGTTCCATATTATCATCGCATGCGAGACCTATACATAGATCGCTATATAGGATTCGGTAGTAACACTCCCAGTTCACTACAAATCCTACTCCCCAATGACATATTCACACCCATCCAACCCTATCCAAACTTCATGGATCTTCCCAGCAGGCACATCGACTCTGTCTCCGACGCCAAATGTCTCCTTCTTGATCTCACCGTTGTAAAGCGTATCATTATCGGTCGGATAGGTGATGGTGAGATTGCCTCGTCTGATCAAATGAGTTGTTGCGTCGTTGTGAGAATGAGGAGGATAGTGAGCGCCGCTTTAAGTGATTTTGTAGACTGTTAGCATTCTGTCTCGCATCTGAGGTCTTTCAGTGCGTATTTCGTGCTCGAATCATGGAGATTGTACTCACCTCGAGTCTGTCCAGGTAAAGACATGAGGAAACCCCCATTCTTTCACCATTTTCTCGCATTCGGCGCGAGTGCCGATCTCATATTTCTCCGACGACATATCTGCTGTTTTTTTCTAATTCATCAGCAGCGAGGATGATAGACAGATCTAAACGACTTCCGTTTCAAAAGATCGACGAGAATTATGAAGTTGAGTTGTAAGATGTTCAAGGTTGGAGATGACGTCGCCATCGTTGTCGGGCAAAGCTGTCATTGGCCCACACGTGACGGGGGAAGCCCCATCGGAAAAGTCATCCGAATCCGTATTGATTGGTGAGCTAGACGTTAAACTGTTTTCACGTCGCGAACTCATGCGAATAGTCTGACCAACCTCTTGAACTAATACAAAGGCGTGTCGTTTTCTAATTACATCGATCGCAGATGAAAAGCGCAGATTTCGACTGGGAAAAGGAAGAAAGAGCAACGATCGCATTATAATTCCAGCAGAACGAGGATCGCCTATTCAAACCTTAAAGAAAAGACATCGGATTTTAAGGTCGGTCTGGAAAGCTTAATACGGGCTTACAAAATTAGTAGCAAGCAGGAGCTTCTGGGTTTGTTTTCTGGGATGACTGTTTACTATCAAGAAGCGTGCTGAGTCTGGATCGGTTAATACGCCTCGCACTTTTAAAGACGAAACCTTCAAATCAAGTAGTTACATCGAGTTAAAAAAAATATGTCCTACATTCATTCACTTACAAATGACCTCTGTCTCGGTAAATCATGCCCCATTCAACTAATACTTTGACTCCTGCGATCACTCAAACCTTCAATGAAATATAGCTTGTAGTTAGTTAACTTCTACGTCGAATTCTCAATCCCGTTATGTCGGGGGAATTACTCCATATCCTGTGGATGTAGAATGTCGCTATTCATGTTGTGATACGCAGAACGCACCTGTATCTAACCGTAGATGTCTTAGTTGGCTGTCCGTCACGAGTTAATTCTCGATATCAGTACGTATTCGGCATAGTACTCGGGGGATCGAGATCACTTCGGCATTTAACCCGCGCATGTCGGGTGAAGATTTTTCAGGAAAGGTGCGACCGGACCCGAGCAAGTACAGTGTACTTTGTAGGGTTTGCACTGCATATTCGTATCAGCTACACTGCAGACGCGCGAATCAGCCTGCATCACCCTCGAGCTTCAAAGGTTTCACATTCCATGAACGTAAGCTTCCATTCCAGAAAACTTCTAAATCAGTTTTCTAGCGATGTTCTGCTCTGGAAGCATGACAGGAAAGGTATCCGGAGCAGATCCCGACGGAACCCCATTTGGTCGTCACAGCGGTCATGCAGAAGATTGTAATATTTCAATGCGTTCCTGGCTGGAAAAGCTTCTGCTTTTGGTATCAAGTGTTTCCTCGCCGATAGGTCAGGTGTGAAGATGTCGATTACAACGACAGCTGGCTAATGTAGCACAACATCCCGCATCAGATTCCTCGAGATACGATGTACGTTCGATTGTCAATAATCTTCAATTCGTGTCACGGATTCGGTCAACCCTAATACCATGGTAAGTACGTACCATGAACTGTCCTAGACCCACTCGTCTGCAATACTCTGTATTGCCAACGACTTTGAGCTTCGGCAATCTATGGAGTGACTCTAATCAATCTCGGCACATAGTGGGCTGGGAGATGGTCAGTCAGCGATACCCTTGGGTGAGCAATGATCGTCATTATCTATGTGACGGTCTATCATAAGCGTCTTGCTGACCATCAGTCGTAAGACGGAACGAAGAAATCCTTCACAGAAAGTATCCAAAGCCCCCCAGAGCGAATTTTCACTAGCCCTTGGAAAGTAGAAGCCTAGGATGCGACGCCGTGTGCGCCTATTTCCGGATTCGTTGTTTATAGGCTTGCCTGGACTCGCCCCAGTCTGGCCTAAGTAAGTGCTAAGAAAGAATTGAGGGTTTGAGGGCCCAATATGGACCCTATCGGCTGTAACACCTATGAAAATAGCCTGCATTGGCTCGGGTCCATCTTTGCATAGCGTTGTTTGGATTAAAACCGCTCCGTTATGCCAATAAAGCCTATCACGGGATGACACGAGAGTTTCTGCTTTATGCTTTTCTGTCCACAGAACATTTCTTTTACATACCGCCAGACGCATGTCCGCCGAATTTTGCACATCGACACTTCTTAGAGTTGTTTTAACCTACTGAGAGATGAAAATCAACAAAGCCCTCATCTTCCTCATCGGCAGCGTCGAATAACTCGGGGCCTGTTGACGACTTCCTCACCCATGAACATCCGTCGAACCCTCTCCTTTCGCTTTGAACCTGCCCAAGCGAAAGAAAAACACACAGGACATTGACGTCGATGAGACTCTTGCGAGTCCGAATATCGAGTGACCGTCATACTCTCGTGCAGCTGCCTCGTGATTGCCCAGCGCCAGTCGACCCTCATACAGCCTAATCGAACGCCCGTTTTCGACGTCGTCAATCAGTCTCACAACATCCAGTCGAGGTCAACATGAATGAGATGAAAGATAGAATAGCGAGATAGAAGGCTATCTTTGAGTTCTGCAGAGTTCGAGGTAGGTAGACTGGGTCAGGGGGCAGGTGCTTACCCGCGAACTGAATAAGGTCATGTGCTCTTTCCTTCAGCACCAACCTTTTCCCTGCGACACAGGAACGATAAACAACTTCAGCTTGCCTACCTCATTCAAAAACCCAGTCCGTCACGCTTCCTTCATAGTACCGATTACGATTCCTTTCTTGCTGAAGACCCGATCATAGTCCACACTGAGTCGCTTCTCCAACGACGAACCTGAACGCAACTACCTCGCTAGTCTACTTGAGCAGACCCTCGAATTGAGAAAAGTAAAATCGTATTCGTTACGATGGAAGAGACAAAACACCATCATATGAGATCGAAGCCACAAGCACCCTTCACCAGAACCTTCAACAGCGGATTTATCATGAGATCTTTAACATGGTCGGGCTATAGACAGGACGCTCCTGATCATACGATACATTATATGTGCCGTCACATCCTTCTCTCGCTACTCGGATTCGATCTCGTCCTCTATCAAAACCAGTCAGTGCTTTCATCACATCCTCTTATTCTTTGTACAAACATACCATCTGCCAGCAATGAACAAAGGGCCCCACAGATGTGACATGCCTTTCCAGGTATCACCCAGGTTTCGCGGCCAGCCTGCTTGCAGACTTGGCACTGCACGCCAGGCATCTAGGGCTATGGATCAGACCAGGCCAGTGAAGACAAATGAAAGGCGCAGGGTTAGGTCAACGTACTGGGAAAGAGAATGGAACTTCACTGAGGCAAGCGGCGAGATGAATGAGCCCTGTATGCTGGGTAACTTCGGGCACTCGTGAGCTCGCCCAGAAGTTTCCAAGAGCATTCATTGTGGTAGCAGGCTTGAAAAAATGTTTCGATTGGTAGTGTGAAGTCAGTTCCGTGTGGTTCCAATTCTTGTTGCTTTGGCCGAGCTCGAGGTCGTTTCTCAGCATAATGTAAAGGGGTTTATATATGCGATTCGAGAACTAGCATTTTTCAGTCAATTCAAAGGTAATTGGGTACGAAAGATCATCGCAGAGGGGTGCTATTTCCGCTGAGCATACCAAATGATTTCCAGGATGTCAAAGTTTCTCGTCAACTCGCAATGCATACGATGAATATCATGCACAGTCTCTCTGTGCCACAATTTTCCAACACTGTGAAGAGTCTATCACCTTCGATTCAATGTGTTGTTTTTATAGCTTGGTGCAATATCGACGCATGCAAGCGGATCACTTGCTGGCATGCATGACACCTGTGAATGAGATTCACTACTGAAAAATGGACGGATGCACGCTAGAACTCAATGGAGAAGCATTGTGGTATCTTAGGGTATCACTGAAAGCTTCAAAAAGCGTCATTCGTTTGACAGGCACCGTCTGAGAGGGTATGAACAAAAGGAGCTCCGATAACACATGAAGCCGGTTGGAATTATGCATGCATATGACTCCATCCTTCTGCGCTATTCCAGAATTGCGGCATCCGAGGAGAACTAGATTGAGCTCATGTGTATTGAAAGATGGTCCCCTCAAGCAATATCTATGCTATTGCATATGGAACCACACCAATGTGTGGGGACTGGCCACTGGCTACAAGCTAACAAAGCCAATGAGAGCATTGTCACGAAACAACTTCAGTGAATCGTTACCAACATCGGCTATGAATTTCATTTCATTCGTCGAAAATTGAGGACGGAGTCGAATATGCATATTTCCATTGGGCACCTACCACAAATCAGGCATTTGAGATGGTGGTTAATGCGGTGTTGGAGGAGAATTAATGAGGAGATGGAGAACGGACAACATTCTATCACACCAACTTGGACTTGATATCCACGCCATAGTCGGCGACTCCCGTTCGGAAACAATCAAGTTGATAGATGAACCACACCCATGGCCTCATTGCTTGAACAGCATTACGACCGCCAGATTCGGCAAATGGCATCAATATTCCACTTTACCTATGATGAGAGGAATTTGACATCGTGCAGCGCTATATTTCTATACTGATTGAATAAATCGTCTTTGGTTCAAAGTACAATTACTGACAGTCGATACATTCATTAGATGTATAATGAGCTGGCTCTGCTACATATGACGCGGCTCATGACAAAATACTGTGGGGGTAGGCAATCTGAAGTTACGGAAGCGAGAAGATGAGAAATATCATACGGGAGCTAGGAATCAGTAAAGACCTTCTCAAAAGAATGCCTAGTTGCTGGGCGACCTGTCTATGTGACTTGTGTACGGGATAATTCGGAGTTAATCTAGTCACTGCCTGAATTCACATTAATTCTCAGCTACCTAGATACCTTGACCACGAATGATTCTAGCGGTCCTGATCAAGCGAACTAGAGCGAAACTCTAAGATCGGCATTGCTTCTCCGGCCGACTCACTTTGGCTTTCAACATCGAACCAAGATCAACTAGGATCGGTTCCGTTGGAAGGGATTCCCATCCACTCGCGTGCATTGTACTTGGAATTGACATTGAGTCCTCGATGTATCGAAGGCAATGGATCGATCCTGTACGCATCGAAAACTGGGAAAGTTGCATGGGAAATTTTGGTCTTGAATTTCTAGACGCTTGACTCGATAAGTAATCATAAGGCGAGTCTACTTTGAGATAATTTAGCGTCTCCGATGACCTCCACAGTTGAAATACACTGCATACGCCATTTCACCGGGATCGTATAGCCAATAATTCCGCGTATCCAACCCATCATCATATTACTTTCTGCATGGTACCCCTGCTCCTTCAGATCATTGACAGTTCAACAGTAGACTTTGCTTCTGCACAAACTCTCAATTACCAACACACTGATTAACCGCATTCTGTTGATGCATGTCGACACTAAATTGAGTTATACAGTTGTCTCCGGAACAATATAAGGAACACGTTTCAACGCATTTGAATCCGTGCGGCACAGCATCGGCATAGCTCAGATGCTAGCGTTTAACGAATACGATCCTTCGCTCGTTTATTCTCTAGACTATACAGAACAAGGATGAGGGGTCTCCTTCTCAAAAAGAGAGAGCCAGAGTCGGAGTGGAGCTGACATAAACTGTCTTTCACATCGATACCCACACACAAAAGGACCTTCCCTTTCAATCGATCAGATCCCATTTGCGCGACGACATCCGGTTCCCCCTTGGCGCCTATCCCTTCATCTCTATACTCCCTCTCAAGCTGACTCAAAAAATAAGTACGGACGTGTAGTACGAGTTTGGATGACCTCGAGAAGAGGCGGCACAGTGACTGTCGATTTTTGTCAAATCGGATGCGCGCCATGTCTCTACGGATGTGACGGCATTGATGTCTAAAAAAGACTAATTGTTAGCACTTCGTTGGATCCATGGTTCTGCTGAAACGGGAAGTCAACAACATCTGCGTTGACATGGCCGGGATTTAGGCGATTACTCTTCCGTCTAAGTGCGTCTTTCGATCCAATGATAGCGCGGAGACAATGAAGGATAAAAGTGATCTTCCAAATTCAATCTTCTAGCTGAGGAGATGCAATCACAGTCCGTATCTGTACTAAAGGTGGCAAGGATAACCACGCGGAATGTATAGAGAGTTAATCCTTGATGCACGAAGACACTAAGATGAGACTGTGATCGGAGATTCACCGAAACGACTAGCTAGATCAGTCATGACCTTGATTAAGCATCAATGCTCCACATGTGGCGTGGTGGGATTGGCTACGGAGTCGTCGTGCTCATGAGCCTGCAGCTCAATTCGAAATGTGAAGGTATCTGGGAGCAGACACGAGTGGATTTCCAAACATTTTCGTACATGGGTTTGCAGATCGCTGATTTTCGGAATTCTCTTGCTTATTGTCCAATGGGAAAGCAGGCGCTTGTAAGTCCCGTAGCACGGAGTCAGCCTGAATGATAAGAATCTTCTCTGACGAATTGGTACGAGGTGGTGAAATCGACTAATTTATTCATGCCGAAAAAATGATCGGGTACATCGTCCCATTCGAAGAATTACAAGTCAAACTTCGAATCAATATGGGAAGTGGTCACGGCAATATTTCCTTATTTTGGAACGTTGTGCCGGGAAATAACACCACCAATCTTCTCGATCTGCCAAAAGAAAATTCTTGAAGGATCAGATATCGCGGTTGTTCATGCAACACGCATAAAGGCGCGGTTTACACGACGTGTGAATCGATTCTTCATGATAGTCGGCAAGTAACACGCATTCGTGGTTAGGCTACCTTATGTTACACTGCATATCTCCGGAGAAAGAAGTCCTGTCCTATGGGACGATCCATTCAGTTGGGTAGCAAGGATGATGCTGGAGAATGCAGTCGAATAGGTGTTTAGATTGCGTAGGAACTGCGATTAATAGCAATGCTTAGGAGGCTATGGTCAAGTCTGAATAATGCGTTGTAGCTGCCTATTGGAAGTTCAGTCTAGTCTATAAGTCTATGATACGAGATCATGCATAGAGCTATTACGGACCATCGAGGCTGAAGGATATCTAAAGCGTACTATCGTTTGACAAATCTCGAATTCAAGGGTCTGTTAATTCAGATCTGCCTAGGGGTTTGATGTTTGCCTTGCCCTTTTCGGCTTACTCGCCGGTCCCTTGGGCGTTTAGGGCAAATATCCTTCCCCCTTAGTCTAGGCATGCGAGTACTCTTGGTGGGCTCTAAGTCCCGGAACAACCCTCATCTTCGTCATCATCATCCTCATAGAACTGTGAAGCCTTCACCCTAACGATCTCTTACTCGGCCTCCTTTACACTTATCATCTTGCTATGTATGTTGAGGTACATATTAAATATGCAACTCGCTTCTACACTCATTAGCCCGTTATCGACTGTATGAAAGCCTAAAGCTGCATGATATAACCTAACTATAACGAACAGAAGACCACCTGGGCAATGCATGCACATGTGAGTATGAGGCTAAGAAATCTTGATATGAATATGAAGAGTGTTCCAGATATTATTGACCAGATAATTCATTATGCCAGAGGGCTCTCCATTCCCATATGAAAGGAACCTTCTACTTCTTAGATTTAGGCTGTCGAAGGTCTTCTACTTCCAAGGTTGTCAACCTTGTTATTGTTTGGCCGCTTAGCACTAATAGACTCCCATCCCATACCAGGCAGACAGGCAGGCAGACAAGTTGGCAGATTGCCTTTTTTACATCGTTATCAATGCATCAAAGTCCAAAGTTGTACGATACAGCTTGGCTATAACGAATGAAAAGTGCGCTCTTCATATCAATCAAGCAAGTATTATTCGGAATACGGAGTGCTCCGAATTATTACTGATTGACAGGTGTTAATGTTTGATTGCTTTCCTTTCCTATGTGGATTGAATTCTAGAAACCAGATCCAGGCTTCGGAAGGCCTTCCGTTCTAGGTATGGCTAGGAGCAGCAATCTAGCGCACAAGCGACATGATCCTCCTAAAGCAAACGATGAATTTATAGAAAACACAATACATTGTACTAGACTAGCCCGCTGGATACAACACAAAATCATAATGATGAACCCAATCCCAATTCCGATCGCTATCAGTCTCAATCCCAGCCCGAGCCCCAGTCTTATCCTCACTCTCACTTTCACTTTCACTTTCACTCTCATCCTCATCCTCATCCTCATTCTCAGCTCCTCTTTCAGTTTCGCCCTCATTCTCACTTTCGCTCTCACTGTCACTGTCACTGTCACTGTCGCTATCCCTATCACTACTACTGTCACTATCACTTTCACCTTCAGTCTCAGTATCAGTCTTATCCTTATCCTCATTCTCTCTCCCACCCGCAGTCTCGCCCTCAGTCCCACTCTCGCGCAATTCTTCCATTATTCGTTCTTTTTGTATCAATTCTGCTTTATGGGCCTTCTCGTTTACCATCAGCTGCAGCAAAAAGTCGTTGAGATCCATCTCCTGCACTTCACTTTCCGACAGCCGAAAGGATTGAAGATATGATGTTTGTTTCAACTTCATTGCTTGCGAGCAATTTCCTCAGATCCGACAGCGGCCTTGGACTAGAATTCGAGTCTTTTAGGGTATGACATGTAGATTGGTGCCGATTTGAATTTGCGTTGCTCTACGAGTCAAATTTTGGGGCAAGAAGGGCTTGTTGGTATAAAAAAAGAACCCTTCTTACTGAAGAATTGCCTGAATTTATATTAGAAGCATGACATTGTGGCCTAGCCAGCTGCCTGTTTGTCTGCCTGCCTGTTTGGTAGGGAAGTCTATTAGGGCTGAGCGGCTAAACCCTAACAACATTTGCCTACCGAACAGAAGACCTTCCGAAGTCTGAATCTTATATTTCGAAGGTATAATGCAATACGCTGTCTATCAAAACTGACTCGGAGCACTCTCCATATTCATATGTATTCCTGAGCGGGCACAATATACAGCAGAAGCTGGTTGTAACGAACTGAAGACCTGCCACACCCTGAATCTGATATCTACTCGGGTAGAGATTTCAAATTCAACGGGAAGGGAGAGCACTCTGACAATGCAGCCTGTCTAAAAAATAACATCTGGAGCACTCTTTTGATTTATACGAAATTTACTGATCTTCATATCGGTATAGTGATGAGGAGGCCTTCCAAGGCTCCGTTCGCTATATCCGATTCTATATACAACATTAAACTTTCATACTCGATGACTACTTAATACCTCCACAAGTGTCAATGAACAATAAACATAGAATAAATGATAATATGCAAAGTAAACTGGGATAACTGTGGTATCCATAAGAATCGAGATATGTTATATCCGGCATGATCACGGAGAGAAACTTGGTACTTACAAATCCGAGACGTGTACCTACCGGTGTTATGACCCCGCATACTATCAGTGAAACTCTCTACTTAAAAGAGGGGAGTGCTTGCTTTCAACCCTCTTTTGTCCCGCAGACTCTCAATTAACAATTGACCTGAACCTTCATATCAATCGCAGGCACAATGGCAGGCCAAATTGAACCTGTCCATTTCTTCGACATCAAAAGCGCTCTCGAAGGTATGAACTCCACCAAAACCACACCAACCTCTAGTAGATACTTACCGACATCCAGGTCCCCGACAATCCTGGTCCCCCAACACCCTCAAAACACGCGCCGTCCTCAACATAAAAGGCATCCCCTATACTCAATCATGGATCTCGTACCCCGACATCGCGCCTTTGAGTGAAGGCCTAGGAATCCCCGCCGAACCCGATGACTCAAGCTCCACAGCAATCCTCTACACTCTCCCCGCAATCATCCACAAACCATCCATCACATCAAACCCAAACGGCGCTCTGCATGACTCCCTTCCCATTGCTCTTCATCTCGACAAGGCATTTCCCTCCCCGCAATATCCATCAGTCTTTCCCCATGGCCAAACCAGCATTGCGCTCGCACTCGCCACAGAGAACTTATTCTACAACGTGGTCAGCAAATGCTCAACCCTCCTCTTCCCCGGTGTGGTAGATATTCTCGACGATCGCGGCGCATCGTACTTTGAGCGAACCCGCGTCCCACGCTTCCAACGCCGCTATCCAGCCCTCAATCTCACAAAAATGGCTGACCTCAAACCCAAAACCCAAACCGAAATCGACAAGATAGTCGAAGACACGAAGAAGGCGCTCTTGGTCTTTGATGAATTGCTAGCTGGTGGTGGGGAGAATAAGGGCCCCTTTCTGGAAGGTGAAAAGCCTGGTTATGCGGATGTGATGCTCGCGGCGCATATGGCTTGGATTGAGAGACCGTTGCCTGAGTTTTTTGCGAGGATCTTGGAGGCTGGGAATGGGTCAATTAAGAGGCATTGGGAGGCCTCGCAGGGGTTTGTGAATGGGCAGGGCGAGACTAAGGAGTGGGCCGTTGCAAAGATATAAACGCTATAGATATAGACGCTATAGATCATATACAAATCCAGTTCTGAATGAAGACTGCATTTGAAACAAGAAATTTCTAGTAATATATGATGCGATAATGTACAAAGGGTCAATACCCCAACCAGCCAACATATGATAACAGACCCAATATCTTACAATCCACGCAAAAAGTTGGACTCGCGGATTCCTTTCCTTCTGGCTTCCCGCGCACTCTTTGTAATCTCTTCCGTCTTCTCGAGACCAGCGGCCGCTTCAGCAATGATGTCTCGAGGTCCGTCCTGCTCTGTGTTGTATTCGGCAGGAATGATATCCGTGGCCTGTTCGTGCAGAGGAATCTTACGAGGTTGAGTAGCTGCCAATGCGGCCATTTTCTTGTCGTAACGCTTTCGTTGTTTTTTGTTCAATGCTTTTTGCAGATTAGTCAAAAGCCCTATAGACATCGGGGATGAATGAAGGGAGAAACGTGGAACGTACATGCAACGTCAACACCACCAGCATCACTGCTCTTCTTGGCACTATCATCAAGCAAAGTCCACAACCAATCCGGATATTCATGGTCCTCCAGCGCGACAATTTCCGGCTTTCCCTTCGTATAATTGAGACCCGTCAAGGGCGTACCAGCAATGCAGCTGCTGGGTTCGTGCGTAGGAGCTGCTACTGCATCCGCAGCCGCAGTCCTAGCGGCATCTTTCCCGGGATTCACCCATTTGGGTGGTTGCGGAACGCCGTCGGTAGGTGTACTCAATGGCTGAGAGACGCCCGGTGTCGCGGAGGATATGGCGGATGGGATGCTGATTGATCCGCCGCCGGGTTGTCGGGGTGCGGGTGGAGGAGGCATGGCGGGAGTTTTGGGAGTGTCGGTGCTCGCGAATCGAGCTTGGGGTTTGTGGATTGCGAGAGAGATGCATGATGAAGGTGTGCGAATTGCGTGTTGTTGAAGAGGGATTCGGGAGAGAAGAGAGGTTCGACAGCGTTGGCAAATCATTTTGCTCTGGGATACTCAGGTAGTACTGAGAGGAACAAGAAAGAAAAAATTGAATAGTCACAGCTCATTCAGATATTGTGACAGAACGCTGGTGAGCAATGGCTGTGTTGATTTTACCAAACTGGTCTACAAAAAAGTTGCGGAGTCGATTTCGCGGATAATAGAAAATAGATCACGTGATGCGTATACAAGCATGACTAAGCAGGTATCCCAAAAAGAGCAAAACAAGTCTTTGAGAGTTACTGAACAAGACTCTTCACAATATCGACAGAATCAATCTCCTCGTTCCCAATCGCCTTCCTAAACGCCTCTATCGTAACGTCCCACAACTTCTTTCTTTCGTCCTCGTCCTTCGCCAATGCCGTATACTCTTCCCTTGCACACCCCTTATACGCCTTTGCAATCAACGAAAAACTCGGGACCCAAAACTCTCCATCCGCGTCGTGCTCCTTGACATATCGACTTCCAGCGAGATAGACCTGCGTCTTCGCCGAATCCGCCGTCGAATTACCAATCGTGACCTGCAACGCGCCCCGCACAACCTTTTCGAGTGTTTGATTGACCCCCTTTTGATGTCCTTGGCCCAGGGTTGTGCCAATGGCGTTTCCGGGGTGGCAGTTGTTGACAAAGATATTCGTAAGGCCGAGTTTGTTGCGTAGCCGATGGGAGAATTCGAGAACGCCGTATACAGCAGCGAGTTTGGAGTCGCCGTACCGCTTGAATGCGGTCGAGACGTCTTTGAGTGTTTGTCCGTCATTGGGTATGGTTGTTGTGAGTTTCTCGTAGTCTAATTTACTGGCTAGTTTGTAGGCGTTGGAGTTTGTGTAGACGATGCGAATGTCTTGGGTTGTTTCTGAGGTTTGTTTGATCAGGTCTATAACGTCAGTCAACTTCCTTCCTTTCTTTCTAAGGGGGGAAACGCCATCAATGATGGGGGAAATACCTMCCTAACAGTCCAGCCGTAAACGCGAAATGGGCCAAATGATTCACGGTGAACATCGTATCAAACCCATCCGGCGACAATTCCTGCATCGTCGTCATTGAGACACCCGCATTGCAAACTAAAATATCCAACCGCTTCTCAATCCGCGCAAATTCCCGTGCTGATTTCCATGCTGTTTCCATTGATCCAAGGTCGAGATTGTGATATTTGATTCTTGACTCTGCATCGGAACTATTTTCGTTTGCGCTTCTTTCTTTCACTCGTTTGCGCACATCCTCTATACCGGTGTGTGTCCCCTCGCTGTCGCGAGCGGCTATGTAGACGGTGGCACCTTTAAGAGCCAGATAGACGCTTGTCTCTAGACCGATACCTTTTGCACCTCTTGGTATCAAATCCCAATGTTAGTCTATGCTGTCATCTCGTCACTAACGAGGTCTGTGATCATACCCAGTAACAATAGCGACTCGTCCCGTCAAGTCCTCGATGGAGCTTAGGAAATCTTCTTCTTTCATGATCTGTAATGATAGATATTTTTCAACCTGCTAAATAGTGCGATATAGTATTTCCAGATTTTCCAGTGTCTTTTTTTTTCCCTAATCAAGGGAAGTTGATAGTATGCCTTTCTCAGGTATTGTTATTGTATGGAGAAATGATGAAGGTAGATAAGCTATGAATGACGTCGAATCTTGGAAGGGTCCAAGTTATCGATTCGGATTGCCTGCCGAGCTGCTTCTTAAAGGCCACCAGATCTATACTCCTTTTGTCTACATCAATCAACGTACTTCCAACTTTTTTGGAGTGCTAGTGGTTGATTTACTGTTTGAGGTCTTTTCATTGTGTTACAAATCCGTCTCATCTGTCATGAACTGCGGGCGTACTAAGACTACTAGATGATTGCCTAATTCGGATTATGTCTATTGCTCGGTAGATCAATCAAATGGATACAGCCCTTGAAAGCAAGCTAAAATCAATACTTATAATAGCATCGCATTGATATGTCTTTAACAAGTATACATATACATTTTCCAATCCGCGGAAATGATTCTCTACCGGCTCCTCTAAACAAGCATAGATAAGAAGTATTTTCTCTCGTCTTAATTCAAAGCAGTCTTCTTCTCCCTTGTCTCTTCACTAGAATCCTCCTGCTCAAGCGGCGCTTGCCCAATAGCAACTCCCTGAGTCAACTCATCGATATCAATCCGTGGTCCGTGGAAATTCTTCCTTCCGTCGACTATCCATTGGAACAGGGAAATGATTAGTACGATGCCGAAGGCAACGACGCAGTAGTCTATTACACACTGATTAATAATAGGAAAAAGAGTTGGAAAGGGGGAGGACGTACTCATGTTGCTAGGTGTGACTGGAAGGTCAGGTGGGAAGAGGAAGAGGACTGTTGTGAGGATGATGTAAACGAGTGATATCTGCTAGAGTTAGCATAGTTTCTTCAGAACCACAGCAAGTATGTAGAGGAGGATCGTACAATATTGGCAGTCCATGCAAGAGGCTCGGGCATCTTCCATGGACTATCTTTGATCATCCTCCGACCACGCATAACATTGATCATGATGGGCATGCCGTATGAAACATCAAGAGCCACGACGGAGGCAGATATGATCGCATTGAACGCACTATCCAATCATCAGTACACTTCTTTTATCGCTGCTAAAATGCGGAGGAGTACCTAGAAGATCCGAGGAATATCAAACCAAAGATAATAACCAGAGCTGTAGTCAAATACAATGCATTCAGCGGCACATTCAACCTCTTATGGACACGCGCAAAGAAGCGAGATGCCGGCAACCCGCCGTCGCGCGCGAAGGCGTATACCATGCGACTGGATGTAGTCATGATGGTGATGGCTGCGAAGAGGAGGCAGACCAGTGGGATCCTATTTACGTACGTATAAATTAGTCACCATCCCTTCTACTAGGTTTCCAGGAAAGCTTACACCAAAAGACAGATAGCACCGGCATGATTCTTGGTTGCATTATCGAGGATTTGGAGTAAAGGACCGGCCGAGGAGGAAATTATATCGTCGATGTTGCCAGGCACGAAGAGGAGGACGATGAGGAAGATTGCGCCGGTGAATGTGCCGATGCAGACGCAGTAGATCATGATCTTGGGGCCTTCGATGGCGGCGTTAGGGATTTCTAAAGAGTCAGCCTTTGTATCGAACATATAGATTGGTATCTTACCTTCGATCATGTGAGCAACTGCGTCCTGTATTCCGTTAGATGAAGTCAGGTTGGGGTATTCTGATGATCTTACATATCCGGTAACACCAAGTCCACCTTGTAACAACTGTATTTCATTAATATTGAGTTGATATCAGACCTTGAAATTTAAGCAGGAAACATACTCCGAGTAACCATGCAATACCATCCGGCCAGCCAGTCTCATTCAAAAACTCACGAAATACGAAGCTGCAGTATCAACATTAGTCATTTTGCACTCAATCTCGATTTTGTGATAAAACTCACTCTCCAGAGTTATAGTTCGGCGACGAACAAGCCAACACCGTGATCGAGACGATAACGAAGCCCACGATAGACCAAATGACTGCGTCCAATGTCTTGTTAGCACTGAACAGTCATGCCTCAGGAAAGTACATACACGCAGCGCGCGTCACCAAAGGAAGAGCCGAGTTCATGAACGCATTGATAAGAAATGCGGCAATGTTGTAGCCGATATAAATGAGGAATTGATGCCATCGTTCAGAGACATAGTCCTATTCATGTATATGTTAGATCCTCACCTACTCACCAAATCCTTCAATATTCAATGCTGCGACTACTCACCGGATTCATCAAAGAGATAACTCCGAGAATGAGTTGACTCGCCAAAAGACCAGCCGTAGCGACGAGCGCAACCTGCTCTTATTAGCCAGCCATCTCCGCAAAGCCTGTAAATTGCAGCATACCCAACCGGCCACGTTGATCCAGCCCGTAATCCAAGACAAGACGGGGACCCAGTTCGGCCATGAAACTTATAAAATCAACAATGATCCGAATTGACGTGATTGTAAACTACTTACTGACTGTACTAATGTCAGCTTGATTGATACGAAACTTCCCTTCCTGGAAAGACGAAATAAGAACTTACCAGCAACCCAATGATATTGACCTCCAGCACTGAACACACACGAGATGCTTAGCTTAATCTTTCCCGATCAATCAAATGTCTCACAACTCACGTAGGATACATGGACAAAAACTCGGCGAGCGATGCAGCGATACACAGATTGCAGATACCGGCCGTAATCAGACCTATTCATGGAGGTTAATAAACGTCCTGATATCGCCATCGTATAGAAAGGGTTAATTATCTTACCCCAGACAACACTCGTACTGCCCCCGGACGGCAGACTTAGCGACATACTAGCCGACAACGCGGTCCATGACTATGACGCCATTGATCAGCTCTCCCATTCCACGCTCAAAATCAGAAGAAAGACATACATTCAAAATCGCAAAAGCGAGACCCAACATCGACCTACACAAATTCATGAGCATCAATTCCGAATAATAGTCACATTCGCAATTCGAGTAGCTCACAGCATAGAGTAGTTCCGCTGCAACTCGGCCTTGTGGCCCATGGCCGCCAATTGCGCATCGTCGTCTGTATGGTGGCGGTTCGGCATGGTGGCGATATCCTCCCTAGCAATGAATAACTAGACAAAGATGAATTGAGAGAAGGAAGAAGGAACCATATGTAGTTAAAAGAAAAGAAGAATGTCAGACAAAGTAAGATCCAGCGACTAAACTATCCCTGCACAGCTAGCTACATAGTATGTATGTAACAATACATGGACTAGCACTAGAACAAAATCCCGGTGTCCGTTCTCCGTCTCCGCATTACTTCCATTGTCATACCATACGTAAGTCCGTGATCCTTCCAAATCTCTCGCAAGCCCAACCACAGAACTGAGAACAAGAACCAAAGTCMCCTGCCACACCCCCGTATGACACTCTTTAACTCTTATCAGCAATCGACCCCCTTTTGCCCGTATCTATGGAGTCTATGGAGTCTATGGAGTAAAGTGGTTCCTTGGCCGGACTGGTCCACATTGATTGTCTACCATAGTACGAGTGGAGGTTGAGGTTTGTCATATTGTGGTGTAATCATTAATGGACTAATGTACTCCACGATACTTTATAGTACGTACATTGAGCTACTACGGACTAAATAGCTATGATTTGTGTCGTTATTGTTGCGTCCCCGGGGCTTAAAGATTCGGGTTGCGACAAGTCGAAACACTTTTCCTGTCGCATTCACACTCCAATTCACTCTATTCAACGTGGCGATGCCCAATCGACCATGGAAGACACCCTCGCACTCTCAGACCTCAGAACTCAAACTGAACTGTGGGGAAGAATCAACCTACGAAGATATCAACATCCTGCTTCGGCACCGGGCATCCCTGCAAATTCCATAAAAATGTCGCAGAGATCAGCCCGAGCCACGACAAGGGTCGCATTCGGCGATGAGTACCAATCACGCCAGCCCGGCATCGCCGAGAGGGAAATATAAGCTTCACCCAAATAGTCGATCGACCAATTAATAAATTATGCTTTGTGGGGGGCGTACCGGGAGCGGACTACTGGCGGCGAGGCTACAGGCGGGCGCCTCCCAGGGCCTTTTGGCCGGCCAATTACGGAGGAAACGTATTCTGTGTAGGTTTCCCCATGTCGGCTTCTGGAAGGATGGAAGTAATAAAAGTATACGCTCGGCATTTGCATGAAAGTTTAAAGTGAATGCTCTCATAAGGCATGGGATTGGAAGCTTAATGAATGACATTCATACTACGCGCATGGTGTTTTGGTATTCTGCCGGCTACTTCTCGGGGGGAGTCGGGGCGAGTCTGATAGCAAACGTGGATTTCTGTATATATACATAATGCGAAATGTAGTTACATATGCAATGAATGGTAGGGTCAATCACCATGAGCCAGATGGTCCGTTTTCACAAGGTAATCATCCGCATCTCCGTCTTCCATGCCATCGACATCTGCCTCTTCGCCAACATCATAATTCCGTGAGTGAGTGCTCTCACTTCGTAGACTAGGCTGATACCCGTCAAATGAGGAATCAGAGTCTCCCCCGCCGTTGATGGTCGGCTTAACTTTGCCCTTGCCGCTGCCGGATAGCATTATGCGACCACTCTTGCCTTTGGTATTGTTGCTGGATTGTCTTGAGCCCATGCCTTTGTGGATATGATTGTTGTCACCATTCATGACAGGACCCCCGTTCGCGACAATCTCGCCGCCCAAGCTGAGGCCTTCAATCGCATCAGCGATGGTGCGTGGCTGAGATGATTCTGTTTCTTTGGTAGTGGATGATTCGAATGATTGACGGATGCGCTCGAAATGCTCGAGTTCCTTGGCACTGTTTACTGTTAGCTTGTTGAATAGAATCATGGAGMAAATATAAAACTGACCTGACACTAGCGACAAGCTCATTCTGAGCATTCAAAAAGTCGTCTTCCGTCACCATAACATTGATATCCTCCGGCGTGGCAAGATGGTCAAAGTAGTATGCAGTACTGACTGGCCCATCAGGTAGCGCCTTGATCTTGTCATCGACAGCCGTGGCTTGTCGAGTGATGGCCTTTAGCATTGCATCAGAACAGAGAGCGTACAAGTCGGCACCAGTATATGTAAATGGCAATCGCTCGGCGACGCGCGCGAGCGACACATCCGGATTGAGAGTAAATTTTCGTGTCAAAGCCTCAAGAATCTTCGTCTGTTTATCGTGTGTATCGGAGATACCCAAGTAAATCATCTTGTCAAAACGACCTGGGCGTAGTAAGGCAGCGTCCAGTAGATCCGGCCGATTGGTAGCACCGATGACGAATACACCACCACCATTTTCGTCCCCGCCACTCATACCGTCTAGTTCTGCAAGCAGCTGACTGACAATTCGATCCATAACACCACCGCTGTCACCTTGATTTCCTCTCTTAGGCGCTACTGAATCCAACTCGTCGAAGAAGACGACACATGGACGGGCATCCCGAGCTCGCTGGAACACTCTGCGGACATTAGCCTCAGACTCACCAATATACATATTCAACAATTCGGGTCCTTTGACAGAGAAGAAGTTCAATGAGAATTCAGTCGCAATAGCCTTGGCTAGAAGAGTTTTGCCGGTTCCAGGAGGTCCATAAAACAAGATACCGCTTCGTTTCTTCATACCCTTGGCGAACAGTTCCGGCCGCTCCAGAGGAAGCTGTATAGTCTCCATGACAGCATCTTTGACATTGCTAAGACCGCCAACATCGTCCCAAGTGACGTTGGGAATTTTGGGCGCCCCGATTGAGTCGGCAAAATTCTTTCTGGCAGCATCAACTGCCAGATCAAAGTCGGTTTTGGTAACGCATCGTGCTGCATCACCACCAGCTAGCTGTACATCACGCAGCGTCACTGCTCCATTTGCTGCTCGAGTGAGCTTTTCAAGACGGTCAAGCTTTGCGAGAGAAGCGCGTTCGACGACGTCAACCAAGTCGCCCGCGACGAGCGCGGCCGTCTTCACGGCAACCGCTGCAAGATCCACATCTGGAGCAATCTTAACACTAAGATCGATAACTGCATTATGCAGGATACCCTCTCGCTCCTTTTCTTCAGGCGCAGTCATTTCCAGCTCGTGCGTAAAAAGACTCCGAATTCCCTCCGGTATCTTATCCACATCAGTTGTAGTTGCAATGATCACGCGAGATTCTGAAACGATCTCCTTCATAGCAGTCACGATTCTGTCAGCCGTGAGCACGTCGATATGTTGTATGATTAAAGCTGTGGAATGGGGACCACAAGCGAATGCTCTGTCCGCCCGGGCTTTCATATATGCCTCGGTCTTGACATCGCCGCCATTGGCACCGCCTTCTGTTAGTATATCATATGCATCTAGAGTAAATGCGTGGAGACCGATTTCTGCGCATGCACGTGAGGCCAACGTTGTCTTTCCAATATGTCTTTGGGTCGACGTCAGAAGAATGACAACAGGAGGCATCCCTAGTTGTATAGCACGAGGACTCGTCGCAGCAGTAATCAACTCTCTGACCCTATTCTGAATTGGAGAAGTAAAAAATTTCGGTAGCTCGGTCACGATACCATGCGATTGGGGTACATCGCTGTGTGCTCTAGGAAGACGCTTGACTCCCAGCCAATATTCCCATCCACTTCTCAAAGTTCCTGGAATCCTGCTGATCAGACTGCCAGCCTGCGCCATTCGTGTGCTTGACGAATCTATCAGGGCTACGCCGCCCCATTGGTCCTCTCCATCTTGATCTTCAGAAGGGGGTGCAATCACCTGGCCAACTTTGAACCAAGCCACACCAACTTTTCGAGATGCACTTTCCTCGGGGGCAGTATCAGCGACGAAACCAAGCTTTGAAGTCAAATCATCTTCGGTTCCGCCTTCGGTCTTTGTCGCGGAGTAAACAACTCGACCCAACCCTTCGTCGACGCTTATTCCAACAAGGTCACCGCTTTTGACAAGTCGTTTCTTGGATTCAAAATAGCGCCGTAAACCAGCAAATAAAGCTGGCTGGATCGATCGATCGGAGGATAACGGAGTAGAAATTTTTAAAAGAGTCACTTCCTTAGCGACTGGCGGAGCCTTGCTAGAAGTTGACTTGGAGGGTTGGTGTACTCCTGCTCGAGTAGATGTATGCGCGGGTGCGAATGGCAGAGGAGAAAGTTTCACGTATTTGGGATTATCGAGATTGCTAAGAAGTATAGGAGGTACGAAGACAGCCGGGGTGAGGCGTTGCCCAGGTAGTTGAGAAACGCTCGATCGTCGGTCTGAGGCTCCACCCACTGCGTAACGCGGCTTTGGCGACGGTAAACCGGATATTCCGTACACGCGAACAGCTCGCCAGTTGCCAGAATCTTCATCTCCAAGGCCTAAGCTTCCAATAGCCAGAGACGCAAAGGGGTTCGAGGAGGGCTCTTCTGTTCCCTCGATACGGACCCAGTCACCTGAGAAACAGCCAACTTTGACCAGTGTATTGATGTCAACGTAGATAAAAGCATCTGTATCATCCTCATCTTTGGGTTTCGGATGTAGCAAGTCCACTGGAACTCGATTCAGTAGACCTTCAGCCTTGAATGTCTTACCCCCCATGCGCCCAGGACGGGCAGTACCTGAGGTAAAGGTGGAAATAACGGAGCCTGGTGTGTGGGTACCGTCCATGCGGCGGCCACCTGCCCGTGGAGTCATAGAAGACATAGCCGACATGACGCCTGAGGGTTGCTGCGGTAGTTGTGGAGCGGCTAATGAAATCATGTCGTCGAGGGAATCGTCTGAAGAATCATGGTCGCTGGTTGTAGATGCGTCGGTCTCGGAATCATCTGGCGGAGTCGTGCTTTCCATTTCCGTTTCCAAAGCGCGATCTTCAGCGGCTGAGAAGAATTGCTCATTTGCAGTATCATCCGCCTCCTCCTCCACAGCCCCTTTTAGCAAGTTCGCCCCTGACAGCGTGTAGCCTTTATGAGGGCGGGCTCCATGAGGGCGAGATTGCACGAGTATGATTTTGGTAGAAGGAAGCAATAATCCCTGCGCAACAGGCTCGCAGAAGGTGATTTTCGCCGGCGGAGGAGGAACGTGAGTTATAGGATGCGAGGGCAATGGAAGCGGCAAAATGTCTCCAACGTGGACAACCTTTTGGTTGGACAGGGCCTCACGTACCGCAGCAGTCAGTCGCTCTTCAGCTTCGGCGGCTGCTTTCTTTGTGTAGCGCTTGACCTCCATTGCTTTGCCTCTCGGCCACGATCCATTGATACCATGCGCCTGGCCATTGAAACCCCCGCCAAACTTGCTTTGCACATCATCTAGATTTCGCAACAGGTTTCGCTCTACTGTAACGTAGATGGTTTCAAGATGGAGCGGAGCGACGTCTAAAATTCGAATCTCCAGAGGCCGTAACGATTGTATATGACGTGTAGGGTCGAGCTTGCCCAAGGTCTGAAGGAACGACTGTAGATAATTTGCCGAGGCCGGGAAGAGCACGGTGGAATGCGAAATCGGGGCGACTTGCGACTTTTCGGTCGGTTGTACTCGAGCAGGTATAATGGTCCATGGGACGTCGTCTATAGAATGATATTGCGGCGTAAACGGGGATATCGCAATATACAGGGTTCCTTGGTTTGGGTCTTTATTCAGTCCGGCTTCTATAGCTAGAGTTAGCGAATGTCATGTGAATGTAGCACCGCATATTCTTACCTGTCAGATTGACGTTGGGAAACAAGTCGGTGACGAGGTCGTCGGACAACACAGCAGTATCTCCACGCAGATGATTGTCCAGCAGCAGACGTCCTGTGATTGGAGACCGAGCTCTAACACGCTTCCTCATTCTGCGATGTTTATGAGCAGGAGCCGCGGGAGCGGCCTCTGTTGCCATGGTGGAGCTGTCGTGAGCAGCAATCAAAGATGCTGACTAGTAATTAAGGTAGGGGTAATCAACGATACCATAATAAGAAAATGCGCAATCACGCCCAACTCAAACAATCACTGGTATGGCACACAAAGGGAGGTTGAGACTGTCGAGTGTCAAGTGAGCAGAAGGCGCATTGCTTCCAACGGGCAACGGCAACTCCGCAGTCGCACGGCAGGCAAGCGCGACCTAGCTCACCCACGGGTTCGGATGTGCGACCGGGGACTAGCCGAGGTCCGTTTGCTTTGCACCGCTAGTACTACATAGGACTAGCGAATCTACCTACACATGACGAATTAGCTTTATTTGGAAAGGCGTGATTGGAGATCTGAAGCTCTCCCCATATTTTGCACGCAGCGTATTCAATCATTCCACAGACAGGACTTTCAAGATGCTGACTGTGCGGATTCCAATGCTTGCTGCTTTTGAAACCAACTGGCCAGAAAATGGCTAAGTTTAAAAAGCCTTGATTGTCCCCAATTCTGTGGCCAGTCCACGGATCAACTTCTCATTCATATAACCAAATGCATCAGAATGGGCCATTCCAAGACTACTACCGCCCAAGATCCCAGAATCTCTACGAATACCGGCCCAGAAGTATTGGACTTGGAACAGAATCCAGGGACAGTCGAGGACAAGGAGAAAAAATCGAAGGTTGAGGAACAGCAAACCCCTGAAGACCAACTAGAAGTTGACCCTACTGAGCCAAAGACAAAGAAGTCACTGTCCTTCAAACTTGCCTTCATAGGCCTCGCGACGAGCTTATTCGTCTTTCAAGTCGATGCAACCTGCCTGGGCATTGCCCTTCCGGTGAGTCATAACTCTAATCTGCTTCCCACCCATATCGTTCAAGTACTAATGCATTGACAGACTATATCCGGTGACTTGCATGGCACGAGTCTAGAGTCCTTCTGGGCTAGTTTGGCCTACACTCTTTGCGGCTTGGTCATCCAACCAATATGGGCCAGTATCTCCAATACCTTTGGTCGAAAGCCCCCCTTCTACACCTCTATGGGGCTGTTCTTTATCGGTTCTATTGTATTTGCGACTGCACAGAACATGAATACCATCATTGTCGGACGGGTCCTTCAAGGCCTCGGTGGAGGAGGAATTGACGTTCTGGCAGAGGTCATTCTCGCAGATATGACCACGCTGGAGGAACGATCGACATATCTCGGCTTGATGGCCATTCCGTCTGCTGTTGGAAATATTATGGGGCCCACTGTCGGCGCTCTCTTTTCGAACTATGCTAGCTGGAGATGGGTTGGATGGATCAATCTTCCGTTTTTGGGAATCGGAGCGCCATTACTGTTCTTCTTCCTCAAGCTTCGGCCTGTACCACTCGGTGCTACGCTTGCTCCAAACTTGAAGCGCGTCGATTGGATTGGCACGTTGCTTGTCATTATCGGAGTCACGGCTTTCGTTGTGCCACTCAGCTGGGCTGGTTCGCTATATCCATGGGTCGCTTGGCAAACTCTATTGCCAATGCTATTAGGAGTTGCTGTCATCATCGTATTCGTCCTCTACGAAGCTAAACCCGCGGAACCAATTATCCCCCATCGGCTTTTCCACTCAAGGACAGGAAATGTGACTTTGTTGGGAGGCTTCATTCATGGCATAATCTTGGTCTCCCTACTGCAATACTTGCCCTTGCTTTATCAAGCCGTGGAGCTCGAGACTGCAATCTCATCGGCCGTCTCTCTCCTGCCTACCAGCATTATCAGCGTGGTATTTGCAGCTGTCGCAATGCTGATGGTGCCGCTGTTTGGAGGATACGTCTGGCTTTTACGGCTTTCATGGATCATTCTCACGATTGGCACGGGCATACTAGCATTATTGAAAGTGGGGTCTTCATCGTCTATGCAATACGGGCTTCCCATCCTCTGGGGACAAGGTGTTGCCTTACTACGTCTGAACCTTCTTCCTATGCAAGCGAGCGTGAAGAATGTGGACGACACAGGCCTGGCTATTGCACAATTTCTTTCTATTCGTATGTTTGGCGGTCTTGTCGGTCTTACTATCTCTTCGGCCATTTTCAATAGTGTCTTTTCAACATCTATCAAGGATACTGCAGTCGAACTGACAGGAGTTTTGGTGCCGTTGAACGATGCCTCTAACGCAGTGAACTTTATTGATAAGTTGAGGTCACTAAATGTCTCTCAAACGACGCTGGATCAGGTCTTGAGAGTCTACCTGAAGTGTTTCCAGACAATCTTCTATACCATGACTGGTTTGAGTGGACTGGGCTTGGTGACTTCGATATTTTTAGATGAGATTGATTTGAAGAGCAAGAAGGGTTTGGGAAATCAACGCTTTGAAGATTAGCCCATAATTGTGTTTTCACTTCTAGGAAAAAAATAGATTTTCCAACCTTATATCATCATGGCTTAGGAAGCTATCAGTGTCCTCCCAGGCCACGTTCCTATCAGTTTTCAAGCTTCTATTGCCACGAGATGACCAGATGATTACTTCCAAATCCTGATAATGAAATATTTTCCATCGGCAAGCGCGCATCTTGCCTCTCACCTATTGCCCAGGCTCCCTTCACGTGCGTGTACTTCTTTTCTCAACTATCCTCCTCCGGAGGTCCTTAATACCTAAACACGTTGTAGGTCTATACCCAGGATCTCCACCGTACACTACCCAATCCAGCCGAAAATGGCAATGATACTACCTGGACGATATCGACTTCGAGTTAGTCACATTGCATCATAACCCCCAATAGATTCTAATAGAGAAATATTCCATTCGTATAGGATTTCCACTCGAAAGCCGTTGGGCATCTATCTTAAGAGCTTCGTTCATTTCCAAGAGGCAGATATAGTATCATACATCATCATGCTGCCAAATCTGCAGAATCAGTCTAAATAGCGACGCAATTTTTTGCTGTTCAAGAGTCTTTCATCCGATTATCGGCAGATTCATTGATAACCTTGGAAACCTGGGTATCCCAGAGAGGGTCATTCATGACAGTGACGTCTTGTCAAGAAGAAGAAGAAGAGCCTACTCATCTGGGGCCGTGAATGGTGATTTGCTTCGATGATAGAATAGCAAATTGGAGAGCGTGGAATTCAAACCCGTGTCGAAGTCGTGTTACTTTGTCTCTCTCTTTATCCTGTATTCTCAATATCAATATCGATCAATTGGCGATCGATACCTGTGTATGCAATCGGTTAGTTGTATCCATCTAGCGGTCAGAAGTGGGAAGTAACGAATGAAAGCACTTTTACCCGTAGACTTGGAACTATCAATCAAATGTCAGGTTACATCCATGTACTTGAGTTTTTCTATCCAGAACACCAATCTCTAACAACATTTCAATGCAAACCTGATAATCTTCCAAACCTGATAATCTTCCAAAGTCTCCCTACCAACCTAGGTTAGAGCAAATCGTAAAATTCAAAGTAGGAATACAATTTACCCAATTATTTTATTGTCGGCGTATCCAGTGTCTTCGGATTACGCTGCGAGCTAGCTGATGGGGAGGAACTGGTCGATATCGAAACGTCAAATTAGGCCCAACCCGACGACGGTATGTCAAAACAGCCACAAGTTGGCAATCTCCTTGACCGCATATCGCATGATTTGCTGAGTCTATCGATGACCCGAACCATTTTCCTTCTTTTTCTTTTGTGTCATCTAGAGCATTGGGCAGCAGCCCTGATCACAAATCAAATCCGCAAAATCAAAACAAAATCTTCTTGAAACCCCCTCCCCTCCTCCGAATAATTCAATCATCATCTGACCCCCTTCAAAACGTCACGCCGCATCTAATTGGATTTCAATTTTTATTCTCGGTGGTGGTGGTGTATGAGTATATACCCTACCCAAACCCATGCTCTCCGATTGATTCCGGTTTCCAGGCTACCTGCATATACCTGCATACTTGGAAACACACACTGCATCGGTGCTAAGCGCGCTGTCAGTCGAGAATGCAAGCAATAAGAATGGAATCAACCGTGCCACGTTGCTATTGCAAAACAGAAAATGTTTTTGTCTAGTTTTCAATTTGCCGACAAATGCTCACTGGCATACTTGATGTTGTGCAGGATATTTAGATTCTGACTGATGTAACAATGTAATTATCTCTTCCTTGTCTTCTCTTATTCGTTGCTGGGAGAAAACGATCATGATTCTAGACTTCGGTCAAGGTTTTCTTTTTGTTATCAAACCTATGTGCTTGAGGTTCTTTCACATGCAAAGCTGTTTACTTGAAAAAAGCGATCTCGGGCTTGATCTGGTTCGTTCTTGGGTCAGGCTGGATTCGAATGTGGGGATAACTTCACGAATTCCATTTGTAGGATTGTATGTGTGTTGATCACTAAATCGAATACAGTCCTTATAGACGGCAACCTTGGAGGCTTATTGCGTGACCAAATGATAGGAAGGATGGCTCAAGGGAAAAAAGGTATATAAGGATAGCAGAATCATGCGTAAAATCGATGTCGAAGGGGTTCTCAACTGGCAAATCGATAGAAACTCAGAAACCTATTTCAGAATCCATCACTATTCCAAGAGCAGAAGCTTGAACCCCTCTATCCTCGTAAGTTTAAGGTAGGCAGAGACACTTTCATATCATGAATGAAAATTGATAGCATCTCAAGGTCCCAATATCTCAACGAAACGTCATGACAAGAACATGGTATTGCGTGAGTCGAATATCTCCCTACTGGATGAGAACTATGAGAGAAAGTGCCTCACTAATATACGAATTTCCAATAATGATAGTGCAATTGCGGAAACGGCCCTTTAGTCATTGCGCATAGCCCGAGCTGCTTCCATTGTGGACATGTATTCTGTAGATGCTGTCGAACAAGTTCGCCGGTTGTCATCCCCGGACAGGACACTAGCTGCACCAACTGTGGCACAACCTGTTGTTCCCGGCCATCGATTGTTCGATCTGTGGAGCAGCATCTGCTTAGGTGTACTAAATGTGGTCACAAGTGCTCGCTGAAATGAGAACAACAGCTAGCGAAAATTTCGGGGCTGGATGCAGTTAGGAGGAACAGACAGAGGATCCATATTGTTTACTTCGAGTCATGTCGTGGTTCTCCGTTCAGAGTATGAAGCTATATTGAAATGCCATTGACTTTTACATACATTCACGATTCAACGCCACACCTTAATTACCTCGTAAATTCTTGTAAGGTGCTGTAAGACGAAGTAATACGGGCCATAGCACATAGCGCAAAAGAAGCCTAAAGTCTGGATATTGATTGACTTAGGGCTAGAATAAATGGAATGAAGATACTAACCACATTCGGTCGTCCGGGGTCAAAGTACTTTGAGTTTACAATTTCCCATCGGCCGACCAAGATTGAATACGATTCGAATCAAAATGAAAACAAAGAGAGTCGTAAATCATCAATATTTCTACAATGAGTCGGTGTACAATCATTATTGTAGTGTGCCTTTTGTGCCTGAGGTTCCTCCTCGATTTGTGCCTGAGGCTGAAAGTGAAGGTGGAGCAGAGCGCCTCTAGGCAAGGGTTAATGAACTGGCTCCACCCACCTATTTCAAGGTTACATTGTACGACACACTCTTCAACTATTGAAATCCATCCATGTTTCATGAATACTACTAGGCGAAATAGGGAAGACACTGACAAGGGTATCATTGGGTTGATTCAACTTTGTTGAGATCGTAGAACCGTGGAAGATATTATAGCTGCCTGCGAAGCCAGTGGACACTGAACGATATGTCGGGCAACCCGAATAGGCTTAGTGCGAGTTAGTTTACGAGGAGCTGAACGGTTGCTATTTTTGGTCCGTCTGTACGGGGTACGGTGCGATTGTCGCCGATTGACCGATGGAAAATCTTACCAATACATATAAACTGATTGTGAACAGCATTCAATCGCTGGAAATTAAATAAATAAAAGGCAATTGATCATTGATTATCTCGAGTATCCATCTTCATGAAATCGGAGTGTAACAGGTTCAAAGTGCATGTCGGAAAGCACAGGGCCGGGGTCCGTAAGCGGCTAGTGGGAGGCTGTGTTGCGAACAGTGAGCACGATCAATTGGGTTCCACCGCACGTGACTTTTTTCGAACTCTTTGTAGAAATAGAGCGACAGAGGAATCTAGATGTATGAACTTGTACCAGCTGATATGCGGAACGAAACAATACGCGCAATACCGGCCTCTAGTTCTGCTTAGCAGCGCTGAAATGTAACTTGTTGATTGGCTGTAAATGTAACAAAATCTCTGGATGAGTCACAGCGGACAAAAGTGAGTCACGGGCTGCGACTAGGCCTGCTACTAGGCCCGATCGAGCAGGACGTTGGCCATACAGCCAATCGTAGCACCGCCAGGAATTGAGCCTCATCTTTCCGAAGCCCGCCTATCACGTGTGTCTAGGCCTGGACAGGCCTAGCGCCAACACGTATTGCGCCGTGGCAGTGAGACTCAGCGAGCACAGTGGGTCCCCGCAGGCCAATCAGCGCAGACAGCCCGATGGGTCGTCGTCACGTTGTGGCTAGGCAGCACTTTTACAGGCTCGATGACCTCGACTTGTCCCCGTTACACCCTCGCTGCTTCCCTCATCCACCCTCAACTCTCTCTCATGAAGTCATTTTGATCATACTACTATACTATTAGTATTGTACGAATGCCTGGCATACCTTGACCGTGGTCCGCTGTTTCCTCGAAATGGGTTTTCCGATTAATTACCTACTGCAACTCCTACAGTCGTTTCTTCCCGTCCATGGACTGGAGGGCAAGTGTTCCTTCCCTATTGTCCTCTTCAAAGTCTGCCAGAAGCAGCAACAGTCGCTGAAGCCTGCTCCTGCCGACAATAACAACAACATCAACAACAACAATAACTCCTCGATGGACAACACCGGCAACTCCCACCCCACGTATGTTCTCCCTTGGCTTGAGTCTTTGAACTATCTCTAACCGTCCCGTAGCATGGAATCTCCCTCCACTCTTCTCCAGAACCTCAACCTCGACGGGGTCTCTGACAAGACTCTCCCTGCCATCATGCTCTCTCCTCTTGATTCCCGTCCTTTGGTGTTCCCCACCATCGTCTATGAGACACGAAAGAACTCTGCCGTCACGAAGCACTCGCTGGTCGAGGTGGACGGCGATGAAGCAGAAGACGACGTGCAACGCTCCATGGCGCGGAGGAAAAAGAACGAGCCGCCCATGGACATCAACAAAAAATGCAGCCACTGCGACAAAGTCTTCAAGCGTCCTTGCGACTTCACCAAGCACGAAAAGACACACTCGCGTCCTTGGAAGTGTCCTATGCAAGACTGCAAGTACCACCACGTCGGCTGGCCCACCGAGAAAGAGCGTGATCGCCATGTCAACGACCGCCATTCGGACAACCCACCTGCGTACAACTGCATGTTTAATCCATGTACTTATACCTCCAAGCGCGAGAGCAATCTCAAACAACACATGGAAAAGGCTCACGGCTGGAAGTACGTTCGATCCAAGAAGAACGGCAAGCGTGGCCAGACCCCGTCGGCGTCTGAGGGCTCTCCCAATCAGACTACTCCTCCTACTCCCTCCATGCCCTTGACTCCCGCCATGTCTACTCCTGTCTCTAGCCTTAGCACTGAGCTCCCGTCTCCGTCTAGTGGTCACATGCCCTCGCCTTATTCCCAGAACATGTCGGTCAACGAGCCTGTCATCTACAATGGCTCTTACGTTGATGGCTACACCAACATGGCTAACGGCCAGCCGTTCAACTTTGCTGMCCCGCCAATGATGTCTGGTGTTGACTATTCCGACTTTCAACTCTTCTCGTCTGATCTTGACAACATCGCACTGGATCCTGTTCCTCATTCGCAGACCGAAGACTTTGCCCCATTCAACCAGGCTTTTGAGGCCGGCAACACTCATGAGCTAATCTCGCAACCTCCGAGTGCCGACATGACCATGGATCAGTTGGGTCAAGACCACCTCAACCCCTACTGCTTCGACAGTGAATTCTACAACTACCAGTCGGGCGCGTTGAACGACTTCCAACAGACCAACGGGATGCCTGAGTTCCACCACAACGGAATGCCAGAGTTCTAATTATACCATACATCATCATTATACGGACGACATACCTGATCGCCCTCACCATAGAGACGTGCCACGACTATTCCTCTTCTATTCTCCTATTGCTATTCTTAGCCTGTATTTCTTACCATTAGCGAGACCTTTTTTGTTTTTATCCATTTCATCTACACAGAAAGAAAGGATTTATTCTCAGTTGTTTTGGCGTGGATTGGTATTTTTTTTACAAGCTTTGTCTTGGTTTTCTTGGTATCGCTTACTTGTTAAGACACATTCTGCTCTTGCTGTCAGTGTTACAATACGATGTATCGTGAATCAAATTGATACAATTGTATGTCCCAGTAATGTCAGTAATGTTCCAGTAATTGACTAGATGCCTACCTAGGTAGACTAGGCATCAGCCTGAAGCTATATACACAAACCTAGATAAGTCGAACTATATATACACGCTATTTCCTCATTTCGCACCACCCTTTCCAACGCTGTCTGCAACCCCAACCGCGGCATCAGGATCAACCTCATTTTCCAGCCTCTGCGCCTCCATCAACCTCTCCGCCGACGCCTCGGTCAACAAATACTCCTTGTGTCCCCGTATAAACCAAAAGGCCACCGCAATAACAAGCATAACCCCAAAGACCGCAATAGCATAATTCATATCACTCGGCGCCGGATTTGGTGATCCCGGAAAGAAGAAAAACACAGTGGTAATGCAGCAGTATATCACACTGATCCAGTTCACGACGGGTCCTACGCGACGACCGAGACGGAACGTGCCTCCAGCAGGAAGTTTGTCGCGTCCTACGACTAGCAGTGCGAATATGGGGAGGCCGTAGCTGATGGTTAGCGCGATTGTGCTCACGCTCAGGATTGCGCTGAGAACGGTGTTTGCGAAGAGATAGAGAACTCCGACGAGACCGATCAACACGCCTTGTAACCATAACGCGCGTGCGGGCACTTTCCATACGCGGTCGACGTGCGCGAAATACGAGCTGAAGGGGAGACCGGAGTCGCGCGCGAAACCCCATGTTAGGCGTGAGGCGGTGGTTGCGATGCTGACTCCCTGACCCAGACCATTGAACTCGAAGAGAGCAATCAAAGCGACGCCGCCGTGGAGGCCGATTGCGTCTTGCACGAGGTCCATGAATGGTAGACCCGTGGCAGAGTTGATGATTGCGTCGACGTCTTGAATACAGAAGAGACAGACCAACATGAATATAAATCCGGAAATGGCGCCGCACGCAACAGCGAGATAGATTGCGCGCGGTGCATTGCGGCGTGGAGCGGGGATCTCTTCGACCATGTGGATGACGCTGTCGAACGCCGTGAGGCCATAGGCTGCCTGCACAAGACCGATAAACCAGGTAACGCCGTCACTCCAACCGGTCTGATTAATCCAGGTACCAAACACAAAGCTTGCGGGTTGGAAACTGAGGTCTGGTTTTGTGCCCACGGCAATCAAGAGCGCGAGACTAAACACTACAAATAAACCGCAAAACCACACGCCGACAAAATCGTTGAAGTACGGCAGGAATTTATCCTTTCGGCATGCTACCAGATTAATCACAGTGAAGAGCGTGGTGATACCGATATAGACCAAAAACTGAACCCAGCCTTCACTCGCACCGGCCCAGTCGTTGTTGAACATGACTTTCATACCTAACATGAAATTTGTCATGAACCCGATTTGAGACGCGGTTAGCGTCCACCATCCAAACATATTGATCCATGCGCACATGTACGACGCAAACCGGCCGAGCGGTTTATCTTCCCAGAGTCTGTGGACCCAGTACGCCTGCCCTAGTGCGGTGGGCATGCTACTACACAGCTCTCCCAATGAAACAGCAACACACAGGTTGCATGCTGTGACGAGACACAGGCCCCAGAGGATACTTATAGGCCCACCGTTTGTGAGTCCGCTGGCAAGGTCCTGTGCGAACGTGGACCATGTACCCAGCACGCAGAATGCGAGGGCGAGCATGCTCCATATATCAAATTTGCGGGTTAGGGCTTGGTCATGGCCCAAGGCGGCGAGATCGCGGGCATCGAGGACGCTTTGGTCCACGGATGCGGACGGTTTGAGGGGTGGTTGGGTTTCGGTGTCCATGTTGTTGTCGTTGTTAACGTCCATTGTCGTTGTCACTGTAGTAATACAAAAGGAGGAGAATGCGAGTAGATAAAGATGGGGGGTTGCTCATTCTCTGGTGGAGGTTGTATAGTGTGTCTCGGTTTTCTTTTCAAAGCGAAGGATAGATGATGTCTGTCTGATGAAGAGACGGATAGGGATGGAATGGCAAAGTCTTATTATACTCATAACAACAATCTATATCCCTCATTAGTGCCAATATTCATAAACCTAGTCAAATAATGCGGAGAAGGTCTTATCACCTCCTATCCAACTTAATGACATACTTCGTCGTAGTTACGGTAGTAGTAACCCAAGTGTAGATATTGACAAATCGCGTCCTATTTCGGAGATTACCCCCAATCACAGCCCATGTGTCATTTCCTTGACTCAAGTTCTCCGTCGATCCACTTCCCCAGCTGATGCCTGAAACGGACCCAATTTGTCTCGAATGCCGAACTGTCGAAATTAGATTGACTTGAGGAAAAGAAGCTTTCTTTTTTTTTCTTCCCCGCAAAATTATTTTCGGTATAATGGAAAAGTGGGGCGGCATATACATGCCGTTTTGGGGTTAGGGCGCCTGCTGCTTTTAGGGGGTGGCTCTGGACCCTAATCTCAGGCTTAGTGTACTATGTGGTAGAGATCGAGCTAACCCACTGGCCGAGGATTGATTAATGGCCCTTTTAATGCCTGTTTTGGGTACGGTGGGATGATAAGAGATAAGACAATGGAACTATGCCCAGATGCGAATGAGTGCTTACGTTTGGATAAGAGCTTCGAGCTTATCGCTAGCCCTAATCAGGGAGGTTCAGGCGATATCAGTAGACTGTATTCTGCAGATTGACCAAGTTACGGTGTATGATGTCTATGTACTGCTTATGCATAGCTATGTAAGGAGAACGGAGTACGTAACTCGAGGTGAGTCTTTGATGCAGACCGGTCAGGTGTCATGATTACTAGATATGTGCTGACGAAACGACTATCTCTTGTGCTGAGCTTCAGTTTTTACCCATAAATAAGTTACATTGTCTATTATACTCGACTTATAAAACATAATAATAGTATTTTTGTCAAAGGGGAGACGGAAAGACGGAGTATATCTATAACAGACAACCCGTTACACAAAGCCGAGTACAGGTGATACTACACTCGAAACTATATACTCCGCAGATCAATGGTAAAAGGAATCCGCATCCATAAAGACAGTTTACATATAAACTATTATCAAAGAGAAACGTTCGACGTCTTTGTGTGTCCAGAGAATGGAGATGGACGGGATAGCCTCACTTTTCGATCTGATCCCACTCCCCGCTGTGTCCGTATCCGGAAGGTACAAGCGTACTTTTCTCTGTCTGGCTTCATGCGAGATTGTGTATAAATGCATGCTTATCTCCCTCGTAAGAAAATTAACCATCATATACTTTGCTCTTCATCGCTATTGTACAGTGTACACGCTACCAAGCTCTACTTCAGGCTTTTTGTTCAGTCATCTCTTTTGATGTCTAAGTATTCTTATTCCTACTACAACCGATACATACCTAGGTAAAAACTACCACCATGGCGCCTGATACATCTTCTATACCGGGTTATACCATTTTCCGTGAGGACGATTATGGGTCCAGTTCTGCTGCTAGCCAGATCACTGGAAAACAACCGCATCCACTAGGTAGGCAATTCAACAAAAAGTTTCACCAAGAAGCATACGCTGACATATGGTACAGATCAACTGAGCATCGAGGAAATCCCCCTCGCCGCAAAACTGATCCGCGAATTCGCATCCCCAAAACAAGTCAAATTCAACTGCATCACGCTCCGCGAACCGCTCAAGGCCGAGTATGCCGCATACCGCCAGGGCCTGGGCCCCCGACCTGACCGTCGCGTGTTCGCGATTGTGCTCGAAGTCGGAACTGCCAACTGCGCCGAAGTAGTCGTGAATCTGAACAAGGCCACCGTCGAGGAATGGAAGGAAGTCAAGGAAGTTATGCCAACCCTCACCCTCGAGGATTTGGATATCATGGAACGCATCTGTCGTAAAGACCCGCGCGTCATCCAGGCTTGTAAAGAGATTGGGATTACGGATATGTCCAAAGTCTTTATTGATGGATGGGCAATTGGTGTTGATGAGCGATGGGGTTTTGATCGCCGACTCCAACAAGGTTTGGCGTACTATCGCTCATCCGCATTTGACAATCAGTACGCTCATCCGCTCGATTTCTCGATTGTGGCCGATACGGAAACAGAAGAGATTCTCAGCGTGGATGTCCGCACTGTCAATGGAGAGCGGACGCAGGTCAATCTCGAAGGATCGAATTATCTGCCTGAGTTCATCTCTGATGGGTACAAGCATGATCGTTTGAAACCGATTAACATCACGCAGCCGCAAGGTGTCTCCTTTCGCATGCGTGGGAATGAGTTGTCCTGGGCTGGGTACAAGATGCATATTGGTTTCAACTACCGTGAAGGTATCGTCATTTCGGACGTGCGTATCGACGATCCATACCAGGAGCGAGAACGGACCCTCTTCAATAGGATTAGTGTTGTCGAGATGGTTGTTCCTTACGGCAGCCCTGACACCCCTCATCACAAGAAGCATGCTTTCGATGTTGGCGAGTATGGTTCAGGCCTAATGACGAACTCGCTGAAATTGGGTTGTGACTGCAAGGGCGCTATCCACTACCTCGATGCCATCGTGTCAACGGCCAAGGGAGAAGCAGCCATGATCAAAAACGCAATCTGTATTCACGAAGAGGACAACGGATTGCTTTTCAAGCATACCGATTACCGCGACGGAACCGTCATTTCAGCTCGTGATCGCAAATTGATCATTTCTCAGATTATCACCGCTGCAAACTACGAGTACGGGTTCTACCATACCTTTACGCTTGATGGTACATACAAACTCGAAGTCAAGCTTACCGGTCAACTGAACACATACCCCATGCAYCCCACCGAACAAGCCGCTCCCTGGGGCACCGAAGTCCAGCCTCGCATCAATGCGCAGAACCATCAACACATCTTCTCGCTACGTATTGACCCCGAAATCGACGGCACCAACAACACCGTCATCCAATCCGATGCCCACCCCTCCGACGAACCTGTCGGGTCACCCAACAACTACTACGGCAACGCATTTTACGCCAAAAAGACACCCCTCCGCACCGCCCTCGAAGGCGCAGCAGACTACTGCCACGAGACAAGTCGATCATGGGACATCGTAAACCCCAACATCATCAATGAGATATGCCACAAACCCGTCGGCTACAAGATCCTCAACAACAACTGCCCGCTCCTCCTACCCAAGCCGGGTAGCGTCGTCTGGAAACGCGCCGGCTTCGCACGCAAAGCGCTCTGGGTCGTTCCATACAAGGACTACGAGCTTTTCCCTGCAGGCGACTACGTCTGCCAATCTGACGGCCGCGACAACCACCCACACAACCAAACCGTCGTCGACTGGGCAAACCGCAACGAATCAATCGAAAACACAGATATTGTCTGCTACCTCCAGTTTGGTCTCACCCATTTCCCGCGTCTTGAGGACTATCCGATCATGCCTGCTGAGCCAGTGAGCATCATGTTGAGAGCGTCGAATTTCTTTGAGAAGAATCCGGCACTCTGGGTGCCACCGTCGGCGATCTGTGTGGATACGGTTTCGCATGATGCTTTCCCTTCGGCGGGGAAGTGTTGTGCTGGTGGTAGTGGAAAGGAAGGGGAGCATCAGTCTAGATTGTAAATATCAATGGATATATTGCATGTGATATGAGATACATACATACATAGCATGAAAGGCGTTTCAATGTAATTGAGTTGTTTGAACATATAGGACAGTTCTATTTCCATTATACATGATAATATATGCCAATGTTGATTCAATATATTGACCATACGATGAATCCTTCAATGTTCGATTGACGTTCTTTCAATGTCAACAATGGATCTGATAATTCAATAATTGAGAGGCTTGTCTGTTTTTGGAGCCGATGTCAATCTATCTACGTCGCGGTATACTTGAATCATCCAGATCACTTTCTTTACGAGTTCCATCTATTTTTCACTGACAATGCACGATGATATATATGTTTGGATGAGATGGTATGAGGAGTGATTCTTCATCCTATTTATTTCCGCTAGAAAAAGTTCTTTGTTTATAACTTATCATACTTAATGACAGCAAGAAAGCTTGTAGCTTTCCTCCGAATAGCGAGGAAGAATCAATCAATGATGTAACTTAGCCTCTAAGGTAGGGTATGGTATCTCAGCTCGTTAACCAGATAGACCTAGGGTTTGTGCATGCATGTGACCCAATATATGAGCTGTATAGTGCTAAATACTCCATTTCCTAATCAAGCAGGTACAATCCCGGCTCAGATATTACCCCGACCAAGCTAGTCTCACTGTCAGCCTGCTTGTTAGTCAGGGCACGTTCGAATTGACTTTCTTTATGGACTTGGATGTTATACTATGTACTCTATTTTCGGCGAACTAATCCAATCGGTTTTGCGCCATTGATAGATAGAGAGCGTGAAGCTCCGAGTCGCCGAATGCGAGTGTTGCAGCCTTGCAGGCGGTTCGTCGGCAGGGATGTACCGAGGAGCTTAGCTTCTAGCTTTTGAGGTTGTGTTTGGGAATCTGTAGCTGGGAGTAATTCCGATCCTGTGTGTTCCTCAAATTTACGTAAACACTATATAGTACAAGGTGTACACAAGACTGATCGTGTGGACCCCGACTTTGAGATTGTGTAACCAAAGCTATGCTGTCCAAGACGAGGCCCGAGGTGAGATTAGATGAGATTCGGAATATGGGGTACACGCTCAATCGTTCAGCATGGTCCTGACAATAACCACATTGAGACGGCCTTCTATATCAGTTACGTACAAATATTCAGTGCATCAAACGTCAGAACTGGACGCTTAAAACAGCGAGACGCTACCTCAAAACGACAGGTCCATGCGAGCGGGGGATCCACTGATAGCATTCCTCTACTTATCGCGACTAACCCTAAGTGAGATACGTCTCATGCGGAGAACTACATTGTGCATCATTGCTTTTATCAGACGGATTTATGACTTATTAGTCTGCTAGGTAGATAGCTGTCGGTGGGTAGCTACTACAATAAGACTTTTGACTTGTCAGTGTCCGAGGCTTGTACATAATTACTTTCACTTCTTCTCCATTCTTGAATTCCTGTCATCCAACATACCCCATCAAGAGAAAATGACAGATTTACAAGTCAAGCTCACAGCCCCAAATGGGCGCACATATATCCAGCCTACGGGACTGTTCATCAACAACGAATGGGTGCCGTCCTCTGATGGCAAGAAGATTGCCTCTATCAACCCAACGCAAGTCCCCAACCCCTCCCTACAATACAACCTTCAAAGTCTAACGAGGCAACAGGAACGAAACAGAAATAGTCTCTGTCCACGCCGCCTCAACCGCCGACGTTGACAAAGCTGTCGCCGCAGCCCGCTCAGCCCTCAACTCCCCCTCATGGCGCGACCTGCCGGCCTCAGATCGCGGCAAACTTCTGTACAAACTCGCCGACATCGTCGACGAGCACCGTCTCGTCCTCGCCACAATCGAAACATGGGATAATGGCAAACCCTTCACCGTCGCTCGAGACGAGGATTTGACCGAGGTCATCGAGACGTTGCGCTACTATGCTGGTTGGGCCGATAAGACGTTTGGACAGGTTATTGATACGACACCCGACAAATTTGCGTATACCCTCAGAGAGCCGGTTGGAGTTTGTGGACAGATCATTCCGTATTTCCCCCCTTTTCCATTCTCTGCGAGAAGAATACAGCTAACAAACAAAGATGGAACTACCCCCTCTCAATGGCAGCATGGAAACTCGGCCCAGCCTTGGCCTGCGGCAACACCGTCGTCCTCAAACCCGCCGAACAAACACCCTTATCAATCCTATACTTCGCGAACCTTACCAAACAAGCCGGCTTCCCAGCAGGCGTAATCAACATCCTCAACGGCCAAGGCCGCATCACCGGCGCCGCCCTGGCCACGCATCCCAACGTCGACAAAATCGCTTTTACGGGCAGCACCGCCACAGCGCGCGAAATCATGAAAATGGCCTCTTCCACACTTAAAAACATCACCCTTGAAACAGGCGGGAAATCGCCGCTGATTGTCTTCAACGATGCAGATTTGGACTTGGCGGTTGAATGGGCTCATATTGGGATTATGTCTAACCAGGGCCAGATTTGTACTGCCACTTCCAGGGTGTTAGTGCAGGATGATGTCTACGATACATTTTTGGAAAAATTCAAGGCACACACGAAGAAAATAAGTAAAGTGGGTGATCCATTCGATGAAGCGACCTTCCAGGGTCCCCAGGTTACGAAGGCGCAATATGATAGGATTATGTCCTATGTTGATATTGGCAAGGCCGAGGGTGCGAAACTCGTTCTTGGTGGGAAGCCTGCGGCGCCTGATGCGAAGGGATTCTTTATTGAGCCAACTGTCTTCACAGATGTCAAGAGTCAGATGCGGATTTATCAGGAAGAAGTGTTTGGCCCCTTTGTGTGTCTGGCGCGTTTCAAGACGGAGGAAGAAGCGTTGAAGATGGCGAATGAGACCACATATGGACTGGGAAGTGCGTTGTTCACGACGGATCTTGTCAAGGCTCACCGTGTGGCGCGCAGGATTGAGGCGGGAATGGTGTGGATCAACTCGAGTAATGATTCGGATTGGAGGATTCCGTTTGGTGGTGTCAAGGGCAGCGGAATAGGTAGAGAGCTTGGAGAGGAGGGATTAAAGGCGTATAGTCAGGTGAAGAGTGTGCATGTCAATATGAAGTCTAAGCTATAGTTCACTTGGGTACTGCCAAGCAAAGCTGAGATTATTGATTGGTTTATGCAGCTATATTCTATGTCCAACTCCGAATTATGATTAGCTCTAATTATGCTTAGGTATTATCTATCGGTTGTCAATCAGCGAGAACCTCCCTCAACATCATCCCAAACGACTCTTGTAGTTTGTAGACCTCCTTGACCTCCGGCTTGACCGGTTCGCCGGCTGATCGTCGCAGGTGATCTTGCTTTTTAGCACGTCGCCTACGCTCCGCCAGGATCGGGTCAAGATCGTCGTCCTCTGAGTTTTCATCATCTTCATCCGACTCCTCATTGGTAATAGCAAGATCATCCAGGTCATCCTCGTCAAGACCAAAATCGCTGGTGCGGAACGTCGCACTTCCAGGTACCTCACCAGTGCCCTCTGCAGCCATTTTCTGTCGGGTCTTGTCGTGGTGCCATTTCTTCCGGTCTTCTTGCCATTTGACCAGACTGTCTATCTCTCGGATGCATTCGTCTTTGTCGATTTGTTTAGTGTCCACCGCTCCTTGGAACAATGCGTTCATATCCAATTTGAATCCACTGCGTGGGCCTTTGCGAAGAAATTCTAGGATATTCTCTATCCAAGCCATGAGAGATCCAAAGAGACCATTGTCATGTAGATGGACTTCGTGGACGAATTTGTAGAAATTGTGTTCGTGTCGGGCACAAAGATCAATAAATGCTTGTACTGTCTGATTAGGGTCTGCCGAAACATCCTGTCGTTGAGCCTTTTCGATAACTCCAATGGCATCTTCCGCGAATTTGGCAAAATCCGTAATGCTATTGTAGACGTTGGCAGACTTGTAGACGCGGACCAACGGCTCATAGAAAATTGTGAACAAGTCTCGGAACAGTTTCAAAGTAGTAGGCTAGCCAAATCAGCATTGATCAGTTAGCAGATAAGGAAGGCATACCTCTTCTATCATATTCAACATCATGGCCTTGTCGCGCTGTCGAGTATACAGTTTGAGCAATTGTTTTAGATACGCGAACCATTCAGCTCCATGCACCAAGTCCTCATGAATCTAGGTAAGTCAGTTGATGTCGATCTGAAAGAGAAGGATACGTACATTCTCTACGGCTGAATTCCACGCTACATAAGCGTTGAAAATCTTTTCAATCTGAGCAGGCTTCATCTCTGGAGTCAACAACTCAGACCTGAGAATCGCAACGACGATATCAATATCTTCATCTTGTGCTTCATCACGAATGACGGTCTTGAGAAATTCGTCTGAATTGACAAATGACTTCAACTTCTCACAAATCACCGGATCCTCGACTTTCGCAACCAATGCGTCGATTGGCTTTTGGAACTGCTTGATTCCGTCGTTTAGAGTCATCGAGAATATCCGCTGCAACAGTGACCGTGATCCAAACGGCTGAGCAAGAAACAAGTCTAGAACGCCGGACATGACAGCGGCAGGATTGGCTATACGAATGACATTCTTCATCAGGGTATAAGGGATCAGTGAATGTATCCTCTTAGCTTGTGCAAACATTTCTGGCGAATTATCCTCTGCTAAAAAGATATGGTATATCGTAGCGGCAACCCTGTTCAATTAGCAATGATCAATCAGTCAGTATCGAGGCAGACATACTCAATTCGAAGCCATTCGGCAAACTTCTGGTATTCCGGACTAAGCTCCTGAATGGTATTCTTTTCTTTGATCTCGGCAAAGAGCTTTGTGAGGCCGTCTATTAAAATTAGCTCAGAACACTACGAGAACTGGTATAGACTTACTTTGTTCAACAATGCTTTGCCGAAATTTCTCCATATATACATCCAACTCGGCGGCGCGTTGTCGAGCAATCTCGTAGAACTTTTTTTGTTCCTCGATGCGAGCAGCATCCGCGCTTTTTCTTCGTTTGATATCAAGCAACTCTTCTTCGTTTAGCGTTACAGGCCGTGCTGTCAAGAAATCTTCCATAGCTTTCGACTCGGCCACTCTCTTGTTCTGCAGGATAGTTCGTAGAAATGCCCTCAACGACACTCGCTGCTCTTCTCGGTAGAGAAAAGTGCCTCGCTGAAGATCACCTGATGCACGAGGCGACACTGATCGCACAGACAAAGCGGATGATCGCGAGTTTGAACGATGATGCTCGGGAATATTTAATGTCAAGGTCGACTTTGACGCAGCACGGTCGTCATCGACCACGGCAGTACCGCCTACAGTTGATAAAGAGGATACAGAAGAAGCATCGTCATCGCCCGCGCCACCCCAGAATGAAGCATTGCTAGATTTCTTGTTCTTCCTTGGCAAAGGTGGTAGCATTTTTCCGGGGAGCTCGGTTCGTATCCGTTTGTGCAGTTTGACAAAGTCGCCATATCGTCTGCCAACGTAAATGTCCGGTTGACCAGCTTTCCTAACACGAAGAATAAATTCCTTCAAAATGGTCAGCAGAATGAATTTTTGGTAATAAGAGTGACGAGCATACCGCGTGTTGATGATAGCGAACAGTGCGTTTCACAGATGTCGTCCTAACGGCTGCTACATTAACGTCCCAATTATTGATATCCTGGCCATCCGGCATGTTCACGAGCAGACCCTTTTCGTTGGCTCCTCGGTCTACAATCTCCATCTCTGCAAACCTTATACGTTCCTCGTAGCCCGAAGCGGTGGGAATACCCGACACCATGAAGAGTTCGACTAGTTTCTCGCTCTTCTTGGCCAGTTTCTTTCGTTTTGTTTCTTCCAGTCGATCTTCGGAGGAGGATATATTCTTGTTCGCAAACGACTCGAGAAACTACGAGCATTGTCAGCATGCCCTCTCTGCGGGGGATATCCGTGCGCACCACTTGTAGACGGTCCTGCCAGAACTCTTTTTCGCGGGCTTGGTCGAGAAATGGGAAATTTCGAACATGGTTGACGAAGATGAACCGTAAAATAGGTAGGTCTGAGTCCACAGGCGCAACTTCACCAAATTCTGACTTGAAAGGTGCACCGAAGCGTTGGAGGGCAGTGGGGTGGGCAAGCTGGACGATTTCACGCTGGACTTGGGCGCTTAGGAGTTCTCGCTTGAGATCTGATACAGTCAGCATTCGATTGAATAGTACAGTGATATGGCTACCGTACAATGCTCTTGCTTTCCAGTGAGAATATTATTTGGTGTAACGCCATTGCTTTGTTCCGTTGCAGGGGCAGCAATCGTAGCTGGAGCTGCCGGGTTAGCAGCATCTAGCTGCGTGACCATCGTCTGAATTTGCAATCGGTTGCTTGATTGTGTGTTCGTTCAGCAGAAGTCAAATCCCAGTAATCAGATGATTTTAAAATCAGGCACAAAACTTTTTTCGTAAAGTAATTCTTCTGATCCTTTTGTGATGGGACGGAGTAATTATTGTTGACGAACAATAATAGGATTGTACTATTGAGACGGGTGACGTCGGTGACCGCCAGCAGAAGATCCCCGTGCGCCTATTACAATAAGCGGCAGTTTCGGCACGATCACTAGATCTGAGCTTGGCCGTCAAAGTGCTGCTACTTATCGATCGATGAAGAGAAAAGAAATTTGAAGATCCTGGACGAAATGAAAGAATACTTGAAATATGATGAGATGATGCCAAGCCACGCTGTGGAGAGAACGAGCGTACGTACGTATTCGTATGTATGTGTTTGACAGCAAGAGCAATCGATGCTGTGGGGCTGGTGCTACTACATATTACTAGCTTACGAGGCATTGTAGGCAACTGCTAAACACGGTACACCAAGTCTTCTTCTTTTTTCCTTTCTGTATTCTATCTCTCACTATCTAACTACATAGTACAACATCGCCGCAAAAATCTTGCTAGATCGGGCTTAGCGGATACAGGTCTAAGCCTCTTGGCCTCAATTTCTCAACGTCCGAACAAGCCGAGCTGCTTTACGTGATGGCGAGAACACCGCCACTACTCCTTGGCTGTCACGAGGCATTGGACTACTCACCATCGCCCGGCCGGTGCAATCCTTTGCTTCTAACGAACAGTGCAGCAAGAGTAGCTATTGCGCATAAAGATGCCGATAGAGCAAACGACATGCGTAAACCGTCATAATAAACCGAGCGAGCAGCCATCTGTATATCGGGTGGGAGGTCATAAATCGCAGACACCGAATGTCTGATCTCATCAATCACCTAGCACGAATTTGATCAGCTTTTGCCAGACAAGAAACTACACGGCTCTGAAGATGAAGGATTTTACTTTCCATTGATCTGGTATTCCACTCAGAGCCTTTGAAAGGCCCGAGTTCAGTTGGTTTTGCACGACGGCAGATGTGATGGCAACGCCCCAGACGTTACCCAAGGACCGGATGAGGTATACGGTTGACGATGACACCGCATGATCTGCTAATTAGCTAAGTTCGGAAAAATATCCCGGCAAGAACCTACCGGTATGGTCAAAAGCAGCAAGAAAACTAAACAATATACCAGGATACACCATGCCTTGTCCTAAATTGGCAGGGAAGACGTAGACGAAGTACTTCCAATTCGCATCGTTGAAGCGGAGCAAAGCGACAAGAAGATTTCCGATAAACATCAACAGAGCTCCCAATTGCACAATTTGGGACAGTCTGCCCCAGCGCGACATGATGATACCGGCAATGAGGCCACCGACTGGAGTTGCCAACGAAGGAATGACCAATCTCGCACCAGCTGTGCTGGCTGAATCGAGGAGGACGACCTGGAAGAATAGTGGGAGATTGAATAGGAACTGCAGTGCCGTGACCATGTCAGTTATATTCGTCTCGAAGAGTAGGTGTACTTACAGCATATGCTCCCATACCTACACAAAGATTGGCGATTTGAATACAAATTGGCACTGTGCCTTGTAGCAGGCGAAGCGGAATGATTGGAGCAGCCGATGTCTTGGCTTCTGTCCAAAGAAATAGTGCAAGCAATATGACACTACCAACCAGGGCCAAGATAATCCATGGATTGTTCCAGGGTAACTCGTTGCCTCCAAGACTAAGGCCCACAAGCTGAACTGACAGACCTAACACGAGAAGCACTGTTCCTAGGATATCCACCTGCTGCCATATGCCTCGCCATCCAGGAGTCAAATTTTTGAGGCCATTGCTTTTCTCTGGGAGACGAATAACGAGCTTTCCGACAATAAGTGCAAATACAGACAGTGGAATCTGCAGTGAAAAGCACCATCGCCAACCGATTGTCTCGGCAATTGCACCGCCGACGGAAGCACCGCAGATAGACCCAAACCCGTGGAGCACATTCTGTGCGGCTTGATACATGCCTCGATTTTGGAAAGGAATCAAGTCGGAATTGATAATAGTTGCTACATCACCAGTTAGCATGTATAGATGATGAATGGAGAGCGATCGCAATAACCAATTGTGATCAGACCGCCGCCTCCAATCCCAGTAATTGCTCTCATGATATTCAGCAAGAACATGTCCTGTGCCACTCCACAGCCAAGACAGCCAAGAAGGAACGAGATGGTGCTGACGTAGAAACACGGCTTTCGCCCAAAAATATCAGACATTCGCCCGTAGATTGGCTGAAAAGCTGTACTTGTGATCAAGTAGGATGTCGTCAGCCAAGATGCCGTGTTGGCTGCGTTGAATTCGGAGCTGATAAGTGCGTATGTTGAGACTGTAATGGTCCCATCGAAGCCTGACAGGAAGACATTGGCGAAGATTGCTTCACAATCAGGTATTAGTTACTTGTAATGTTGGCTCAGAGGAGTGTATACCAACGTACCGACTTGGATCCATACGAATCCCTTGGGAGGTTTCCAGCTTGTCTCTTCAACCTGCTGAAGAAGAGCCTGAGACTCGGATAATTGCTCGATATCATCACTGCTTCTTCCGTCTACAAGAACAGCGGGGTCTTCCAGACTGACGAGTATTGGATCTTCTACGGCCATTTTGCGAATTTTGATGGTTCCTAGAATCGATATTCAGATGAAGCTTTTATGTAGGGCAACGAAAAATGAGTTGAAATACGAGCGAAAATCTCTCCCTACGATCACACCATTTACTAGTTACTACCCCTCTTGATAACGCCCCACAGCAGATGATATCTGGTCATGTAAGTTGGAGGACATATATTGGAATTGACTATGACAGTAATTCACAGATAGACAAACCTTACTTGTAAAATATGCTCTAAATTACTCCTCTGAAATATGATGCCGCAAACAGAGTCATATATGGAGGGGACCCACGTCGTGCCAAGACTTCCAGTTTCCATAGCGACATCACGATTCTGAGAGCTTCAACAGTCGCCTAACTACCACATCTTCACTATCTCAACACTATCGAGTGAGCAGTTTTTCTACAAGGGATTGCAGAAAATGTGACAAATCTCTCAACTTCTGGCAATGAAATGAATCAAGGAAGCGAAACAACTCCCCGACGAACCACATCCTGGCGCGGCCGACTCATCGATGGTGTTTGGTACTGCGACTGTGATCCGCGACTGCCAGCAGACCACTTTCAAACCAAGAATGGCGGAGTAAACCATGGTCGGTGGTGTAAGTGTCATGTGCGATTTAAAAAATGATGGGTATGTTTGCTGACATTGATACGAGTCTACACATGCCAAAAACCGCAACCGAAACGATGCAAGTTCTTCCTCTGGGATGACGATGCGCAAATACGCGAGAAACATACGCTGCTTTCAAATTCGAGAACAGAACCGGACACGCCGAAGAAAACGCCCTCCAAAAGTGCTCAGGTCGGCGGTTTATTTACCCCAGGCACCGGGACAAGTTATGGCAATGGTGGTGGTAGTACGTTGAGAGGAGCGCAAACAGAACCTCGGCGACGACTCGATTTCTCGTCACAACAACAAACACCTTCCAAAATCCGGAAATCGTCGACTTTGTCATCGGACGAAGAAGCCTACAGCTGGGACGATAGTCTCGATAATGAAGTCGATAATCTCCTAGGTGGCGACAGCAGTACTTCTCGGCCCAGACAACCCATCTTTACACCCAACAAAACTCCAAGAACAGCTACAAACACTTCACCCAGCAAGCGTAAACTCGATGACGTCTTTGACGACAGTGACAAGCCTCCGCCATACTCTGAAAGCGCATCTACAACTCAATCATTGAGTACAACAGCGCCATTCTCATTCTCTTCTGTAGAAGTATCCGCAACCCCGACTCCGCGACGATACAAAGACGTTTTATCAGCGCAGGGAGGAGCGGCTTCCCATAACCAACCTTCGGATCTTGCGTCAAATATTCTGTCAGTCCTCGATCGTCACGATGTCGTTGTTCCGACCACCGCGAGGGATGAGCTCGTTGCATTGCTGGATCAGCATCATCTCAAGACGCAGGGCATAATCAGGGGCAGGGATATATCGCGAATGGCGCTGAAGAAGAAAGACGAAGAAATTCAAGTTCTCAAGACAAGAGTTGAGCGATTGGAAACGGAGCGAGAGATGGATAAGGTTGTAATTTCGTGTTTGAAAGATAACAAAAGCAAATAATCTCAAATCAAATGACTGTTACTCTTTCGCGAACAAGGGCATGTTTATTTTTTGTTGTAGCAAAAGGTATTGCATCATTCCTGATCGATCCTTATCTTATCGCATTTGATATCACGTGCAAAAAAAAAAACCTGGGATGTCTGCCCAATGAGAGCGATTGACTCATTTTTCGTATTTACTTTTATGTCGACCCCTCGTTGATGGAAAAGATATCAAGAAAGCCTAATAATCACTCTCATTCAACTCATCCCCCAGTCTTCTAGGACCTCTAAAACAGCAAAGCAGTCTCTAACTCACAGTCGTCCTAACTCCGTGCACGGATCAACTCTTATTTTCTTTTTCTGCTCTAGCACCATCTCTTCGAAGTCTTCGTTGAAGAAACGCCAGGTCCAATGGACTCAACAACTTACACAGCCACGAAACAATCCACCTCCAAAAACCCCGTCATGTTTCGCCCACCCGTCAACCGCACAATGCGCGTCCTCGACCGCTCGTTCTTCAAAAAGACCGTCCCCCTCTCCGCAGCCACCGTGCTCGAGAACAAAAACATTTCCGCAGTGCGCAAGACATTGTCATCCAGCAAGGATGCGCTCAGCCTTCCCCGATTCGATGAGTGCACGGTGCCCATGGCGGAGAAGTTGGTTGTGGGGAGGGATGGGCGGATATTGGAGTTGACGCCGCATGAGTCGAGGAGGAAGAAGTGTCTGGTGTTGAGGGAGGATATCAAATACGATGGTACTTGTTGCGCGTCTACTGTAAGGAAGTGATTGGATTGCTGATGATGATACTCGGTAGATGCGACTACCTGGTCCCCGATTTTGAATGAGTTGGTCGAAAATGGCATGGTGGGGCTGGGTCCTTTTACGATTGATTTGGACTATTCGTACTGGACTTATGCAGAAATTATTGAGGCGATTCTACCGGAGAAGGATGTTGCGGATGGAGAGTTTCCAGAGGGTTTTACATTGACGGGACATGTTTGTAAGTTTCCGGAGGAACCGTTCAATATACCGATTTGCTCACCTTCTGGCAGTACATTTGAACCTACGAGAGCGATGGTTCCCTTATAAGCACCTCATTGCGGAAATCCTCAAAGACAAAAACCCAAAAGTGCGCACCGTGATCAACAAAACTCAAGTCGTTGGATCGGAAAGCGAGTTCCGTACATTCCCATTTGAAATTCTAGCCGGTGACAATGATATGAATGTCACGGTTCATGAGCAAGGTTGTGAATTCCGATTCGATTTCTCGCGCGTATACTGGAACAGTCGTCTGGAAACTGAGCATCGTCGACTATGCGACAAATTCAAAGAAGGTGAACTCGTCTGCGACGTTATGGCTGGAGTTGGACCATTTGCTGTGCCCGCAGGAAGGAGAAAGATCTTTGTATGGGCAAACGATCTCAACCCCCATGGATACGAGAGCATGGAAGACGCCGTGCAGCGAAACAAGGTGCACCAATTTGTGACACCATACAACATGGATGGACGAAAATTCATCCGCGAAACCGCAAAATTGATGACATCCCCCTCAACAAAAGTTGTCATTCAGCCTAGGGTTCCAACCTCTCTCAAAAAAGCAAAACCCGCGGGAAGTGGAAGAACACCAGCACCACCACCTCAAATATATACTCGACCACCAACCGTTGATCACTACGTAATGAATCTGCCAGCAACCGCAATTGAGTTTCTGGATGCCTTTGTAGGTGTCTACGCTGGCATGGAAACGCACTTTGAGCCGCATAGCCCAGGCCAAAATTTGCCCATGATACATGTCTATTGCTTCTCAGGCAATTCGGAGGACGTCCGCGTTGATCATGAAGATGTCTGCAAACGCATCTCGGAGCGTATGGGATTCACGCTCTCGCCGGATGATACGGTCAATGGATCGGGCAATCGGGAGAGGGAATTGGAAATTTATAATGTGAGATTGGTGAGTCCGACGAAGCAGATGTTTTGTGCTAGTTTTAGGCTACCGAAGGAGGTTGCTTTCAAGAATTAAGAGTGCATATAGTTGTGTTGCATGGTAGGCGTTGTGGTGGTCTTATCTTATAGAAATTGATACCCATTCAAGATTCAGCTATTGTATGTCTTTTTTTCACACTTCCTTGAAGATACATGAACCTTCGCATCGGCAAGCAGTTAAATAACCAGCATAGTGGAATAAAGATTATCCGCATATAAGGCTAGGGTGATGAGCCACTGTTAGCAATGGCGATGGCGGTGATAGTGATCTTACTCTCCTAGAAAAGGTTATTCGGGAATATTCTTCTACCATACTTTTCTGAATTCTCTTCTACTGTCTTGAATTATACGTGATATTCGTATATATCACGAAGTAATTACTTGTCCTTCAAAGTCGTTCGTACCCAATATGGACTAGCGTCATATGCCGCAACACAATATCCGAGCCGCATCAGACTGTAGCTTCATTTCTTTGCCGTCGTCCACTGTCTAACCTTGAACTCGACGCTCGCCATAACTTATAATTACACAAGACTATCAAAGCAAAAGAAGTGCTCTTCACTGTTCAGCGCAGCGACAAAAAGACGAGCAGCTACCTTCCCTGAGCAACTGCGCGCGCATACAATCTTTTTCAGTCGAGACACACAACCACTATCAGCAACACTTCTCCAACCATCGTCCATCTCTCAATCGGTCATAAGGTAATCGAACTTTTCAAAGAGGAACAAAATGAGCACAGGTATCAAGCTCCCCCCGGCCACCCACCGCAAGCGCGTCGTCCCTCAGTCCGACCTCGAAGCTGCCTCCACCCTCAAACTCGGCGAGGATCAACACACGCATACATTGTCGCTTAGCGAGGCACGACTAGTCATAAACAAGGTGCTGGAAAATAAGAGGCGGGGTGGGAAGAAATACGATGAGCCTGAGTACGTTTCCTTGGTTACCTGCTTGAGATAAAAGATATGTGTTGGCCATGAACGTCTGGCTAATATACCGAGGCATGCAGGAACCTAACCAAAACGCTGGATTATCTAGAGGTTTTCTCTCGATTCAAGGATGAAGAAAACATCAAGGCAGTGGAGAGGTTGCTCAATTCGCACACGGAGTTGGAGATGTTTGAGCGGTCACAATTAGGTCAGTCTCTTCACCTTTTCCATCACCATATAGTCAATACCGTTGGGGCTAACTTGATGACGAACAGGCAGTCTATGCTGCGACAACGCCGAAGAAGCAAAGTCGCTCATCCCCAGTCTGCAGAACAAGATCTCAGATGTTGATCTGCAAGAGTTGCTGGATGAGTTGACCAAGTTGAGGAACTTTGTGGAGTGATTATTCTTCTTGCGTAGGGGAGGTCAAATTGAAAAGTTTCTGTGTGCATATTTGTTATCAGCGTGGTGTTTGGGAGTTTACTTGATTGGAAACTAGATAGAAAACATTATTATTATAACTGAAGGAAGGTGCTACTCTGATATCCACCCTAACCCTTAATGCAAACCCGTCCAGTGATCGGCCTAGCAGGAATTGGGTGAATTCTGCAGAATCTACAATTTTGAAGATAGCCTGAGTCAACAAATCGATTATAAACTACAAAATGTCGAGCTTAGCAATAAGAATTGAACGATACCCTCACAAAGGCTGACTGTTGAAACTTCATAAAGTGTAGCAGTAAAAGATTGGTCACCTTCTAGATAAGACCACTTTGAATAAGTCGATCCTTCACTTTCGAGGGCGTCAAGGGCTTGCATGAACCAACAGCGAACGTCATATACAACGTCTCTTCTTACCTCATGAGCTCCGTTTCCCTTACCACCCCATATGTCCACTGGTGTTTAGTACCTACTTGCACGAACATTAAATGCACCCTCCGGGTCGGTGAGACCTGAGTAATCATAGCCAGCGTCGTTCCTCTCAGCCTCCATCTGCAAGTCAGAGCTTATTTCAAAATTGTTGTCAGATTCTCCAGTATCTTGTCAGAAACCAAAACGGAAGCCCGAATACCAGTTACACCCAAAAACCCGTTAGTAGGGTTTCTTGGTAAGGGTTTGTAATCCGTATCCGCTTCCGCCATTTACCATACGCTTGTTTAGCAGCTCATATTGACGTCGTGTTCAAAACCGGAATTCGTTGGAAATACATCCGCTTTATTTGAAAACCGTTCGTGGTTCTTTGATACGTAATAAGTTTGCTGATTGGTGGCAGTCTGGAGCCGCGCTAGCAGCCTCAGGCTGCACCATGTGCAGTCACGTGCTACAGGCATATATCTCAATAAACTAGGTATATATTTTTGATTCCGCGTCGAGATCGCGTCCGACCCAATTGATGAGCCAGTTGGCTCATAAGCAAAAAATCCATCGCTACATAGGGTCAAATACCTCCGTTAACCTAACCCTAAAACATGCTACAGTCAAATGACTAATCATCAATGACTGACCAATCATCGAACACTTTACCCTTTTGGGAGATTTCATTTGAAAGTGTTCCCATTGGCGGAGAGTGGCTATGGAGACTCCAGGAAAACATGCAGAGCTCCCCGGACGAGGCCTTGGCATGCAGCGGCTGTCGGTGCGCTAGTCCGTTCCTGGAAACAATCTGTGCATCTTATTGGCTGTCTGAAAGGTGTTATCGGAGCACGCTGATTGGCTGTGAAGTTAGCTTTTTGCTCTTTCAGCTTCGAAAATTATTTTGACGTCTTCAAAATTATTTCATCTGCTATCGCTTTCATCGAATCTGTTCCTGATCATCTTGATATCATGCTATTCACCTTAATTATCACGATAAAAGCCTCAATGTTATTATGAACTCGTTCCTACCGACTCAGGCACAAAATACAATCACTAATCTGGCATCCTCACATGTAACCAGTAACCCACAACGTCCCGATTTCAGTACGTAATATATTCACTCTGGCTGCTGGACCGATCAATGCCTGAGGAACGCCAGCCAATGAATGCTGGCACCCTTATCTTTTTGCTACTTTTTTTATGTCGTCGAAACTCGATCCTTGGATGCTTGTGTCTGGTAGCAAAGTGACGATATTCATTACGTGAGGGAAACCGCTGAGGCGCGACGATCTGTATGATTCATGACTACGCTGCTGGGCGTAGGTACACACTATGTATATAGAATAGATGGGTCGATACAATAATCAATTAACTTGAAAGTTGCTTCTGTGTACGTGTTCATATTCTCGACATCATTCTTGTTGTTTGAATAAACAACATTGTTGAATTGTCGGCCGGAATCGGAAGCCTCCCGCCATTATCAATTATTATCATTTACTGACTCACTATCAATATCGTATCACTGAGTAGCACTACCATATCTCGCTACTCATCACGCTCAACGAACACTTACTCAACTGGACGGCCGCCATCCCACCTGCACTGATAAGGCTGCAGCTTCAGGCTTACCTAACAGAGTGATCTTCGTCATTGCATCCTCTCTTATCCTGGTCTCGGACTCGACTCACACGACATCGCCGCAGCTTGCAGAGGACTGGCCGGCAGCACACGACTCAGTGGGTTCAACGTGCAAAAGAAAAGAAAGCAAAGGAGGTATCGAATCCTTATCTCGAAATGCCGGTCTGCGATCCTCCAATTGAACCTCCACTCGACTAAATCTTGGGCCCAAACCAAATCCATCTCCCACCCTGCACCCCGGGTGATAACTCGATAGGCCTTATCTATCTTAGTTTGACCTTGGGAAACTGCTACATCACTTATAAGATATGGCCACCGCCATTACCATCCAGGCCACTTCTTCTGGCCCGGCAGCTGCCGGTCTGCCTTCAATCCATCCAGCTTCTTCTCTTTCTGCTTTTCATACTCGGCACCAACATCACCAACATCCCCGAATGAGCTCAACCACTTCTCCTGTGACCTCTCTCACCAACTCTCCCTCGGCCTCTTCTGCTTCCTTTTCGTCCGTTGCGACCCCCAACACGGCGCCAGCAGTTAACACCGGCGCAACCTCTGTGGCTGCTAGTGCTACTAACTATTCTGCTTTAAACAATACTATTTCCGCGACAACCTCTCTGCTTGTTGGTAGTATATCCTCTCGTGGCCCCACTGGCCGCGATGGGGTCAGCTGTGACGCTTGCCTCTTCCGCAAGAGTCGCTGTGCAATGAACGAGTTAGTTAACAAGTGCTACTCGTGTGAATTCCATCGGCAGGATTGCACTTTTAGTCTTGCCAATAGCGCCCTGACTGAAGCAGCCTCACCGCAGTCCAGGAAACGGAAGCTCGAAGACTTCGTAGAGGCCGAATCTACCAAGAGGTACATATCTCCAACCATTATGTATAAACATTGTAATGTTTGAGACGCTAATGCTGTATAGACAATCGATAGAAATTTCTCGACCAGAGTCGACAGTCAAAGAAATGGTCCCTCCACCCACAAACACAAMCCCATTGGCCYCCCCCCGCCTCTCATACCAATCAAGTCAACACATCGGCCTGACCACAGAACTCGAACCCATCCTCTTTGAGCACATCCCCCTCGACACCAACGACGAAAGCGAGCTTTCGTCCACCCACAAAATCCGCCGCTTCGCCGAAGATGGCATCTTTATGCGAATCATGAACCCGGACTCGAAAGAGACGTCTACCGTCTCTCTGGACGCTATTGAGACTTTAGTTGCCCCTTATGGCTCGACGTTGGTCGATAAATTCTTTGAAAAGATTCATCCTGTCTTTCCGGTGTTGATGGAGGATTCGTTTCGGCAGTCTTATCGTACTCGACGGGGGTTGTCGCCGCTTCTGCTGGCGGCCGTATATACATTGACACTTAAATATCTTGAATTCGAACCGGCAGCACGCTCAGCACGGAAACCGGATGTGAAACGAATGGAAGATACAGCCATGAAATTGTTGACCGAGTCTTTGCCGCATGCCGATATTACAACTATTCAAGCCGGTATGCTCATCATGCAACGGTCGTCTCTCAACACGTCGTCGTTGAACGGGCAAATTGTCACCGCTGCATTCGAGCTTGGTCTGCATCAAGACTGTTTCAATTGGAAGATTCCGCCTGCCGAGCGAGGATTGCGTAGACGAATGGGATGGGCGTTACATACACAGGACAAATGGTGTTCCCTTGTCCACGGTCGACCATCCCACATGTCAGCTGCGAACTGGACCGTCCGTGATCTGGTCGAGGATGACTTTATTGGCGCATTTTCCGCAACATCACCAGCCAACAAAAGGTCGGACACCGAGTCTACTGACGGCAACGGTCTCGGCCACGGTCCTCTCTTATTCTGTCAACACGTCGCCTTAACCGCCATCCTCGCCGAGATCCTCGACACTTTCTACACTCTCAGGGCAGCCGAACAATTCGCCGCTGCCGGCAACAATAAGACCCGATATATCCTCGAAAAGGCCAAACCAGTCCAAATCCGACTGAAAGACTGGTTTGCCCGTCTCCCGACAGGCATGAAAATGGATTCTACGGCCTCGACAAGCGCAGAGATCCTCTTTGACGAAGTGACCGAAGAATCTGCCTCTAACGGTGCTCTGCACGTCGCCTATTTCGCGACCGAAATCACACTGCACCGATGCATAATCCGCTCCCTGACACCCACCACAGCCGACAATTATCTATCGCACATCTGCCGCTCAGCAGCAAAGACACGCCTCATCAGCGCAATGGATTTTGTAAATCGTCTCCGCCCCGCCCATTTACAGGCCTTTTGGCCTGGTTCCTCGCGCACAAACTTTGCGTTGATCGGTTCATTCGGAACGTTGCTGTTAGCCACCGCCCCGACACGTGAAGAAGCGGAATTTTATCGTCAGCGTCTCGCAGAGTATAGATGGACATTGAGCGTCAGCGTCAAAAACGCACAGTTTCTAAAACACGCCATTGAATCTCTCGATCTGTCGACTATGCTTGCGCAGAATGTGCCCGAGAAACCCGGCATAGAGGAGTTGATGGCCGGCGTAGTCGCGAAGAATAGTCGATCGAGACGCGGTCCGGGCGGTCGTCAGTCTACGTCTAACGCCATGGACACCACGGGCCTGTTTTCCGGCAGTGCTGGCGTCGGTGACGGTGGTGCTGGAGGAGGCGGCGCAACATCATCTGTTGTCAGTGGCTTAGCGTCGCCGGCTACAAGTCCAAGTAACATGGACGAAATGAGCGACGTCGACGATGACGATGACGACGATGCCGGCGAGGACTATTAACATTTCTCTTTCTTTTTTTTTAACACCGCCTCTTTCATTCCCTCACTTCAAAGGGAAACCATATTATAGACTTTCTTGTTGTCGTATTTTGCTGCTTATTTATATCCCATTCCCGTTTTGCGTTCTGTTCATGGTTACGAGTTATGAAGCGTTCGTCATCATCACCACTAAGCACTACCTTCAGTGTTGTGTGTGTGTGTCATTGGAGGGTTCAATAGATGGATGATACCAGTTTCGGATTGTGTACATAGAGGAAGGATACCAGATTTCAATAAATATTATCAATCGAATCATACGTGTGTGGGTTGTAGGGTAGTGCTAGTGATAGTGGACAAGTAACATGAATAACTTCACTTGATATCTACGTAAAACGACAGACAGACAGACAGATAGACAGACGCCGCCAACGCCTCGTAATATGAACCTCTAAGACAAAGCTTTTCACTGAGAAATGACCATCAGATTTAAACGAGAAGAACGGCTAAGCATCGCATGTCAGTATTCATAACCACATCATTCAGTTCTTGAAGATAGAAGAAAAGGGGGTCGTACCGTTAACAGTCCCATCCAAATCAGGATTATTGCTGACTTGCGCGTATTTACCCCATACCACTTTTCCGGATGTCGTCACCAATCCTGCCATCTAATTAGCACAGACCTTTCGTTAAGTTGTGGCAAGGAAGGCATACCAAGCTCAGAAACGTTCACCTCAATAACGGTACCCTTGGTCAAGACGCCGAGTTGAGTGTACAGCGGGTTTTGAGGGTTCTTTTTCACGGAGAGGATAGGAAGTTGGACTGTGACGCCGAGCTCGGGATGCTATTCACTGTCAGTCATGTACCCTTTTGAACATTGATTGGGGAGGGAAAGGACGTACTGTGACATTGGCCTTTTTGTATCGGAGACCCATTGGACTATATTATCTGCATTAGCATCGCCTGACTCCAAAAAGCAGGGCCAGAGGAGAAAGGGCGCACCGAATAAAACGCTCAAACTTGGGATTTCTTCTCGTAAAGTCCTGTCCCACAAAAGTAGGCTTCGTAATCATCCTCTTCCACGATTTCTTATGTGTCTTCTTTCCCGTATTCACAACCTTGAACATCTCCTCCTCACTAATACCCTTGACCTTGGGCAACGGCACAGAGAACTTCGCCGCCTTTTCAGATCTTTTATCTTTGATCGCCGAACTCAACGCTTTAGCGTTCGTGGCCTGCGACCGATCGAGCAAATAATTGGGCAAAGGCGTAGCGGACGAAGGCTCCGAGGGCGCCGCAGATTTGACATTCTTCTCTTCCTGGGCGCGAATGCGTTTCTTCATTTGAATCTTTTCCGCATGTCGTTTCTGGGCGTACATTTTAGCGCGTAAACCTCTCAAGGATTGCGCTTTTGCGGAGGCGAGGTGACCCTCGCGGGCTTCGCGTTTGCGGGTTCGTTCTTCATGGTCCAGGCGGCGGCCGTGGGTTTTTTGAAAGCGTCTATGTTCATTGCGTTAGTTTTTTGTGGGGAGGGGAGATTTGTGGTAGTTGGCGATGGTGGACATACTCGATATACCTGTTGAAGAGACATGTTAGCAATGGTTCTCCAAGATGCAATACTTAACTGTATTTTGCTGGAGGAAGACAAACTCGTTCTGAGGCTGAAGTAGAAATATTCGTTAGTTATGATTCGACCGATTGCAGCAGCAGATGAGATATAACATACCATATTGGCAACCTTTTCTTATGAACCAGATTATAATGGCGGTAATAAATACGCTGCTGAATAGTAGGGAAGATGAGGTTGAAAAATATGTGCCCGCAAGGTCTTGGCGCCGCTGATAAGATTAAGTCTATCTCTTGGCATGCTAGTCTACATGCGGCATAGTGTTCATCATAACCCTAAGTAACCCTGCTGGCCACTCTTTTAAATCCATCTCATACTCTAACTTCACATAGTAAATGCTTTAATTCACTATGTGTACTTTGCGAAACCTCTGTGGAACTCAATTAATGAGAATTTTATCTATGGCTCTCAATACAAGATCAGCGATTCGTATGATCTGCCAAGCTCTTTATCAATTTTCAACACAGCGAATCAGTTGAACACTTCAATGAAGATAAGAGTCAAGCGTATCCCGGAAGTTACCAGTGATTCTGCGATCTCCAACTCGTAGTTCTTCTCAACCCGCATGAGATCCTGTTGTTCCTCAATAATAGTAGCAAAATCGTACGTCTGGCCATCAGCTATCGCCGAATTATTGATAAGAGAGCCATGACAACATCATTGACAATGGATATCAATCATTTAGAATGTTCTGATACTTTTACACTCCTTCACTATTCCAATTTCTCCTATTGCAGACGTAGAACTACAGATCTCTAGCTGTAAGTCTCAGGCTGACCTCTCCTTCGATCTCAGGTTGATTCTCACTTCCTTTTTTGCTAAATTGCATGGACATGAAAGTTATATGTATTACTAAACTGGCTGCCCAGGGATGAAATGACAGAGTGAGGTTCGTATACCCCTTTAAAAAAACCGTAATCCTTTGACGAAACATCCAGCATTCTGCGATTTGTAAAGCACAGTATTTCACCCAACCGAATTGACATATTGCTATCGTATTTGGCTCATGCAGCTTCCACATGTACTGCCTGAGACGGATCCTTGCGATCCATCTCATGGTCTTCGCCGTCATCCACCTTCTCCTTAACACCAGCCCTAACAGTCTCCTCTTCGGTGGGGTATGCATGTTTCCACATCGTCCACAGCGGCCTCTGGAAGAGGTCATCCATACTCTCAATAGACCTTCCCTTCATCTCCGGCAAGCAGAAGTAAATGAAGACGACACCGGTATAAGTCAACAGTGCATACAGCAAAAACACTCCATAGCCCATATTCGTGATCATATTAGGAGTAGCCCGAGTGACGCCATAATCCACAATCCAGTTGATGAAGAAACAGAACGACATACAAACTGATCGAATTCGTGTGGGGAAGATCTCAGCAGCAACAATGTAGCATGCAACGCTGTGCCCAAAGGACCAACCAAAAGCATAAATATAGATCCAGACGATTCCCACAATGCCACCGGCGGATGTGCCCCCAACGGATCCGGTATTGGTGCCCGCAAATCGCAGGTATAATGCCAGGTAGAGCATTGCTGTGGCTTGTAGAGTAGCGCCAACTAGTAGTGGGATACGACGACCAACTCGGTCAACGAGGTAGGCTACGTAGAAGATGGTTGTAACGAGTTTGACAATTCCATAGACACCGGTATCTAGGAGAGTAGTACTGTTACCACTGACGCCGATGAGGGCGAAGATTTCTGGGGCGTAGTACTATGTAACGTTTAGTAACTTTCATCATACATTGCAAAGGAAAGACACTCACATTCAAAGAGTCAGTTCCAGTGAACTTGTGGAATAGAAAGAGCATCACAGCGAGGAAGAATCGGCGAAAGTTGCTCTTGACCAAGAAGATATCCTTGACCACAACCCAGTAACTGTGACCCTGGTAACATTCCTGCTCGTATCGTACCTGTGCAGCCATTTCCTGATATTCGATCTGCACATATGGATGCTCAGCAGGTAGTTTGCGGAGCTTGCTTAGATTCTGCAATCCTTGCTCCGCTTTTCCATGGTTGATCAGGTAACGAGGTGACTCGGGCACAAAGGGGATCATCATGCACATAAGCACACCTGGAATGAGTTGGATACCCATAGATACGCGCCACTGAATGTCTCCGCTGGTTTTGGGCCATAGTGACACGCCGTAGTTGATCCAAAAAGCCAGCATCAGAGACAGGATGATGAGTAGATTATACATGGCCGTCATTGACCCTCGAACTGATTTGGGTGCAGACTCTCCTAGGAATTGAGGGCTGAGCATCGATGTTGCGCCCACCCCTAAGCCTCCAATAAATCTTCCGGCAAGAAGAGTCTCGTAGTTAGCAACCATTTGCAAGACCGCACCGATAACGAAGACGAAGCCCCATAGGAAGACAGCCCATTTGCGGCCCAGTATGTCAGACGTAGGTGCAGCAAGTAGAGCACCTGCCGAACCGCCGGCGGAAACCATAGCTGTGATTGTGCCCTGTAGTCATGGTCTGGTCAACTCTTAAGGTCATACAAATTGCCGGCGGCATGGATACAGTATGTAGGACCAGGGACATACCTTCCGGTTATCGATCTCTTGCTGTGGAATATTTACCAAACCAAATGCTTTCTTGAACGAAGGCAGTGTTATGATACCACCGATATTACCAGTGTCAAATCCATAGAAACAGCCAGCCCAGGCCAAGCTGATCATCAGAAAGAACAAACGAAGATTGAAGATCTGCCTGGGGTCAGATTTGGCATCCTTGCTCCACCAGATGCTCGTTCCTCCTGCCATGTTGTCTCAAGAAACGACCAAAAAGACAGCTAAATAATGGAATAGAAAGGACAATGTACTAGGCTGAGTGCTTCTGATATGTTCTGACCCTTTTGGGTTCTCTCGCCTTTCTAGACGGGAAACCCGTGGCGCTTTAAAGGTGAGCAGCAAACCTTGAAAGGCAGACCCCATGGGGCAGGACACTGATATTGTGGGGAAGCCTCGTTGCTCTCAGATCAATAACTGGTCTGTTCTCACCACCACCGGCTTGTCCACCGACGTTTAGTGTCATCGGTCTATCACCGATAATTTCTCTCTGGTCTCCATGAGAACTCCACTTTTTTACTTTATACAGCAAATCATTTAAAGCTTGTTGTATTAAGATTTTGACTGATAGAAATTCTAGAAATCAACTTAAATGCTATCTTCTGAAGCACCTGGAGCTGTTTGATCACATAAACACATTTACCGATCAGAAAAAAAAATGGCAGTCACTCAAGAAACCATCTCGAAAAGTTCAGACGGCGCACTGCGCCAGATATCAAAGCCGTACTTTTACCGAGAAGCATACCTACGACCAGCGACAATTCAATGTCACGCCTCCAATCTTCTACGCCTGTCTAATGGCGACCTTCTATGCGCCTGGTTTGGGGGCAACATGGAGGGCAAATCAGATATCAGCATATACCTGTCTCGTCTGGAGTCCGGCAAATCGCAATGGTCCGAAGCCATTCGAGTGACTCATGACAACACGCGCAGCGAGCAGAATCCAGTGCTTTTCAGGCATACGGACAATAATCTCTGGTTACTTTATACATCGCAACACAGAGGAAACCAAGACTCGGCCGTCGTGAAGCGGATAGCTTCACATGACAATGGGTACACATGGAATGAAAACCCAGAGGTCATCTTTTCGGAGCCCGGGACATTCATTCGACAACCTATTATTGTACTGGATAACGGCAACTTAGTCGTGCCCACATTCAAATGCAGAGTCGACGCCGGTGAGAAATGGGTCGGAAACGACGATGTTTCAGCCATTCGCGTATCCCATGATCAAGGAAAGAATTGGTCTGAGACTCCTGTTCCAGAAAGCACCGGATGTGTACATATGGAAATTCAGCAACTCAAAGATGGGTCGTATTTAAGCCTATACCGAAGCCGATGGGCCGATTTTATTTACTCATCTACTTCTCCCGACGGAATCACATGGAGTCCTCCGAAGCCGACTTCCTTACCCAACCCGAATGCTGGAATATGCTTCGACGTCCTGTCCTCCGGTCGAGTCGTGGTTGTATACAACCATTCCTCTCGCCAGAATGCCACAGGTCGCCGGACGGGCCTATATGATGAGATCGGCGATGAGGAAGGCGATAATCGACAAGATCAGACGGTCAAACATGAGGGTAAAGAAGCCTTTTGGGGAGCGCCTCGAGCTCCTTTGTGTGTTGCATGGAGCGATGATAATGGAAAGTCATTCCAGCACAAGATATTGGAGGACGGGGATGGCTTCTGTATGACGAACAATAGTGAGGATAAGCTGAATCGTGAGTTGTCATACCCTAGTATGGTAATTGGAGATGATGGGACGATTCATATTGCATTTACGTTTTGGAGGCAGACCATCAAGTATGTGCAGATTAGAAATGATTTCTTTGATCAGTGTTGAAGTTAGTATATAGCAATGAATCAATTATAGTTACAAAAAATATTATAAAAGCGCTGATAGAATTTGATTCTCTTATAAGGCTCATTCTCTCATCAGAACCACCAAACGTAGATGGACCCTGTCTTCCTGAAGGTATTATATATTTTGGGTAAACTAACAGCAGAACCAACCTGCCCAACTATTCAGTTAATATCAAGGTGTCAAAATGTTCTTTTCCAAAAGGAATTAGATAAATAGTATAGATCGTCACATTCGAGTCTGCCTTAGTAAATCGCAGGAAGATTCTACGGTGATCGGAGAATCTAGGATTACTGGAAGTTAAAACATTCTTTAACTAGACAGGGAAAAATTCCCGAAGCTATATCAAGATAGATTCCTCCTTCAATTATAGAACATATTATGTGGTATAAAGTAGTGGTTTGTTTCCATTGGCAGATTGCTTACTGCTTACACCAGCAACATCGCCAACAGCTTAATTTAACCGATTGAAAGAAAAGAAAGAAAAAACAAAACCCGAAGAACTTGAGTGATCAAGCGTTTCAATTAGTAATCACATGTTCTTGAGCCCACAATAGATCGATCAAGACTGCCCAGTTATTAGTTTCCCTTGATCAAGATCTGCTTCTCGGTCTTAAGCTTATCAACAACTTCAACAGGGATCTTCAGAACATTTGCAACGATGTCATGAGGTGTTAGAGCAAGCCATTGGGTAAGCGAAATGTCTTCAACAGTATCACTTTTGAAGTTCTCAATCCAGATAAGTTCTTCGGTCTCAGAGGTGTTCTCGATATAGTGACCTGAATGTGTGAGCCACTGGAGCATGTCTAAGAGTTGGGGAAGCTTACCACTGTTAGTAGGGAAAACTGCAGTGTCACCAGCACGGAAATCAAATGTACGTGCTTTCGAGCCGCCAATAAAGACAGTTGCTCGGGCTGTTCCCTGATGAAAGTAAACCCATTCTTGAGCCTACGTCATGTGTTAGCGTTGCCAGGAAGCAATATGAAAAACAATCTAAAAACACGACATACATTAGGGTGCCAATGGAGCTCACGTAGACCCTTTGGCTCCAGAGTAAAAAATCCAGATGCAATTGTTTTAGCAACTGGAAATGTGGTGGAATCAATGCGCCGAAATGTACCACCACCTCCAGGGACGTCCTCAAGCTTGTGATCCTTTGCATGGTAAACGTAAGAACTATTTCCCACGAGAGCGCCAGCTGGGCCGACAATATGAGTGTCATTGCTAATAGTACCATTCAAAATGTATGGGAAAGTCGAAGGGACGTTATTGAAGACGGAGGCATCTACCCCGAAATTCTTCGCCAAGATGTCCTTCGGCGTATGAGCAACCCAGTCGTCGATCATAAAAGTCGTCCTACTAGACTCAGCACACACTTCATGTATAAGAATCGATAGAATAGATGGTATACACATACCCCTGAGCCTCAAAGTCACCGTCGTCGAAGACAAGAAGATATTCATTCGCATCCTGCTGACCCTGGACGGTATGCGCGACACCAGGAGGAAAGTACCACACGTCACCAGCCTCCAGTGTGTCAACCTGATACTGGCCATTTTCGTCGACCGCAGACAAGAGCAGAGATCCGTTGTAAAGGTAACCCCATTCGGCCTATGCAATCAGCTTCATGCTTACAGTTTCGAAAGAGTATGGATCGAATACCGTGCGATGCCAGTGGAGTTCACGAATGGCACCTTTCTTCAGATGCTGTTGGGCACCCGCAATATCGGTGCTCAGCGGAAGATCTGAGATTATCTGCTCACGACTCCAGCCACCAGGAAAGATGTTGGTCTTGGAATCTGAGAAACTCCACTTGAGGTTGGGAACATAGCCGGCATCCGTGCTCTGACGTCCCAAGTTGTCAGGGTTTTGCAAGTCCAATTCATGATTGGTTCCCCCTGAGGTAGAAGGTCAGTTGTTTCTATCAAAGCAAGGTGTTACAAAAGCATACCGATAATAGGAGCACCCTTTCCAGTGGCATCATTGATAGGTTCGCCATCAGAGAAACCATCACGTTTGGCAAGGGTCGCCGCGGAGGCTAAGCCTAGTAAGGAGAATGTAAGAAGATGCATCCTTAGTATTAAACGTGAATGCTACGAGGGTGAAGACGAGTTTGTGGATAATAGCTGTAAATAAGGATGTTGTAAAAGTTGGGAGATGGACATCATAAATAACCACCAACAGGCAAGACATACCCCCTTTCAATCAGACTGAGGTGCTTAAATTCATGGCATGATTCCACTTGGAAATGATGAAATCAAAATAAAAGAAAGAGCTAGTTATCTCTGCATGTGCCGATACTTAGATACATACAATGATCTTCTCCCGGGAACCAGATACCAGCACACTATAATGGTATATCCAAGTTATAGTTCAACGCGAGCGGGAAAAAAAAGTCAAATAGTAGAACTGGCTTAACTTCAAGTAGGCAATGATAGGATGAGAACTAGCCGAACGCACTAGTCTATACTCGTGGTCAGTAATCTTCCCGGAGCACACCTCGAGGGCTCGAGAACCTGCGTTGGCAGCACTAGCTGGAAACGAGCCTCGTTGATGATGAAGCCATGTTGAAGCACGATGTCACCATTGCTTGGCAGCATACTCACAGACTTTCTACTCGACGGGAATATTATCGCGGCATATCATGCCGATCATTGCCTAAAATCTCTTGTACATAGCTTCAGGACCATGCAGGAAGAATGATACGATTATAACCAACATTCTTCAATACGAACAGGTACCTTAGTACACAAGCCTCAGGTTTCTATGCCCACGACTGTTTCGATGCCTCAGCTGCCGTAATGTTTCCTGCCTCCTTCGGGTTGTCGAGATGAAGGCTATATAGCATTAATTCCTTCTTTCGATTTTTTACATGTATTGTTACCAGACTAAAGCATCGACAAAGACTTTGAGAAACTGTTTCTGAGTATGTCCTAACTTACTTGCATAGTTCCTACTTAGCAGGCTACGGTTAGAATAAACTTGTAGTACAAGGCTAGAACAGCATTATGCATTGAGGCTCGAGTCCCCAAGGCACCGCCGAACTCTAGACTTTAAACTACGCTTCCCCATCTTAACTTAGTTCCGATGATCCTTTTGATGTATGGTCAATGTATGGTTCATGCATGCTTCACAATTTCTGCCAAGAATCACGTATGATAACTATTTTCCTCCCATGACACCATATATCTCCTCACAAAAGGGGTCCACATGATTAAATTAGTCATAATGAATTAGAGGAGGCTGATCCGTTCTAGGAGAAGAGTGATTAGTTATATCATAATACAAAGTCTTGATCAGTATCTCCTCTCAACAATGCCAGTAGTAAAGCAGCATCAATCTTACAAAACTACCCGTTTACTCTTTCAGCTCACTAGCTTCATATGAGTATATATTAACCGGATTCCAGACATAAACAAGATCCTTGTATTTTGTATACAGACTAACGAGTCGACAGCCTCCACCTAACACACTGTCACAAACTCTATCGATCATCTCTAGTGACAAAAGTCTGTATGTAGCCAAAGGATTTACTTGAAGTATTAGCGCTCAATTTGACATTCACTGCTGCAGTGCATTGACCTGTTCCCAAAAGTTGGTTCTACTAGACAGGCACATGTCTAGAGCCGCTTGGTGTTTTGACTAGGATGTTCATCACAGTATAGATCTACGCAATTCGACCCAAAGAACGATGCCGAGTAGATCCAATTCCCGGAACTGTCCATATCTGAAATAGTTCATGCAAGCGGAGGAGCTATTTCTTTTATTGAACTACAGATACGGACTAAGATGGTAAGTTGGAAGTCTCTAATCCATATAGGTCTATTGCTGCCCATGTATCGCGTCATCACCGACTTGTTTTTGTTGGAATGAGGTTCATGAGTCCGAGTGATGCAATGAACTAAAGGATATGCCAGATTCTCAACATCTGCCTGTCAGATACCATGTGATCTTAGAGCAGCTGAACATTTCAGAAAAGTTTACGGATGGCCCAAGAATTGTCTGCCATCTCTATCTATGTTCTACATGAGCGCACTTGAATCATTAGTCAAAATGGCATGAACCATATAGATCATCGACACAATGTGCCTCAACCTTTCACTCTTTAACTTGTTGTAATAGTTGCTGTGAGTAGGTAGAGATGGAAGATAAAGATGCTAGGGCTAATTGCAATATTACAATGAAATGTTGTCATTCTGATTTCAAACTCAATTAGCCAGACCTGCTCACATGGCTGTTATAAGTCACAGCCTAGAGATGCATGCTAGAACAAGTAGTTGGACTTAGTGTAAGAAACTAGTTGTACTATTTGTGTTTTATATTGTCAGTGCATTATGGGTTTATGGTGCTCATAGATCAGATCTGCTGTAGATCCTAATAATCATGCATCTATTAAGATAGTTAAGCATGATATTGTGCTTTTCTATCATATCGATCTATCGCTTAAATGATTTTTAAAAAAAACTCATCTTCAGGTAGCAAGACCCACATACATTGACTCTCCAATACTCGATGTTTATATCATACTGGAATATATTATCTCAGCTTCAAGTTATATTCGCCTTGAAAGTTCTGCAGCTACTCTCTACGAGGTCATATAACCACATATACTCAATATCTCTAGAAGATCCGAGATGCGATTGGGTCTCATTTAGATAGAATTCTAGTATTATTTCAGCCAAGAAGTCAAAATATGTACTAAAACAGCAGATCCTCTCATTTCAAGTAATTCATGCTTCATTTTCATTAGCTGATGCTAACAGTGTGTAAACTTTCCGTCCATTCAAGTATAGTCCTGCTGCCCCCCCTACGGGATGTGATGTCCATATGGATTCAGCATTAGCTTGAGCCTAACAGGTAGTATGGTTCTTGCTTGGGAAACAAAGTTGCCACTGGCGCTAAATGCGGATTATTTTATTTTCTCTCTCTCTCTCTGCAAGGCCATTGAGTTTTCTCATTTCCTGAGGTCGTATCCTAGTTCACCTGATGATCATCATGATTCGTCTTCCTGAGTGGTTAAGCACGACAGGCTATCTTTTTTCTCATTGATGACATGCTACACCAGATGGATTGCGAATTTATAAAGATGTTGTAGAAGAGAAGATGAGGAGAAGTAGGATAGGGAACTGGAAAGCTATATATAGGGAGAGGAAATACCTCAAATGTGCTCATCTTGATCAAACAACTCATTCTATTCCGTTGGAGCAAGATATCATTTGTTGAATCGAATCTCTGGTTTACAACGAGACAATGGCTAGTAGTTTGATCAGCACTCTGGCGCTTGCCTCCCTCACTCAAGCTATCTCGATCCCTTCCATCCCCAAGATCCCAGGTGTAACGACACCTCTGATCCAACCTCTTTATGATCTTCTGCCGGCGTTGCCAATCTTGCAGTTTCCTTTGCCTCCCCTCGACAGCCCTTCTTTCACTCCCAGTGACATTCAGCCAAAGAAGATTGGATACTATTGGACAGGAGCCGGAGACAAAGAGCATGCCGACTTTCTGGCAACTTACAGCCTTGATGATGTATGTACAATCGACACGTGGTAGACTTTTTTAGCAGCTAACACCTGTAGGATACATTTGGTACACTTATCTACGTGACCGATGTCCCCACCAGTGGCAACGACCCTCACCATATTGGTGTTTCCAAAGACGGAAAGACCATCGTCGGTGGCGGTCTTCTTTCACTACTGAAACTTCAAGACACTGCCTACTATTTCGATGTCACCAATCCTTATCGTCCGACCTTCAAGAAAAGCAACAGTGCTACTCTTTCGTCCATTGCAGATGAAATCCGTGCTAAGCCTGACGGGTAAGTTGATCTTGTTTCTGCTGCGATCTCTTCAGATACAGAACTAACAATTAGATCAGTGGATTTTTCCTAACCTACATGGGATGTAAGTATAGTCTCGATAAACGCCTCAGTACATTATAGATGTTAATATGCTCTTATTTTTTAGCTGCCCTTGGCACATCTCCGGGTAGACTCGTTGAAACGGATGCCGACTTCAACATCATTCACGAATGGCCGGAAGATGTGGAGGGAACTCTTGGTATCTTGGCCGAACAGTTCTCCCCACACGGTATCTCTATCGACTGGGAGAGGAACTACATCTTGACTTCTGACTTCGTTGTCCCTCTGTCAATCTTGAAACCTAGCACGGGTGTTATTCGCGCCCAGACACTTCGCCTCTGGGATTTGGAGTCTCGTACTATCATCAATACTATTACCATCCCTGGTGTAAGTTTACTACCGTGTCGAGGCTGAAAACCTTTTCGTTAACTGTCGATATAGGGTTCTGGTATCCAAGATGTAAAGTTTATTCCTGGAAACCCTGAAGGTGCTGCTATTGCAGCTACCGTGGGTAGTGCCCAACTCTGGGCCATTTATCCTTCTCGCAAGGATGCCAATGGCAATAATGGTGTTGCCGAGCTCATTTACGACTTTGGCGACCAGATCCGGAACACTAACCCTATTGCCAGCTAGTACGTTCCTCTAATACCCCTGGAAAATTCGTAAAATGTGTTGCTAATGTGTACATGTGCAGTTCTGATATTACTCAAGATGGCAAGTTCATCTACGTTACCCTGACATCGGCCAACCACGTCGCCGCTCTGGACATTAGCGACCTCACCAACCCTAAGCGTCTCGATGATCCTAATGAGGTTCATCCTATCGTTGGTCCTCATTATATCAAGGTCACTCCGGATCAGAAGCACCTCGTCGTCACCGACTACTTCGTGCAGACAGGTGAAATTGGTATTGTCAACGTTCCCGCCGATTTCAAGGCACAATATATCGACATCAACGACGATGGCAGCATCTCCTTCAACCGTTCCATCAACTTCAGCCAGGAATTTGAAAACCGAGGCGGTGGTAAGCCGCACTCAGCCATTGTTTTCGATCTCACTGACCCGGAAAACCCTCAGTACTATTAAACGTACTTTTGAGGGGATGCCAAATGAGTTCAGTCATGAGAGGTCATATTGTCATACATGATGGCCACTTGCAGCTACTTGGGCATAATTCACAACCTGGATCTTCCCATACCACCATTGAGCTATGATGCCTTTTGTCATTTGCAGAGGTATCAAATCTCAGTGACAATAGTGCTAATCACATCAAAATATACGGTCACTTCCTCCCAGATTTCAATTGTTTTATTTTTCTTATTATCCAGTTAGCAGAATTACAGGAACTTAATACTATTGTCTTGATTATGATACTTCCCGTATAAACCATTGGATCACCATGTAATTTGAAAGTGTGAAGTACTCGAGCTGAGACCTAAACGTTTGGGGTATTAAGTGTCACCGGTAGCTGTAAATGAGATAACCAGATACGACAGAGTGAGCACAGATATTCAAATGCGTTCTGTACGCACATCAGAGCAGATACTTCAATTTCACCCACGCTGAATTTGGGTAGCTGGGAAAAGCCGGCGCAACTCACTACTGTCACAAGTTCTTGTCGCAAAGCATATATTAAAGTCAGAAACAGGGAAAAAATGGTTCACTAAGCGGAAACCGATTATAGTTGGACACTGTACACGAGATTTCGACTAAATTTTTCCTCGATAGGGAGAACAAGGGCCTTGATCCATACTACAGTAATACTCCGGACCCCGGCTCCGTAAAGCAACCTCAGTATAACTGTACCATAAATATAACAAGCTTACCTATATCCACTAGATATACCAACAATGAAGCAAATCGAGAAGTCTTTTGGCTAGATGGGAAAACTAAGATGGAACAAGCATGAATAGTATAACTTCCTGCAAGCCATTGAAAAAGCTCGCCGTGTCCGGGAAAGCCGGATAGTAATCCTCTTTTCAACCTGAACGCTCCTACGCCAAATCCGACGATGTGAGCCTTTCTCCAAAGCTATCTCTGGAGAAGAGGAACCGTGCCTGTATCAGGAACTTGTCTTCCGAGAGCTTTGGGCCTGGCCGTGTAGGTTCCGGAACCATATTGCACAATAAGCGAAAATCATTTGTATTTGTTCATTCATAAAGCTAGGGGTTTACCGAATCCTGATTCGTTGAAGTTCTCTGCTACGTTTAGAATGATACGATCTCTCGGCATAAATGACGACCAATGAGCGGCTTCAGACCTGGTGGCAGTCAATTAATGCACAGGTCTATCTCAGTGTTTCTGGCTTTGCTTCCGCATAGTCTCATTCCTCTCCCATACGATGGAATAATCATATATCAATGAGCCCTTCGTTGTGGGAGCGATGGCGACGCAAATTGATTCTCTGATTGATTTCCGATAAAACGCTGAGGGGTCATCGCGGGGATCGGCATAGAGAGACCGAATAGAGGGAATAAGTAGCTCGATCGTATGGTCTTTCATAGAGCTTCGCTGAAGTGTCACTCTCGTTGACCAGTTCCTGTATTCCCTCGACATCTTGGATTGTTTATCTACCCTGTTTACTCCAACTAGTCTCAAATAAAGAGCTTGCGCGGGTGCATCTCCGGTGAATAGTGATCCATATTTCATGCTGTCATTCACCCGTCCAATTTTTTGACGCTCACAGCTAGAAATCCATGGCAAAGAAATCAATGCCTAGCGTTTCTATTCCTGTATCACGCAGTAACATTAGCTTCAACTAGCTTTTCAGGATCTTCCAACATTTTCTTCAGCTGTATCGATCACCACCCCTTTGTCCACAAGTAACAGCTCATCAACTCTGTTCTTAGCATATTCGACCCTCGTCCAAGTCTTCAATCTCCCGGTACTCGTATCAATCTCCCAAACCCGCGTCCGTCGGTGAAATCGCTTTTCGCCATACGAACAATATCCCCCAAACCCACTGCCACCTCCATAGCATAGCCAAGGGCCAAGCCGAGGGGGATTGCCGTTGAATTTTTGGGGCAGCAAAGCACAGAAATCATTGACATGATCGTGCCCGCAGCCTACTGTTGATATACCTTCTTCGACCAATGTATCATAGAAGTGAGAGTTGACGCTAGGGCACTCAGTCGGTTCTCTCCGGTGACCGTTGCGTATCCTAAGAAGGCCGTCTCCGAACTCAGGAAAAGGGATGTGTAGGAAAGTCAAAGATAGATGAAAATGACTGCCGTTACCGGCTTCCTCACGCGAACGTCGTTGAGTCTGAGAAGATTTCACGAACCAGTCAATTTGACGTGGCTTGATAGGGKCGTAGTCGGGATTGTGTGTAAAGCTTGGTATTTGCCCGTGGGAATCCAAGAAATACAAAGTCGATAGTGAGAGCCGTGAGGGGGATGGCGCCAGGATGGGAAGATAGAAGTTACCTATACCGTCGACTTGCTCTGGGCCTGGTTCACAGAGACTAAAGGGTAGATGTTGAAGTATCGACATCTGGGCCGAGCCTGCAATATAGTTAGAGCCAAGACTTGGTTTATATGATTGCATAGTTATCTTGCGGAGCAATAAGGCTTGTCGACTGCTGGTTCTGTGAATTGGCTAGTTCATGGAAGAAGTTACTCACGACCCAAAGCGTGTTCGCCCTCGCTATCATGATTGCCAAAGACGGCTGCGAATGGAATTGACCGCTTGATGATAGGGGCAACGACCTTGAAGAGGGCAGATTGGCTGTCGGGGATATCATGGTGCAATTGATCTCCAGTGAGAATCACCAAGTCCGGTTTCTCAACATCCAAGACCCCTCCAAGAAATTTTACCGTCAGTGGGTCTGCCTCACTCGCTGGGAGAGGGTTCCCAAGTGCATCGATCGCATCTTCGCAAACCCCGACACCGGTGACCATGTGCGTATCTGAGATTTGCACAATCTTGAATTTGCCATCTCTCCTAACTCTCAAAGCCGCCCGGGCATCCGGTCTCGGTGTGTCTCTGCCGTGGAGTACGGTCAGTCGCGCAAGTGGTACTTTTGGCTGATCGGTAAGTTGGAGCGATGATTGCAAAAGATTCCATTGTGGCCGTGGATCGACGGCATCTACACCAAAAAGCACGTCCACCTCCGTGACAGCTAGGTCTACCATCCCACGAAATTTGTTTTTCAGTATCCAGATTCCGCCCGGTCGACTCTCCCATGAATGATCTGAGCTTGAATCTGGAGGCGTCCTGCTGACTCTGATATCCGTAACCACCAAGTCCCCATCGTCCAGCTCTCTCTCGTTAGCTAGCGCTACATATAACCATGCGTGCTGCTGAGATTTGTATAGATGCAGATCTTTCTTAATGGGGTGCCATTTGCGCGGATCCAGTTCACAATTAGCAGTTGTCGAAGAGAAAACACAGATATTCAGATCTGTAACAACCGGGTTAGTAATAACGTTTACATTATCAATGTATTCGTGGAATGCCATTTTGCGCTATAGGAGGACATGTGTGAAACCAGCGTTGGTCTTCACTACGTGTTCATGATTTGAAGCTAACTGCAACACGTGATTTTGTTCATATTTTGTTATGTTCTCCTTTAGTTATAATTATTCGCGCATCACAAGCGGTTGGGGTTGCCATCTAGTTCCCACAGTAATTGATTCTTCAGTATTAGGGCCTGGCAATCGAATATCGTAGTCAGAATAACAGTACAAATACAGCAGCTACAAAAGTAAATTCACATAAGCAACATCTCTGAGAGCCTTACATAAGCCCCTCACTCTTGAGAGCAGAATCCAAGATCTGTCAAAAGACCTTGAAATGTTTGGAACCTCCGCGGTCTGAGCGCTGGTCGCCGGTGTCAACTTGCGGAGAGAAACCCGGGGTTGATGTACAGCTCTACAAGTCCGGGTTCGCCGATGGAGCATAGCACGTCTATCTATCAGGTGATGGTCATGCGTGTCAATTATTCTTATGAAGTCAATGATAGGCTATCATTCGACTATTGTATGTCGGTATATTACTTCAAATGGAATAGTTGCGGGGATGCGGGGAAATTGGCTGATGGAAATAGTACTATCTATCCATTCTTACCACGGATGCTCTTACGGTGATATGTCCGACAATATTTGGAATGGGTTCGGGGTGGTCTCCTACATACCAGTACAATAGGGCATATACAGTAACTTTTTGGCGGAAATGTAGTTTACATGTGATGTTGAAAGTGACGATTTTCTCCTCATTATCAAATATTGTTGAGCTGAATGAGCATGCAGGAGCAGATTTCATTTTGATGACTATCGACCCAATTCTCAAGATCGCTCAGCTGTTAAGTATTGTGCTGATAGCAATCAATGCACACCACGAAATATCTCCTTTAGATCTGAGGTGAAAATGGCATCCCAGCCTCCCATGCAATACCAAAGACTCGGCAAAAGCTCCCTCAAAGTCTCCAAAATCATTCTCGGATGCATGACATTCGGCAACCCATCCTGGGAAGGCAGTCCCTGGGTGCTCTCCGAAGATGAATCTTTACCGCTACTGAAAAAGGCCTATGATTGCGGCATCAACACATGGGACACAGCAAATACATACTCAAACGGCCGATCTGAAGTAATCATTGGCAAAGCATTAACCAAATACTCCATACCGCGCAGTAGGGTGGTCATAATGACCAAGCTGTTTTATCCTGTCATGGATATTGACTCTAATGCGCGACCGAATCCCGCGGTGAATGATGGGAAATTGGTGAATCAGATGGGGCTGAGTCGGAAACACATTTTTGAAGCGGTTGAGGGTTCTTTGCTGAGGTTGAATACGACGTATATTGATGTTTTGCAGCTACATCGCGTTGACGAGACTGTAAGAGATAATCCGGAAGAACTTATGAAGGCGCTTCATGACCTAGTAGAGATGGGCAAAGTGCATTATATAGGTGCATCGAGTATGCACTGTTGGCAACTCGCGAGACTCCATTATACGGCAAAGATGAACGGCTGGACGGGGTTTACTAGCATGCAGAATTTATACAACTTGCTCTATAGAGAAGAAGAGCGTGATATTAACCCGTTTTGCGATGTTGAGGGGATAGGGCTTATTCCGTGGAGCCCGCTTGCAAGGGGCCTGTTGGCGAGGCCGTGGGATGTGCAAACGGAGCGCTCCAAACAAGATGTTAAGACATCCAAATGGTTCAGCAGTGAAAAACAGAATGAGCAGATTGTGAAGAACTTGGAACAAGTGGCCCGAGAAAAAGACTGTAGTATGACTGCGGTCGCTATGGCGTGGTTGTTGAAGAAAGGTGCTTGTCCGATTGTAGGATTGAATAGTTTGGAGAGGATTGAGAAAGCTGCTGAGGCTCTGACGGTTAAACTGAGTGATGAAGATCTCAAGCTATTGGAAAGCCCTTACCGAAGCGTGGATGTACAGGCAATCTGAATAGAGATAGATTTTTCTTCATGTGGACCTCAGGAGCTCTCCCATATATAACCTTAATCCTTCATGAACGTCCTTGCCATTCCATAATTCTTGTTCATTCGAAACACTTCTGCGTGGTATGCCTGTCTGCTCTAATGCAAACGACGCCGCAACAGACTCGTAGCAGGTCGCCTGGTACGAGTCTTTAGTCTTCAAGTATCCTATTGCATACGCAACAAGAAAGGCATTTCCGGCGCCAGTCGTATCAACGATCTTGGAAGAAGAAGCCTGATAAATAGGCGGTAACCAATGAGGAACTCCATCACTAGCTAGCGTCATAAAACATGTTCACCAGCCCTGACGATAATGCTGCCATTTTGTTCTGGACCAACTCCCACATCCAGAAATCTTTTTGCAAGACGCTCAACTTGCATTATTTGCTATATTAAACGGGTTGAAGCCTTTTCTCCGAATATATGGAATAAATCGAGATGGATTGGAGAAAATACGCCCACTAGTTTTATAGCTGGGATAAAAGAAAAAAGATGGCTGGTTTCACACGAAAGTGGCGCCGGTTCCCAAATCAGCAGAGGACGTTGATCGACGAAACCATTTTTGTGGATTTGCAATGTAGGGATGAGGAACGGTGAATTTATTCACTTTTTATTGTCATTTGCGTTTTAGTGTCGCGCACCTACACGAGGAAGCGGTGTCGGTGCGCCGGACGGCACGGTTACTGCCTTTATCAATCAGCGAAGATGGCTGCCAAACGGTGAGCCCTGGGAACAGCTGTTACCTCTTCAGCTATCCGCCCCGATGGCTTATAAAACTGCAAGTCATGTCGATACTCTCTGAGCTATATTTGTTTGATCTTCGTATCTAGTATCCACTATGGTAGGGAGATGTCCGGGGCATTCCTGGAGGGCTCATGTGTGGTGTTTATTTATATGGCTCCAATCCCCAGCTGGATCCTGGTCCTCTTCCATGTCCTATCTCCATGCTTAGTTTTTTCGTCGAGTACCTACCAATATGATTGGATTAAGCACTGTCATACTGTACGGCAGAAATATAAACTCTATTCACTCTCCTCATGAGTAAATCTGTCGAATTCTGGAAGAGCTTTAGAAATAAAAACGATATTATATTAGATATGAATTACGTCTGTAACTGGGGCTTCCACCTTAGGCTCTATATTGTGAGCGATGGTTTCAAAACATCAGGACCTCTGATGACAGTATCTTGATCGGCTGCTTATCCATTCTATTAGAGAGTGTCCGAGTTCCTCAGGGTAGTCGCAAGGACTTCAGTCAGGCGGATTTAATGCTGCTCAATCCAACCCTGGATCACCCGAGCCACGCTATCACTATTCTTCTCCATAAACATCATATGTCCGTTCCCGTGAATACCCATTAGACCCAACTGGTAATGATCAGTGTGAACACCAGCCTGCTGCAAGAACTCGACCGTGCACCAGTCGTACGGCGCATGATAGGAAGACTCCGAGGTTACCACAAGGACAGGAACCTGGGCGATATTGGTCAATTGTCGCGGAGCAGGACTATCAGCTTGGATCACACAGTTGGACACATTTGCTGTCTGAGAGACGATAGTCTGCGTTACTAAATCAGTGGCGGGGTTGATTACTGCAGGCGAGTAAGTGATGGGGATATCAGTTAATCCATAAGCACGAGCAGAGGTGTTACTGAAGACGGCTTCCTGGAACGGAGGGCCCGTAGGCTCGATAGCCACAATGGAATGAACGAGGTTCGGACGAGCGTCAGCCAACAACCAGGGCATCAGACCCCCTTGAGAGTGAGCTAGCACGATCGCAGGTTTGCCGATGAGATCGAGCAGAGCTGCACCAGCGGCCTGGACAGTGGACTGCTGGTAAGTGGCGGAGCTGAGAAATTCCACAGTGGAGGAATAGTAAGTGTCGAAGATGATGTCACCCATGACTCCGGTTCCGGGCCATTGGGTGTGAAGGGAAGCTTGTGGCCATAGGTTGTAGTTTTGAGGCGCAGTGAAGCGTTGTTGCAAAAGTTCAGCGCTGTATGTGCTCAGGGTGCCGTTGTTAGGAAGCCACGGACTACGACCGCGGAAGGTCTGGTCGATGAGATAGCATTCATAACCCTGAGAGAGGAAGTATGACGCCCATCCGGCTTTTCCATCAGGCTTGTTCAGCCAGTTCTATCATTGTACAGGTCAGCCAGTTTACATTTCTCCTGTATCTGTTCCTTTCGCATTTTTCTTTCTTTTCTGTTTCTGGCAGCATGTGATAGAGCTGATCATGGAATAATGAACTAAACTCACTGCGATGAAAAATTGAAATTAGGGAAGACAACAACATTACATACCGTTCCAGTCTGGGCTTGCCCATGAACAAAAACAATAGGATTGGTTTTGGAAGCTCCGCGAGTAGGAGTCAGCCTCTCCACGTACATCTGGTTGCTGAAGACATGCTGTCCCGCGCTATTAACAACATAACCGCCTCCCACGTACATGTACGTTCTGTGATATGCGACATCGCCTGGGTTTGTGACTGTCGCGGTCTGCGCGGTCTGCGCAGTCACAGCTCCGACGAGCAAGGAAGCAATCCACAACACTCTTTTATAACCCATGGTATAAGAATGATATGAAGTACGCGAGCGAACAATGTTCGGAGCAATGAAAAAGAAAGGAAAAATTGAAACTGCCGTTGATTCCACGTGTCAAGGAACAATTGCTACGCGGTCAGGCGTTTGGGAATGAAGAAAAGGTAAAACCGAGGGACGATTATCCATGGTCAAATGGCGAGAGAAGTGAAGAATCAAATCCGATCAGATCCACTTTAAAGTGAAAACGTGGTATTATCGCCAAGAAGTTATCCAGTCCTAAATTATTTAATCAATACGTAGTAGCTTGGTACCACGTTGACTTTGTGCCATGTGAGCGGAGAGACAAAATCTTAAGCCTTAATTTTCTGGGGCTAGCATATCTCTTGGCAGACTTGGAGCTGTCCAAATACTTTTGTACCTCGCCTGATTTCCGAATCTAGAAGAACTTGCTGCTAGCGACCGATTTACATGCTAACACGGACGTCTTGTTAGCTCATTACATTCTCCCTGAATTGACGCCATTCTCAACTGATACTAGCGGTATCTTCAGATGATGGAAGAGCAATGTAAGAAAAGGAGTCACCTATGACAAAAGTAAATCCCTTATTCGTACCCAGGCCTACCAAAACCTGCGATTGTCAAAAAAATACATGAGAGCAGGCTTAACAAGAGCAGGAGTTCTTAACAGTAGATTAGGAAAACAGCCTTTGTCATGGACTTTGCTAATTCTTGAACAGTTAGCCCTCTAATTGCCAGTCCCTACAATGTCAATGTCTGTTGCTGTCGTAAGTCGGCCTTCCCACCTGTTTGGACTGGACTGGATGGAACGGACCGGACGATAAGCCGATCCTTGTAATGCTAAATTCTATGAAAAGCTGAAAAATGTTTAGTACACTTTGTATATTGCCTTATTCGACGTTCTGACTGTGCCCCACCAGTCATTCCGTGACACTACGTAGACCTGAGAAGAAAAGACCTGACGATGCGAGACTCAGTAGAAGTATTAAGGTTTAGCAGTTGAGGACTCAAATCACGAAAATTACGGGCAGAGTGGAGCATCTCGCCAGGTTTCGGCGCTCAAGCGCTCAGAATACGTAGTGGAGATCTCCACCAGCTACAAGGGTCCCCCTCCGGGATACGGGGCCAGTTCAGAGCTTAAGATATAGTCCGGAATTGGGGGACAACCCCAATAGCACAGTCCTCACCGGGAGCCTGCGGCTTAATTTGACTCAACACTCACCAGGTCCAGACAAAATAAAGGATCGTGGGTATGTCTTGCTGTTTGATTTCTAGTGGGACCTGCTCGAATAAGCGAGAGTGTCCGTAAAGTTTGGATAATTGGAGAAAATACAAGTCTGGAAGTAGATTCAATGGTTCAGGGGATATATGACTTTGAGGCTTCAAGTAGACAAAGAACCCCGTTAGTAATCGTACTTGAACTTGTGAATCGAGAAGACTATTCCGTTTCGCTCTCCATCTCTTTGGAATTTACTGTGTAAGATCCGCCGGTGGGGATCTACAGAGTGACAAGGATGAGTGAGTAGTGAGACTTTGGTAGGATTCTAACGTAAGTGGACACCAAATGCCGAAACAGAACGTCACAGCCAATAGATATGTTGGACGGAATGGTATTTGTCGGATAATCCGGGATTTCCAGTCCAGTGAGGAGTTTACTCTGATCTAAGTACTCGACAAGCAGAGGTTTAAGAGAGCTTTGAATTGCCTGCTTTTGCTCTCGTACTAGGATGAAAGACCTTAGTTAACCATGAGAGTCCAAGCTCATTATTTGTCCAGCCTTTTTCTGAAATCGCGTATTGTGCATGATCAGATGAGCAATCAAAGTCCTTAAGCCAGCTATCTTGTAGATCGCCTGATCCACCTTGATAGAATAGAAGTGTTCCATCGGCGCAAATGTTTTAGGTTTGACTGTGCAGCTCTCAGTTAATCTGCCAAGGGATTTTTTTTCTCTTTTTATTCAAAATAACAAGATGCTTGGTTCATTCCTCCATTGTCTATTCCCGGGGAGGTTTCACAGCTCATTTATACCTGATATTCATTTTTTATGCCTAAAAAAGATGAGACAGAACAAACAATTCTATATATGTCACAAAGAATATCGTCTTAGGGGTCATCTTTTAAGGAGTCCTGCTGATCCAACAAAATACATGCGATTAGAGTAAGGAATTCTGTACTGTCGTCTTGATGTGAACCAAGTAATTTTCTAGCGCATAGCTGCTGTATTGAGATAATTCGCTTCTACGTACAGCAGATACCCATGTTAAATCCGTTCTCATCGAAGTTGTAGATATTCGATGGAGCAATGCGCTATTGTTTGACCTTTTCTGCAAGCTTCTGTAGATTTATGAGTCAAACTACATTTCGACTCCAGTTAGAAGGATAAATCAATACGTTCACATACAGTACTATAGAAATGTTTAAAATATACCGAATTATCAGCAACTATACGAAAATTATTGATTGTTTTAAGATAAGCACTGTCAGTTCGATCATGATAGCGCTGACAAAATAGATAAACCCAGCGTTGACTAACGTCATGGCGCATGACTTCAACAACAAGATTCCGAAGAATTTGAGGCGTTGGAGGCAGTCCGCGAGCTGAAAGATTTAATATATGATCAAGAAGAGCCTCTTCTTGCGCGTTAGCAAGAAGTTCTTATCAAACTGAATGAGCTTCTTGATGAGACCTCATCTGGCCTTTCTAACGACGCACTAACGTTGTATGATTGATATTATATTCCCTAGCGGTCTGAGCATATTGAGGTATTCTAGATCACTAATTACCTTCAAAATATACGCTTCGTTGACCATGTTGTTGAAATTTGAAGATAATATGTTGATGTCGGATAAGGAGTGCTTTCGGTGTCTGATTAAGTTAGTGAGTGGTCAGATTTTGAATACTTTCGCCATCAATTTCCCGATAATAAGAGTGGCTCATAGATAGCCTCGATTCCAGCACAGAGGCTGTTCGCCCACGATGTATTGTTGGAGCATCCTGTAACTCGTGGTCTGATTGGGTAGCAGCTTTGCCTCGTCGCTCATGAGAGGAGAAATTCCTGCTGGTGGACCCTGTATGTGCATAGCGAGGCTCTTTCTTTTTTTCCTTTAATCGTGGCGTAGAGGACAGGTACATTAGCGACGATGGCAGCAGCGAAAAGCTCGACGGAGGCCCATGTAGTTCGATTGACCTGGGCAGTGGCGTTTTTGGCGTTTTGGGGCAGACGAACGATCGTGATGGCAACAATGAAGAGACCAACAGCAAACAGCAAGCTTAGTTGGAGTTTTCTGTAGTAATTCCGTAAGCACTAATCTGGGACAGGTGTGTGTGAGATCGGGAGACAAGGGGGGCCACGGCGTCTGTAAGACATCCAAGGTCCCTGCATGAAAAAGGCTGCTTACTGCACCAGGGATCGCTTGACCAGAATAATGACGGGAATTGGGAGAGCGATCAGCATTATATCTGTAATGATACTAAGGACACCTGACAAAAGTATCCAGTTTTAGCGAAGCTTCTTCATACTGAAGACCATTTTCATACTACTAACCTAAGACAATCAATTGAAGTTGAGCTTCAACGCAGGTTCCTATCATCTATTAATATGACTCAATATAGGGTGGTTTGATGGAACGCACCTGGATCTGGAACCACCTGCCAGTAGAGATAGAAGGGTTTGCATTCTATGAACGTCACAATCTGCACGGTCAAGTACGTTGCTCCAAAGATGGCAAGGTATGTGATGAGGGTGACTCGTTCCCACGGCAGATTGCTGATTAGTCGACGGTATGTATCCAGCAAGACAAGTTTCTCGATCCATAAGCTGCAGTGGAGATAATTTAGTGATCCAGGTGCATTACCATCCACTCACAGTGAAACTGCTACTGGGTATAGATTTGGGCATGGATATGGCCGTCATGACATACTAGGAATTATAGAAGACTCTGTTGGCCAACACGAACTGGCTCGCAATTTCTCTGCGTCGGATATCTTCCGGTGTGAAGACATGGGCTTTCCTCGCACCCGGAGACATATTGTTCGTTCCCTATATCAAAACGACATGCACCAACGCCAGACGCACTAGGGCGCAAATGATGGCTGCTATGGAGAGATAATCGCCGAGAGTGTAGACGTGTCCTCTGATTTTGCGCAGGATGAGACGAAGGCCAATGATTCCAATGGCACCCCAGGTGAAAGCCCAGAGAAGTGCAAGTGTTGGGTCATCCATGGCGGCTCACCTGCCGTGGATGGAGACACGGGATGAAAGAGTATGAAACCTGATCAGTGCTTTCTATCATGTGTAAAACCTGACAGCTAAATATTAATATACCAGATATCGGAACGTGGAGACTGTAGTGAGGATAGAGTCCAGAACCCGGATTCTTATTTCTTTCCCTGCATTGGCCGTTACAACCATCCTGATGATTGTCAGTTTCATCGCAGGGTCTTGGCGCCACCATTAGAAAAATCTTCTCTGGTAGCAAACCCCGACCCAGGGGGTGTATCCAGAACTCCAAAGAAATTAAGGAATGCGAATATATTCCGTAACTTTTTGCCAACGGGCAGAATTTGCTTGGCGCAGTCAATGCGCATCGCAAATACAATCTTGACAAATGAGGCTCCAGATGACCCGACCTGCTAAATTAGTTGACTGCCCAACGTTAGTTAGTACGTTGATACAAAATCGCTATATTCCAAAAAGGGCATATGGCTAAGGATCCTCCGTAACATTGAAGAATCGGGTTAGTGGTACTTTTAATGTTTTTACTGTAATATTTCAAGATACCACGCCAAGACTTTTTAAATACAGGCACGTATTAGTTGTAAAGTTAAATTACATATACAAAACAGATGCGAGGCATATGCTTAATCTCAGGTTCTAGCTCCTAAGACCCCCCCCAAACGACCTCTAAAAATCATTCCCTGATCCCCTAACCATCTCTAACGTTAACTAACCACTTTAACTACCTTAAACCCTAAGACGTTTAACCACCTAAACCCACCCCTAACCACCCCTAACCCTGAATAATTGGAGGATATATATTGCTTATGTTAAGCATATGCTATAATAAATCAAATGGCAAGAGTTGGTAATATTAGTATTTTTTTCAGTTGGCCCAAGCATCGTGATATCCACTAGCCCCAAAATGGCAATTTCAAATTACACTAGCGCCCAACAAGATATCATCCACCTCCCTGGAGGATATCATCCTCAGCTATAATCCGCAAAAGAATGAGATTAACGTAATCGGTAGGCGGACTGGCCTCATAAGCAATCATACTTCGACCTAGCAATGGCTACCTCCGATATCCGTATCGCTAATCCGTAGATAAACGTAGATAAACGTAGATAAACAACTTGGAACGGGGATCCATACAAACAAAGGCATGAAACTATTCCCTTACCAATGACGCATATCAAGTCATGTATCTATAACGAGCGTGCGTATGCCGGTTGAACGGTTCAACCGGATTCTTTGGATGGACGCGTACAAACAACAAGTATACACAATCAGACAAGGGGCGGCACATAGCATATTGAATATTCATCTCAATATATAGATAAAGCAGTAAAAGAGTCTCTATCATAGGCTCATCATACTCAATCTTCCCAAAGTACGCCCACTAATCACGAGTCCACCAAGACTCATCTATACCAACCAGTATTCCTAACCATCCCCCGACGATCAAAGAAAATAATATAAAAGTAGTGAAGACATGTGAGGAAAAATGAATGTACAAAGATATGTATGACGAGAAACAGTCTATATTATAACTTTCATAATTTGGATGTGGTGGTGAGACAGGAGAGGAATATGCGTGCGAAGGAAAAGTATGAATCGGAGATTTTGTTATACAAGATTTTAATTCTTCTTCTCAGCCTTGGCAGCATCCTCCTTATCTGCCTGGATACCTCGTCTTTCAGCGCTCACCTGGTCAGCTTCAGCCTCATTAGCCTCAGCAGCCTGCTGCGCAATCGCATCCGACGCCTCGATCTTGGGCTGATCCTCCTTATCATCGATATTCTCCGTATCCTTTGGTGCTGCAACACCTTTACCTTCTTGCTCTGTGATTTGAGTGTTTTCTTCTTCAATCAATTCCTGTTGCTCCTTAATGACTTCGAGGCGTTGTCTGTTGGTGGCTGCGCCTTCAGCGTTGTGGACTTCTAGCTCGATCTCATGGAAGAGTTCTTCGGGGATACTAGACAACACAGAGCGGAGCGCGTCGATTTGGGAGGATAGTTCTGGGTCCTTGGATTGGGTGGCGTATTGGTATGCGTTACTCAGAACGAGCATAGTTGAGGGGACGCCTTGCTTAAGACGGAGGTCTAGCCACATGGAAAGATCGTCTCGGAGACGTCCCGGGGATACACCGTGGGTACGGAGACCACGCGATGCACAAGCCATCTGCAGTTCGGGCACAGAGAGAGAGTCCACACCCTCGTATGAGATTGCTCGGTCATCTCGCTTGATCTGGCGCATACGGTGACGAATGTTGTATCGCAGCATAGCATCCGTACCGAATGTGTTGAGATTCATATATTTGCACATGCCGACCAATTGTGGTCGAGACAAGTTATCCAACGTCAAGTCATCCTTGAAAATCTTGATGACTTTGATAACATCCGCATCGGAGGGTGATTCGCCAGTTGAGCGGAGTTTCTTGAAAAATTCAGTGAATTCTTCTTTTCTGGCATTCTCGGCGCTCAACGGTAGACCAGTCTCCTTCAAAGTGTCCTTCAGGAATGCAGAAACCTCCTTCCGAGTACCTCGAAGAGTCTCGGCCTTTTTGTCCCGCGACTTTTGTCCTTCGTAGGTGCTGGGGAGCATGTTGGGGAAGATTCGGAGAGCAATAGGGAGTAACAATTCGGCAAAGGGGACAATCACAAACACGGAGAACGGCACCAAACGTGCCAGATCCTTGACCGTACGTTGTAACTGATAGGTTCGTCAGTACCACCTTCCGAATGACAAGAAGAGAGAAGCATACCTGTCTGTTCTCACGACGACTCAGCTCATAACCCGCAGCCATCTTCATCGCCAACTTGACACTAATGCGCACTTCGGTCGCCAGCAATTTCGTTCCATCCCAATAATGCTGAATCTCATGCTTGATCTTCTGTCCAAGAGTCATCTTTTTTTCCTCCTTTTTCTCCACGGCTCGCTTCTCCGGCTCCACTACCAGTTTCTTACTGTCGATTACAACGGTCTCTGGAGATGTAGAATTGAGTTGAGATTCCCCTGGTGTCGTCTTCGTAGCATTTTGACTTCCTGCTGCTTGATCTGCTGCCTTCCGCGACTCCGCCGATGAAGAAGAGAGTGGCTGCCTAGCTTGGTTGGAATCGAAGCCCGGAGGTGGGAATGGCGTGCCTCCGGAGCTGTGACTCGATGATGTAGAAGTCTCGGTCGCATATGTGCGCTGGTTGGGAATCAAGACCGCCAATGCATTCAAGTGTGTGGGAAATGCTCGACGGTTGCGTTGGGCTTGTGCTAGGGATCGTGCTGCGAGGATACTCGGGAAATTTCCCGGTGCTTGAAATTTTGAATTAGCATATTGCAAATCATACTAATGGGCTCGAAGCAAGGTATAAACTTACTGATGCCATATACACGCCTCGCAGAGACTGAATTGGAGAGTCTTGCTGTCCTCATGATGACGAAGCTTTGAAGAAAGAAATAAATTCGGCCGAAACGGGCTCGCAGTTGCGAGCAGATAGGATTCTGACAACGAACAGCTAGGTCAAAGAGGTTCGCGCTTCTTCTACGTCCACAACCTGGTGTATGACCTCGATGGATATCCGGTAAAGAAGAGATTGTTGATGTTCGCTGAATAACGTCAACTTGGATGTCGGAGCGACTCTACATTTCCGCTCCGGAGTCCGGAGACACGTAGTTGCGGGCACGTGACATTCCGGCTTCGGCGATAATCTCTTCTGAGATCCCGGAGTTAAGGGCTACATTTGATTGGGGGCTGCAAACGTATAACAATTTACTAAGTATATCAACCAATTATTCTAGATATATGACGAATTTGGAAGATTTCGCATTCTGATGTACAGTCAAGTCTCGCAAACGCGACACCGAAACAAATGTACCAAAGACCAGGGTATAAACGACCGTAACGCACATAAATAGGCATATTAATAACGATGGATAGCAATTGGCACGTCAAAAGGTATCAACAACTGAACCTTGCATAGGTGGTATCATCAACAGATTCATAATTCATAACGCAATGGGGGTTGTGCGCATGTGAGAGCCATATATTCAGAGACGGTCTTATAATGAATGTAGGAGTAATCGATCAGAGGAGAAAATATATAAGTTGAATGTACCTATCTCATCACATCGCATCGGCGTGTGAGATTAAGCGGCTGTCCGGTCTCGCAACGCAGATGCAGCATCCGGTGCACGAGTTTGGGCACCAGTAGTCTCGGAGAGGGCATCAAGAGTCGGAATACGCTCAAGACTAGATTTGTCTAATTCCTCGCCAGGTGTCATAGCTAAGTCATTGAGCAGTCGGGAGCCTGGATCGGTAGCGAGACCGGGTGTAAGAAGTGGACTTGTGGCATAATCTGGACTGGCTTGCCATTTGGCGACATCCTTCTTCAGCTGCTCCAATTCTTTTTGGAACCTTTTTCCGAAGACGTCAATGTAATAAGTTGCGCCGTTATGGATACTCCAGACGAACACTCCGAGCATGAAGACAGAGCTGGCCCAGCGATACCAGAACCACAAAGGGCAGGGAATCATGGTCAACAGTGCGTAGACATATTGAATCATCATAAAAGCCGGTTCTTGAAGAATGTTAGGAAGACTAAGCACGAATTTACCAATCCAGGTTTTAGCATAGGAGCGTCGAAGCCAAGTGAAACTAGTCGGTCGTCCGGCGGCAATTTTGTCTGCACGGCGAACGGTGATCCAGCGGTGATAGGATAGTTGCCAGACTGCGTATGGGATGGAAGCCCAAAGCATCATTGCCAACAGAGTGAAATGTTCGGGCGCGCCAGGCTGACTGAATTTGATATCCCAGACTGCCGGGAATCTCTCTTTCAGAAACTCGGGGGATGTCAAATGCACAATACAGTGGAAAGCGGCTGGTGGCATGATATGAATGAAGACACTGGCAATAACGTTAGCGAATGAACACTAGTAGCGACAAATAAATTTACCTGACGACCTTATCCATGCTGTGAAACACCAAAGAGTTGCGCCACATAGCGATAGCGACCGCATTGTTTCCGTAAGCGAGGCAGTACGTTCCGATCAAAAGCCGCTTGGACTTCGGGAAAACCCAGATGCTCAACATGGACAGGAAGTTGACAAAGTAACATAGATCGGCCAAGAAGTAGTGGTATCCTCGCCTATGGTAGGTGTACAGGCGAATAGGCATAAAGTAGGCAAGCTGAGCAGTGTACCACCAATAAAATTTCTCCGGTGCAGCTCCCATAAGGTATCCACTGATGAAAATGTTCATCACACCGGCAATAAAGGATATTTTCTCCCGCAAGGTGACTGTTGCTACCTTGCTCCATTGTTTCGTCAAGCGATCGACCGAATCCCGCATACGAACTTTGTACTTATCCAACTGCTCGTCAGCAGTTGGGATTCGTTTTCTCCATTCATCCACGACGCGATCTTTGGCAAGCCCAGAGACAGACTTGAGCTTTTCGCGCTGTCGACGCACTCGATCTCGTTGCATATTCAGCGCCTGGTTCCATTTCTCCAACTTCTGTGACAATGAAAATGTATCGAACAGTTCGGAAAGGCTCAGCTTGTCCAACGGCGGGAACGTGTCCCAATCCTCCTGATATGAGCTGCTATTCGAGAATGACGGATTTCTAGACAGTCTTCCGGGGGTGGATGTAGGCGAAATCGAACCGTCGGGAGGCACCGATGATAGGCCATCTGCATCGGTAGCAGCGAGGTCTGGAGAAAGGGGGGCATTCGAAGCCATGGCTTCTTCAGGTAAATTAGGGGCGGACTTGCTCCGAGAGAGCAAATTCGGATCAGTCATAGCGACCTCTTTCTGTTGGAAATCCAACAGTGTGTGAGTGCTCCGTGCGTGGATTATATAGGGACGACTGATAAAGCGGCTCAAAGTCAGCATGGTCTCGTGATATCGCGAACTCGTCCGACGACTCGCGGGTGTTCTTCCAAATGAGTGACAAAAATATGTCCGAAGCTGTCAACTTGCAGGAATTTATCCGCGTGATGCAGGTACACCTTGTCCCTCGACTCAAAAAGAAGATAAACGCGCAAGTCGTGGACTCAGGGCAAAGCGGTGAATTTGTATGAAAGAAGATAGAGATAGGCATTTACTCACCAACGGGATAAGAAGCCACGGGGTCAAGTAAGGTCAAGTGACTCTTGGTAGAAGCTGACCGGCCGTTTTCGTGTGCCGAACAGCCTCAAGATAAGAAGGCGTGATGGATTTAGGCAGAGTCGAGATTGTGCTTGGATGGCAAATGTGTCCAAGCTGTTCAGCAATGACATACCAAGCTCTTTTCGCGTGCTTGATTCAACGTCCCTGGTTGGCTGTCTGGCCAATCGAGCCCCGTTTTTAGTCTTTATTTGGTTAGCTCAGAATTCTTTGATGCCTTGTTGGTGTCTTGCAGCCTGAGGCATCCTTTGACCCTGTTCGTTGTACTTCAACCTCTTCAACCCTTGGAAGATTGTTCACACTACACACTGCAAGAACAATATAACGTATGAATAAGTCGCAAGTCCGATGTCTTCTATGACCGAAATGATGGATTCGTACCAGTCTTGTCTGCATCTTTTTTATTAAGGCGCTTATTTGCATTAACTCTATACACTGCAAACACAGCACTTTTGTCCAGCCGCCTACTGTACAACAGAGAAAAATTCAAATCTAACACTTTTGCGCACAAAGTAGCCATTAAAAAGTACACCCGAAAGTACACAATATTCACACATATGGTGAGTCGCTCAACTGCCGAAATCTATATATCCATTGAAACGCAGCCAAGACACAAATGAACGCCCGAGGGATGGGAGGACACCTGGAATTTCCTGTTTTATAATAAAAACGAGGTGAATAGATTCCAGTCACCTTTGTAGATATACTATTATCAGTACGGAGCCTGATAAGAAGGCGCCGACGCATGTACCGTTGGGTTCCACAAAACGGTGGTTGTGACAGGCACGGAAGGAAGCATGGGTTGATGGAGGTAGGTTGAGAAAGACGGACGATGGTTCTGGGGAGACAGATCAATCGAGTGAGGGGACGCCTCCTGTGACATGACGCTGGACGCGGCGCTGCTATTGTATTCTCGTGGGCTGTATTGAATGCTGCTGTCAAAGGAGCTGGCGCGAGTCGATGATGAAGCGCCGGGAAGAGAAGGAGCGTTGGAATAAGGCAAGCTGTACGACTGCGAGCGTTCCGGCATCAGGTGATCATAAGTGACTGCCTGAGGATCTGCTGTTGTTGTCCCGTCGCTCCTGCCGTCTGATCCTCCTGCTTCTTGACCTTGTACACTTTCTGTCGTCAAAGAACCAATTCCCCAGGAAGATGGACCACCACTTTCGCTATTGCGAACATTGGATTCTGGCGTGCTGGAGCCGTCGCTTGACTCAAACTCAGGTCCAACTAGACTGACTTGAGAAATCGGGATCAATACATCGCCGGCTGCGAAACAGTCAGTCGTAGAAGCATTGACAGGTGACTTGACAGAAGACTCACATATTTCGCCCCTTAGGTACCGCTCTTCCATATGTCGGACACTGTATACCTCATCGAGAATCTGAAGCCTCTCAGGAGGGCTAATAGACCGACGCACATCTTGACCTGCATCGCGAAGTTTCTCTGCTGTGACATCATGGCTTTCGCCGAGCTCTCGAAGAATGTGAATGAGAAGTTGAATGCGCTCTGCGATCTCGTCAGCAAGCTGTCTTTCATTTGAAACGATGAACATACCTGGTTTGAGGAGATGGTCTGGCTCTTTATGTGTAACACCGGCAGGCCACCAAGGCGGTTTGGTCATTTCCGGATCAGCGCGCCTCTCACCTCCAGGGCTGGAAGACGCTCGTCGCCCATTGTAAGGATAGTTGACCTGTTTCCGCGGCTCGACAAGCTTGATAAAAGCCTTGGCAATGACCCTACAGTTCAATTGTTGAAATGAGTCAAATGCCTTTTCATAGTACTTCATCAAGCGGGTTTCATCGTCGACTCGTATAACGCATGCTGAAGATGACGGCAGACTCATGGTGTCGTAGCCAAAGTCGGGGGTCATTGAACCTGGCATTCTGGGGTCCCGGCGTCTTCCGTTTCGTCTGTGCCGTCTGCTTTGGTCGAGTTGCCAATCGCATGGAATTAGAGGGCCGGGACTCCCGCTCATGGGACACCAATTTCCTTTTTGTCGTGACCTTCCGGGAATATGTGCATAGACTCCTCTACCGCGTTCAGACCTCATCGGCCCCGTTGTCACTGCCCCTATGTAAGTGGAGGTCCGCCATGTTTCGTTGACATTACTACTGACCAGGTAAGCTTGCAAGTGTCGAAGACCGTGGAGACACTAACTCTGCAAATCTTTCTTGTATGTCCGGAGTGAATATCACTCTGCCTGGGTCTGCAATCGACGATGAACTTTCAAAAGCAATTTGACCGTCTTGGTTGCTGTATATCATGGCGAAGTGTGGGTAGTGAACGCCAACTACTCCTGGTGTGCTTGAGTGGCCGTGCTGCCCACAACAATTTGATTAGCCAGTGTCAATCCGAATTGCAGGACGAGGACTTACCACGGCTGCCTGGTGAGACGATATGTTGTTGAATGGAATCAATGTGCAGTTTTGTTCTGTGCTCAAGCTATGAGACTCGTCCATTCCGCTTGTCGTTAAATCGCACAATCTCGCCGACAATATAAGCGTTCAGACAAGTTCAAAAGAAACACCTTTAGCTGATAGTGAAAGTAACCAATCAATGACAGGGACTAGGGGCAGGATGATGAAGGAGGGTATATGGATATGATATGTGATACGAAGGTCTGTTGCGAGTGTAACTCAGTTACTCAGCCGTTATGATTGACGAGAGACAACGATTTATAGGGACTCGTAGGGAGAAGCTTGATATTAAACGCCGCTCTATTGTTGAGGCAAGTGATGAAAGCAGATAGTATATTCCAGGATAGGTTATATGGATCAGACTAAGAATCTTTAGGATCGACTACGACCTAGGCCCGCTAGTTAATTCCATTGAACTTCATACCCATGTCAGACAAGTGTCTACGCGGGTGATTGTGTATACATGAGAGGTTTAGCTTGGGGTCCAAGCACTCCGGGGAAGGTAACAACCGATCCCGCTAGACGTTTGGATTACTCTCGTCCCGTCTGGCCAGCAAGGAGTTGCGCCCATGCAAACTCTAAAAAACCATGGATCACGCCTTTTACGCCTCAACTTTGACTTACTGGGGATCTGAGGAACGTTGGCCGTCCCTTTGAGGATGTTGAATATGCGGACACTGTGGACCTCTAGCTGTCGCCGCGCAGATCCAGCCTACAATAACTAACAATGCGCAGCGAAAGGAAAAAGAAAAAATGACATTCGGCTAGCATGTCCGGATCTCTACAAACGACCTGTGGGTACTGGCTGATACTCTTCCAGGACCGGGTTCAGACCATGCAAAAACACGAGAAATCGTGAAGAATGTCCGTCCGTCGTTTACTAGTCGGGCAAACAACATCTTCACCTACCGGCCGGAATCGCGGAACCGATAAGAAAAATGAAACTAAAGACGCCGGAAATGTTTACAACAGTTCCCCATGGGACTACTGTACGAAAGAGTGAACGGGCCAGGACCCTGTCTAGCGTTTAGAAGGATTGACAAGATGGCTACGGAAGAGCCCGCGCGCCCCATTTCCCTGCATGATAGTCCGTACGCTGTGCGGTCCACGGACTCCACCCTGTCCGTATTAGACTGCGCATGCTGTGCGGTAGGGTTGGCACTGACTAGATGATTCGCGTAAGCGGCTGTCTTCGAGGGCAGCTGTCTGTGTGGGTGCTTTAGCCATGCGTCTAGTAGGTACCTAGGGCTATGCCGCAAGATAGATTGCCATCTAGATTTTGACCTTCGTCATTTGAGACTAGAAAGCTATGTCGTCAGATTTGCTGTTGATAAGAGCAAGAAATCCGAGATATTGGAAAAGGAACCGCCTGCTTACTTGGGCAGATCTTGGATCCTGAATATTCACGCATGACATTTCATTGAGTGTCCAAGATTTTACTGTCTCTATCCGGAATTGATAAACTCTTACCGATCCTTCGGTGCAGATGGAAGACGCCTGTTGGAAGGGGTTGAGAAACGAATCGACAGCAGCTCCGAGAAATCGTTTGAGAATGCGCATGTACCATTACGGGCATTGACAGACAAACAAAAAGATAGTAACCAAACGACATCTAAGGTCTTGATACTATCTACGTATGCCATCCGATCTATTTATGCAAGGCGAAAGAAGAGGACAAAGGTGGGACTGCCTATATCGGTCAAGCATTAGTGGCAACAAATTGTCGACATGAATGTACCTACATATGATGCTTTGACCCAGAAAAGTAAGAAGTAAGACGGTCATTGTCAATCATTCTTTGATTTCCTTTCGGATCGGAACATTACGTTCCTTAGGGGGTAATAGTAGTATGGACAGAAAAGTACGATACAAAGCGGTGAGCAGGAGAGCGATCCAGGAGGGGCTCAGTGCGCGTAGTGTAAAGAACAATCCTTGTTAACCGGTCTGTTTGGTTGACCAAAGGCTCTGCCTTGCGATCTGATCACCGTGGGGTGTACAAATCTGAGGATGAATCTGAACTCTGGATTCCGGGAGATTTGTTTGGATGTTTCCGTACCTAAGTGAGTAAGTATGCTCATCCACCAAAATTGTCGTCTTGTTTTATACCATTTCTTACTTTAGACATTTCCACGAATGTAAACGATAGTCAAGATAGACCCAGTCTAGAATCAAAGGTACGATGCGTTTTTAGCACGGCCAATTTACAATACTGTGTATGCCAGCATCCGCCGGCACAACGACGATGCCACACGTGTATTGTGGTAGTTGCTTGACGTAGCATTTAAGAAGATGTCTTCTGAATACAGAACCTCGAGGGGAAGTGTCCACCGCAACTTCTTTTCGCACATTTGATCCTAGCAAGTAGGTATGCAAATGACATCATGTATCTAACCCAGATCATATCTCATCTCATCTGGTAGGCTTGTAGATCCAGAAGAAAATTTAGATTGTAGTCCTTGTTCTTCAAGGATGGTGTCAGCTGCGTGCCACCGATTCAGCCACTAACAAGCCACCAAAAGCCCAACAACAAAGCAACAGCGTACTGACTGGCTGTTTAACACACATGCAATGCATTTTTCACTTTGACACCAAACTGACACTTCACTGTGTGCATAAACATCAAGTATGAACGCAATGCATCGGTCAGCCAGCCCAGCCGGTTCGATTTGCAATATGTCGTGACAAGTGACACAAACCGGGAAAAGGAAAGAAACGTCGAGTTCGCGGATGGTAGGGAATGAGTGTGACTGGCTAATGTGTATTTACGTGCATACATACAGGACCGGGTTCTATATTCTTATCAGGGCGCACAAGTCTGCGGAAGGTTTTTATCAAGAGCAAAAGGCCAGAGAAGTAGTAAGTCAAGCAAGTGGTCAAGGAAGAGGGGAAGGTGCAAGAGGCCTGCGAGCCTAAAGCAAGTAGCACTTTCATACAAACGCCGTCTTCTCGAGAACAAGAAAAGGGAAAAAAGAATTACCCAGGTAAACGATATCATGCCTGCGTGGAAACAATATGCGTAAAAAGCAAAAATATTTCAAACGAAAAGCCGAGATACCTAGGTAGTGACCAATCAATTGACTAGAAAGCATCTCCCCCCGACTTTCTACTAAAGTACCTACCAAAGTAGCCAGGATCAACATTGAAGGATATACCAAACCAGCCAAACACACAGCGTTCTACTGCTTTTGAGGTTGTCGGTGTCCGTGACGACCTACTTGAAACCCGCTCCATTCAAAATACGACCCTTTTTTTTTGCAAACAACAACAATAAATAAACCTGGATACTCTGAATATGTAACTAAGGTCTAAGCGAAGATTTAGCTTGCAGATATTTTTTGTCCGGTGCGGTATGGTTGGCTATGTAGGTGCTAATCTAACCATTCTTGAGAGTCCTCGTGATTCTAGACCATAAGGAGCCGATATTCAACGAGAATGGCTGGTTGTTAATTCCATGGAGGAGTTGTCGTTGTTGTCTTGCTCTTCTAGCTGTTGACGATGCTTGAAGGCTTGTCCGAAGTAGGAAATTCGGTGGGTAGCTATTTATTTCCTATTTGGGCCATCTCTGTCGGATCTGGATTGTTCACTGTAAGTAGTTGGATCGAGAGATTCGATCATGACACATTGCTTCTACGAAAAATCTTTTAAAGTCTTTCAATAGTGTATAAGTTCTTTTCTACAAGAAATAAAATCAAGTGATGTTCACACCAAGTCCTTAAGATCTACTACTCTTGTACGACCTTAGAGAAATCTTCAATGCCGAAATAAATAAACATCATTACATTCAAAAGAAGCTATACAAAGTGAAAAATTTAACTTTTTTTATCTAGCTACTCGGAGATGTTTACCGAATATACGACTCAACGAGCTCCATGCTACTCGAGCCATCGACACATCACATCCAAAAATCTCTATGCTCATCCCTATTAGACGCTTGCATACTTTCACATTGTCACACAAACCTTTAGGCACAACATAAGACAAATATAGTATATACCTAAGCTCCTACAGTTCGACAACGGAGCATGTACAACTGTACACCATCAGATTTTTATTCCGCTGTTGCTCTTTAAAAACTGTCCCTGTTGTGATTCGCCGCTTTGATTGGATTTGAAGCGCTACGGGTAATAGATCCGTCCAGTCACGTTGGTTTGAGGTTTTGGGTGCATGAGAAGCGGCTTGATCAACAGGTTGATAAAATACTGTATGTAGTCAACTGTACGGACAATGAATCAATCAATGAATAGATTCTAATAAAACTTTTCCGGGTCTGTGGCGTTATGCCGTGTTGCATCTTATCAACGAGTCAGGACACACTTTTTTCCTGTTGACCTACGCACGTAGGTATCGTGCTATCTATCCAAACCCATTATAACCGAAGTTAGTTGAGACGCTGATATCTGAGGAATCTTCCATGAATTCCAGATATTAGACCCTGGTCATTTCAAAGTTGACCGCAGCTACAAGTGGAAAATATTCTGGGGCAACACCGACGAAATTCATAGATAACCCTTCGGTGGTTGCCACACCAGCACATAATTTCAACAACAGTAGTACGTAGTGCCAACTGTATCCAGACTCGATATTGCGGTAGAAGCAGCACTCAGACCTCTAATCTGATTTGTTAGTAAAAGTGAAATGTCTGCAGCTATCTACCTAAATGACGTATGACTCGAAACTTTGGATATGGTAGAGCTACCTTACGCTAGCGTTGGTCTTTCTCTCTTTCTTTCGTTTCCTAATATCTTCCACATTCGAGTCGTAGACACCCAACATGGACACGAACTAGCCAGGAATACCTACGATAGGTAGTTTGTACATGATACTACATATTCCTACCAAAGATTTCTGTTTTATATTTCCAGAAGCCTTAGAACTTTCTTTGTCTAACAATGGAGAGAGATTATGAGGGAAGTTCCACGATCGACATGTTGGACGACCTTCGTTATCTGGTTCAGAATCGGTGAGATGCGAGTGTAGAAGGTTTCAGAACCATTGATTTTGTGCCAATTTCTGGTTTTTGCGAAGAAGTTGCTTCACTCCATGGGACCCTTTAGGGCAAATCCGGAAACCCTAAACCGATTCAAACGACGCCAACGGCTCTCGACCGTTTCTGACTGCCAACCCATATATTATTGTTAGGTTAACTAAATCTGTAGTTGTGGGCCTCCATCTTGGCGTGGAGACTTGTCCAAAATTGAAAGCATACAATCCTCTGTCCCGACATCTGCGATTGTATGACTCGCTTACTGTAGATGGGATCCATAGTAGTTAAGCGAAATCATTGATATTGAAAGTTTGGAACATGCATGATTCATGATAAATCGTCATTGTGGCTTACTTCTATTATTACCCATTTCATCTAAAACTTACTAAACGGGCAATTTCGCAGTTCGTCGGTCTTGAGTCCGGTCGAGAAGAACGATCTAGAAGAAACCCATAAACTCATATGTAGTACGAAGTTGAACTTGCATAGCGAGCCCTTTCCCCTGATCCTTAAGCAAGGGGGATGACATCTGAAACCAAACTTCCCAAAGCTGAGGGAAAACATGGACATGTGGCGTCCCTTCTCCATGGCATTTTGGAACCTGTCATATTTATGCTCAATTCCTTCTAGATTCCTTCCCACTTGTATCAGAGCTTTCAGCCACAAACCTTGGAATGACATCTGGTATTCTTGGCTGTGGGTATGTAAAACAAGGGTATCAATATCTACCCAGATAGGTAACTGGGTAGACAAGATCTCCGTCCAAATTTCTCCTTTTCACTATATTTCCGCAGACTATAGTGCTGAGATTATCTAAGAATAGAACTTATTCCAATTCTTTAGAACTATCAACGATATACTAGGAAATATGTATGTGTATTACCAATCTACATGCACTAGCTCCCATCCTTACAGCTCCAGAAAACTGATGTATCCCCAAACTCGACAGCTACCCTAGAAGAATGCCCTAAACTACCTAGCAGCTATATATAGGGGGAAAGTCCTCCCGACGAATGATCATCGTATATTGCTTTTTTTTACCTTTTCCCAGATCGTTCTCAATCCGTCCACGGGTGTTTGTTTGCGAAAATGGTGGGAAGTTGTAGGTCAACTGGTGCAGATTGATTCCAAATACCAGATTATGGGAGTTTGTGGCGTTTACTTTTTTGATCGAGAAGATTGGATCGATTCTTTACTACGCACTTTACTCGCATACGAACGGCATAAGCCAGATGGATAATTCGATCTTGGGCCTCGTTTAGAAGTTCATGATTCGATTTCGAAGGGCTTGGAAGTTCGAGCAGAAAATAGATAAATCACAAAATTTGGCGAGTAGAACAGGTTTTACATGACTACGAGAGAAATATCGCTTGTTGGCGCGGTGACCCGACTGATTGATTCGTAAGATATATTTTACAGCAAATTGAAGCGAAGGTGAAAATTGAATAAAGCCGGTTACACCGCAGGCGAAAAGGAGAAAACTGGAGACTGAAGCTACCTTTAGGGAACAAACCCTTGAATGCGAGTACGCCTCCCCAATCCATCCTATCCATTATTACCTGCTGTTGACATGACGCGAGGGAATTGATACAAGTGAAGATAAAACATATTGAAAGCCATGGAGCTAGCGATAGCAAATCGAAGAGAATATATCCGAATGTTTCGCAGTGCGACCTCTCTATTGGTATTTGCGGAGCTGTTCGATATGTTAGTAATGGCTCTATAACGGACTGCATTGACTGAACACTTACATCCAGAGTGAGCGAGTTACTGCTGTTTTCGGTCTGGTCTCGGTAGATACCCACAAGGGCCTCACTCAATTGGAACAGGCCCGTCTTCAAACTGATGACAATGAACTGCATGCCCGGAGCAGCATGGTCGCGGATGTAGTTGGCAATGCGAGCGACGTTAGTATTGTCAAGAGCGGCGTCCACCTCATCCAGAACGAAGAATGGCGATGGTTGATAGGAATGCACCGCAAAGAGAAGAGCGAGAGCGGCCATGGTCTTTTCACCTCCTGACAAGTGCTCCATGTCACGAAATCGTTTAAGTGGAGGCATGGCGTGATACTTGATGCCGTCAAGATATGGCTCATCGGAATCTTCGATGTCAAGATAACTATACTGGCATTAGTACATTTTATGATCCGCAGAGAAGATAACTCACGCTTGACCGCCCAAAGGATAGTTGGCACTTCTGGTAAGCTCCCGGTAGATAGGACCGATTTGTTCGGAAATATGTGAGAATGCTTTGTTGAACAATTCTGATCGCTTCGTCATGACATCTTCAAAATCATCCTTGGCTCTTCTGGCACGCTTCCGAGCATCCTCAAAGTCCTTCTCCGAACTGCGGAGTTTGTTCTCAACCGTTTCTAACCGTTCCATGGCTCGAGTGTTGGGTGCCATCTTGTCTAGTTCGGTGTTGAGTGAGCGAATGCGATCTTGCAATTCCTCCTCAAGTTTATCTTCGGCAGACTGCATGTTGTCAGTGGCAATTCATAATACAGTAAGGTTCATATATACCTCTTTTAGTGTCTCTCCCAAAGAATCAAAATCAACTTCGATGCCGTAATCCTGAACACCTGGAGCCTCTAGCCCTGTCATAGTCATATCCTCGTCGAGATCCATAGCATCCTCGTCAGCGGTTTGCACAAGCTCATCGATCGGCAAATTATCTAGAGGTGCGGAGTCATCAGTAAGCGGCAGGTCAATATCCTCGAGCTTGCAACGACGAAGGAGAGCATAGCGGCTTGAAGAGTTGCGCTGAATATCGCCCTCAAGTGCATTTACAGCCTTGAGGGTGTCTTCAACGTTCTTTGAGCGTTTCTGAAGCTCTCGTCGCTGAGCACTCAACCTTTCTTGGGATTCTGAGTACAATTCTTTCTGATCTTTCAGGCGTTCCTTGAGAATATCTAGTTCGGCCTCGAGTTCATCTAGGCGGTTGCGGATTTTGTCCTGCTCGGCCTTGAACTCCTTGATTTGTGCCTCATCCCGCTTGCGTTGTGCTTTTAGAGAGCTAATACGGTCATTTGTTGCCTCAAGACGTTGTTTCTCAAAGCTCAGTTGATTCTCGATTCTGCTCTTTTGAGTTGTGAATTCCAACTTCTTGCGAGAAGCCTCTTCTTGAAGGGAACCCTGCAAAGCCTCATAGTCGCGGATACTATCGTAGCCTAGACGTTCACAGAAATCGCCATAGATTTCGTCCTCCACACTAGCAACGGATTGCTCCGCAGAAGCGATCGAATTCTCTAGCTGCTTCAGCGCCTTCTCTTTCTCACGCAGCTTCGGCTGCACTTCCGCAACTTGTTTCTTGGCATACTGGAGTTCGCTATCTTTACTTTTAATGTTGCGTTCGAGAGCTTTCAACTCTTCTTTGGCGTAGGCCAATCTCTGTTCGAGACCGACAAGTTCACCCTGCAAGGTTTCTTCATCTGTTCCGCGACGGTGGCCTTTAGGCAATGCGGCGAGATCGGCAAGCAGCTTGTCTTTTAACTTGTGCAAGTTTTCTAATTCGGAATCATCCCACCTCTTCGAGCTTTGTTGTCCAGGACCTCGACCACCAGTCATCAAACCACCTTTGTGGATTACTGTTCCGTCTAATGTAACAGCTTTGGCGTCCACACCCTTCTCGTAACAGAGATACTTGGCAGTATCCAAGTCATCGCACACAATGGCATTACCACAAGCATAAGTGATAGCACGAGAAACGGAGTTTTCATAATCAACTGTCTCGATTGCTGGACGCATGCCGCGATGCATACCTTTGAGGTTCGAGTTGAAGGCCTTAACTTGAATGGTCTCAAGAGGAATGAAAGTGGCTTGACCGGCTCGCTGATCACGGAGATGTTGGATACATTCCTTGGCAGTCTTCTCGTTGTCTACAACGATAGCATCGAAATGACGACCTAGGACAGTGCTGACGGCTTCGGAGTACTTCTTTTGCTTAGGTTTACATAGATCGCTAACGCGGCCCTTGACACCCGGGAAGATGCGCTTTAGTGTGGATATCATCTCTTTCATTCGAATCTCCTTCTCGCTTTGCTTTCTGCCATCGTCCGCTTCGAGCAGCTTTTTCAAGACAACTTGGAGTTTTTCTTCCATTTCCGTACGCATCTGAGACACTCGCAGACGCTCTGAAGTCACAGCGTTTAATTCTTTCTTCTTACGATCGATATCCGAAGATGTGTCTTTGATCGTGTCTGCGATATCAGTTTTGCGTGCCTTTAGAGTCTTGGCTTCAGCGTCGAAGCTCTGCAATTGCCATTGCGCATTATCGAATTTGCTCTTCAAGCCATTCACGGTTTCGGCTTCGGTCTTCTTTTGACGTCTGAGGTTGTCAAGTTTCAGCTGCTCGGCTGAAGAACGCTTGTTGACTTCTTCTTTTAGCTTGTTGTATTCCTGGAGATCTGCTTCGCTTAATTGACCGCCAGCTTTACTCATGGACTTTGCCCATTCAGCCTCCCACTCAGCCTGCGCTTTTTCGACGACCTTCAAGTCTTTTTCAAGGCGAGTCGCGTTTGCAGTTTGAGTATCACGCTCTTTAGTAATCTCTGAAATCCTCGAAGAGTACCTTTGGACTTTGCCTGACGTGATTTCAATTTTTTCATCAATCGGTACCAGAGAGTTGGTTGCGTCCTCGATTTCCTTTTCCTTCTTGATAATGCTGCGTTCCGCAGTTGATACCTCTCTACCCATCTTGGCGTGTTCCTTCTTGGCTTCTTCGAGATTCTTCTCGTATTTTTCAACACCGCGACGATATTCTTTGAGCTCATCCTGATGCTTCTGAATCTCGGCACTTGACTCGTCGATCAATCGCTGAAAATGGAAAAGCTTCCACAGGATGTGCGTGATAATGGCCTGGTCTCGTTCCTCGGCTTTCCGTGCGTAATTCTCCGCTTCTCGCTTCTGCTCTTGGTACTGCTTGATCTCGGAGTTGATTCCACGGCGACGATTCAGTTGAAAGGTTTGTTGTTCTGCAGCTTCTTCCTGCTCGGCTTTCAACCGTTCGTATTCGGCCTTGTACTCCAGACTACCAGAAATTTGCTCAATCAAACGAGTAAGGTCCTTTGGCGACTGTGAGGCAATAGCTTCGACATCTCCCTGGAAGACAAGGAAATTGCGTGCTTTGATGAGAATGTTTTCCGCCTCCAACGCTTCGTTGTATTGTTGCGCAGTCACGATCTTATTGTTGATTCGGTATTCGCTGACGCCGCCACTAGTGATTGATCGCTTCCACTGCTGCTCTTCACCAGCGTCGTCCTCGTAAACTGCCATCACCCAGGCCGATCGGGGGTCGCCTCGATCCCCCTGTGTCTGCGAGTCCTCAACATCCGAGCCATCCTGCGCTTCGTCTGTATTGCCGTTTTGTTCAGGAGCGGTCGCGGATCCGTCGCCGTTGACTTTGGAAGTTCTGAGGACACGTCCGCGGTAGACCAGATCTTTGAGGTTGGTCGAACGGAGATGCGACGATTTTATACCGAGGACAAAGGAGATGGCGTCCATACTAGGAAGAACATGAGTTAATGTTTTGATAATCATTCTGAAATCAGTAATAAACACTCACGAGTTCGACTTTCCCGATCCATTAGGACCGATAATAGAGGTAAAGTAGGCATCACCAAACAGCAATACATGGTGGCCCTTGTAGGACTTGAAATCTAGATTGAGAGTCAGCTTCTGCGTAGGTTTCCTGCCGTTTATGTTGATGAAGATAATCATACTGAATAGCTCGAGTCTGACGAGCTTCCCCATTTCTGCGACAAAGCCTTGGTGGCCGTAGACTTGCTCAGAGTGTTGTCAGCATAAAAAGACGTTGGTGTATCGAGAGGGGTCGCGCTCTGCCTTCCCCGTACGCGCCTGCTCCGCGGACGCGACTCTTAGCCAGGCACCTCTTGGCAAAAGTCACGTGTTGATAGCACAATTTGAACTATGATTGGTGAAAGGGGAGTATATCAATATCGCCTACGAAGCATTACATATATGACACCTCAATCTGTTGTTCAGACATGATGCCTTTGCATCGAAAGGCAGTATTAGCCATCATTGAGTATTATAAGTTTTTATCCCTAACTCAATTGAGGTGTTGCATAGGAAATCATCCATACGTATCAGACGAAGCTGATTCCACGCTATAATCCGATATAAATGAGGTATAATCCTGGAATATTTAGCATCAGGAGCTTTCAAATAGCTCAGAGACAAGTATACTATATCACCGAAGGGCTTTTCCTTCGTGGATAGAGACCGAGCCACCACGTTCTTTCACAGAATATCATACAGTATAATACACAGCGGTCAACAAGACAATTTCGCAGTCCCAAGAGATCTAAGAAATATCATCGTTGTCCAACAGGCTGTCCGGTGGGACTGGCGAGGGCAAGCAAATCATCAGAAACATAGCCATCAATGCCCACCCGATAAGCACCCTTTTGCCCTTGCATCTCCATCATAATGAAATCCTCCTGCGTAAAAATTCGACGAATAGATATAAAAGTCTTGAAAAGACTGAAATTGATCGCTTTCAATGGATTCTTCAAAAATGAGATCTTGAGGTCTTTGGCTTGAGGCATAGGAGAGCCCGCGACTAGTCGTTCGTGGAAAAGCATCTGATTCGGCGCAACGGTGACTGTATACGGTCTTCGAAAGGGTGTCATCGAGCGCACTCTGACTCTTAGAAAAGTCTTGCCTTTGATATCCACCGCTGTTATATCCCGGACAAGCCTTGATGTCCTCGATATGAAGACTGTGCCCATAACGCTCATCACGATGCATACACCGATATTGAGGCTTTTCTGCCAATACGCTAGATTGGCTCGAGTATCCTGGTAGTCGAGCGAGGAATTGATAACGGCATATCCGAATGCGAATGCGGCGATACCGTATGCGCCGGTAATGTAGGACCGTTGTGATGAGGATTTGAAAAGGACGACTTCGCCCTTTTGGGCTACTTTGCGGTCTATCTCTGCGTAGCTCGCTGATTTACGACCAATGAATCTAATATCTGTGATATTCTTGCGAGGTGGTTGCTGGCTCGCTGGCTTTTTGCTTGCTGGTTTTGTGTTTGGTTGCGCTTTGGAGGCTTGTCGCGCAGAGGATTTGGCTAGGCGAGGAGCTTGAGATGTAAAGTGCCGAGAGGGTTGGAAGACTGGCGTTTTGAGGCACGGCTTTGCGCTCGATAAGAGTACTAATGGTCGTTTGAACATTGTGCTGTAATCCAATCTGAGATTGAATTGATATTAGGTTGATTGAGGATCAAGGTTGCGGAAAAAATAATCATATGATTTTCTTGCACTAAAGCGATATTTCAGACAAAATAATTAGTCAATCGATTATTTTTATGAGATAAAAAGTTAATAACAGTCACAAGAACAAAGAAAAACTCACCTTAGGGCCTATTTTCTCACAGTCAAACATGCGATCACAGTCCGAAAATAAATTGTTGTCGGAGTAGGAGCTCCGTCCCGCTAACGCTCACCGGACGAGCCGTCTCTGGCCGTAGCTTTTCTCAACCTCAACCTCGACCATTAGGTATACGATACAAATTGAGCGCTCTCCACCACTATGCCTGCTGGCTACTAGTTTTACTAGGAGCAACAAACTCAACTAGTAGCATATATATCAAGCATATTCACTATTCATCCTCATTTGGTGAAAGCCCTGCATTGGCAGCGTCTTTTTTCAGCCACCGCAATGGCTGCACGCTTCACACTGAAGCAAGTCCCTCTGGGTCTTCTACGACGCCAGATCCTAGTCAATCCCATCACAAAGCGTATACCCCCCTTTCTAATCTGTGTCCCGACTACTCCGACGACTTGCAATGCTAACATATGTTTTATGCAGGCTTTGCCTCAACCCTCACCCAAACCCCAGGCGGCTACCCTCTCTACCCATCCGTTAGCACCCTCCTCCTCCAAAAGGGCATTCCAGACTCCGAAATCTCCAAAATCCCCGCCACAGGTCCCAAGGGCCGTCTCCTCAAGGGCGATGTCCTCGCATACATCGGCGAAGTCGCCGCTGGCTATCCCGCCGAGCAAGCAGCGCGCATCGAGAAGATGGGACATTTAGACCTTAGCAACATCAAGATTGCGCCTCCACCTGCACCACCTGCTGCCACACCTACTGCTGCACCCGAAGAATTCGTCCCAGAGTTGCCATCAGATATCTCGATTGCCGTGTCGATTTCCTTGGAAGCTGTGCTCTCAACCCAGAAACGTATCAAGGATGCCATTGGCGTTACCGTCCCCTTGTCAACCTTCATCGCGCGAGCCACCGAAGTCGCGAACGGCGACCTTCCGCGCTCAGCGGCCTCGGCGCCATCGGCAAGTGAACTATTCGACGAATTGCTAGGTGCTGCGCCCATCAAGTCTACACGCGGAAACTACGTGCCTGAAATCAACACTGTGCCTCTCGACGAGTTTGAGAGTATCGATGAGGACGTCTCGGTTAGCCAGGAAGTCGATATCATTGATATTCTATCCGGCAATGTGTCTCCCAGCTACAAGTCCAGTTACGTTGAGCCCAAGGCCCCCACAGCTTCTGCGCTCAATGTATTTAGTCTCACCGTACCCGTCGGTGAGGAGAAGAGAGCAAAGACGTTTCTAGATCGGTTGAATACAGTGTTGACTGTCGATCCTGCTCGGCTAGTTCTTTGATTTGAAGATGCAAAGATTAGTTAAATGACTTGTTGTATTTTTTATGCTTTTTATAGATTCTTTTCAAGAAAGGCGCAATGGCGACTTTTCTCTATATACTAAAATTTTCTCCTCTAATGTCGGTCTTTCGCCTTTTTCATTGAGAACATATATGTAGTCATGATGACTGGACTTGATAGGTTACTTATAAAGTCGAATGATAATTTCCATTCGCTTCGGCTACAACAGAAAGGAAAATTGTATGCATATAGTTGCATTATAATTTTAGCAATATTGTGCGAAGTACTATAATACATGATCTCAAGGGACAAACTCCTTTAGTGTCTACCAATGCTGCCCATCCTATAAACATTCCATCGCTATTATCTGCCAGAAAGAATGAAAAAGCACCAAGCACGAAGAAAATGCAAAGAAACGCCATTTAGCGAAAGGATGCTCAAAGAGCGCCCTTACGCCATTGCCAATTGAGCCGAGGTCGAGAAGAAATGGGGAATATGTAGATTTGAAAATTCACGAAATGCAACAAAACTCCAAGCGAAAACAATTCCGAGATAGCTAAAAATCCTCAAGCGCCACGCTCCATGCCCATGCATACACCTTAGTGGTAAGGTGAACCAACGGATCAAGAAGGAAGTTTCGAAATGTATGCAAAGTTCGTATCTCGTTGATTAGCAAGTCGAAATCTGAACAGTGCATGCATGAATCAATAAACGCCGTGATATGCAATGCCAAGCAGATCCACCACCGGAGGGCACCCGCGGTAGGAATAGTCACTTTGAGAAAGTCATTTCCAGGTCTTATCGTATTGTACTCAGTTCGGCAAGTCGACTGCCTCGTCGCCAGTCGTTGCGATTCTGAACGTCAAATATCTTCCAGAATCGTAAGGTTTCGTCACCAGCACCTGTGACAATAGTCTGGCCATCCGGACTGATAGCCAAATATAGCACACGAAATGTATGACCAGTCAACGACACGATCTGCTCCATGCGCGGATATTTCCAGATTACTATCTGGTTCTGACTATAACCGTGTGTGCTGATAAGCTCGTCAGAATTTTTCGACCACCCCAGGTTGCACACCTGGCTTCCAGTGTCCAATTCGCGAATCAATTGGCCAGTGGCAGTGTTCCAGAATTTGATTGTACGATCCGCTGTACCACCACCGGAAGCCAAGAGGTTGTGTTGATGTGGTGACCAGGCAATTGCTTTGACAGCCGCAGTGTGCTGCGAAAACCGATGTAGCGGTGTCTCATTCAACTTATCCCAGACAATAAGCTTGTTATCGTTTCCGCCAGACGCGAGTTGGCCATCCTCTGTATTCCATTTCAGGCCGCATACTTCTTGTTTGTGTCCTGCCAGACGACGGAGGTACTGATCAGGGGAACGCACATCTCGATGAAATATCAGCCGATCGCGTCCCCCAGATGTCAGGATATGTTCGTTCCATGCCAGCGCACCAACTCGGTTGTGATGGCCGATCATAGTTCGAAGGCGTCGACAGCTCTCAGCATCCCAAATTTGCACAAGCCCTTTCCCAGTACCAATAGCGATGTGTGTTCCGCGTTGGATCCAGCTTACGCTAGTGACAGTGTCGTCCTTGAGTTCACAGAGTCTCGTGACTTGGCCTGACTGGGAGTGCCACATATAGACGGAATTAGACAAGCCGACACCTAGAATATTTGTGCTTCCCCAATCCACAAGGTTCAGATAAAAGTCATCTTGCAGATCTGGTGCGTCCAGAACCTTGAATGGTACCTTGTGCACCACACGAGGTTGTTTTCGCGGGGTTCCCAAAATTCTTTGGCTGTTGTAATGGATGGGTGAGAGGCTGTAGAGCTCCGATCGCGGATTCAGATTCGGTCCGTGTTGGCTTCTAGGAGTTTTTGAAGGAGTGGGGTGACTGGACCCAGCTCGAGGGGAGGAATAGTTGAGAATATTTTTGTGGGGAGTAGAGGGTGTCAGAGATGCAGGTGGAGGAGTGCGAGAACGAGTCGGATCATGGGCTTTTGTGCTAAAATTGAGGTAAGCATCTGCGTCCGGATCGGGCTGTGGCACAGAGTCGCCAAAGAGTTCACTTCGCAGGACGCGGGAGTATGTTCGATTGGCTTCTTCAGCTAAGTCTTGTCAGTAAATTCACTAAAAGTAGAGGCCATGCTAACGTACTTCGTTGAAAATGGAGTTCCCCATGAGGAGTCCGCTTCTTTGTCCGCGATGGCGTAGATGGACAACCGTCCTCCCCTAACAAGCTATAGGTAGCTTGAAGATCCTGGCCCTCGCGGTTGGGAATAAACCTGTGATCGCATTAATGATGCCATTACGAAGTAGCTTTGCCCAACAAATGATGGGTATTCACCTATCTCCATAAACCCTCTGTCTCTTTCGGCTTGGGCTGGCGCCTGGGGTACGTTCGCGTCGGCGACCGGCTTCATCATAGTCTTTGAGGGCACTTGCGAGAGCGGCAGGGTCCACGGCTTCTGAAAGATTGCTGAGATGGGAGTGATTGCCACTCGTCTCTGGAAATGACGATGTATTCTTGATAAGCCCGGAGGGCGGGGTACGAGAACCTGGCGGCGATGCGAGTCGATTGGACATATTATTCAGAATATCGGACGTAGAGGGTAGCCCGTCTGACTCTGTGCCTCTATCGGTCATGGTGTTGATGGGGGTGGAGGATTCCACTCCCCGTAGCAACCGAAAATGATCGAATTCACGTTGGTGTATATTCTAATCGGAGTGCCTGGGCTGTTGTGACTGAGTAAAAAATCCCAGGGTGAGTCGAAGTGAGTATAGTTCCTTGAATGAACCGACAATAAGATGCTTCTACACCCCAATTCTCCAGCTCTGATGAACCAAGGCGGCTGTTGCTAAGCGCTCACTCTTTGTTTAGTCGCAAACAAGGATTGGGGAGAATGCCATATAGAACCAGGTTGGAGCAGGTAACTTGTCGATTGAGAGGACGCACTTTCATTGATGGTGTTTCGTTGGCAGTAGAGAGAAGTGTTGTCGTGAGATTGGGGGTTGAGGATTGTCTGGTGTTGTGTAATCGTTCAATGTTGTGGTCGCTGGAGCGCAGACCTGGCTGGTGCTCAGCGGAAGGAAGTCGCCCACTCCAAACTCTCGCTCCTCACTTGGCAACCGCAACGGGGTCACGCGTTTTCGATAAGATAATCAAGGCTAGTCCCGATGCAGGAACATCAACATTGCTTAATTCTAGTACCACGTCGTCAAGTCTCATTCACTCCTTCCTCGAGCTCAAGAAGTAGTTATTGGATCATTGACAAGTCTACATTGACTAAGTCGATTCATTATACAATAAAATATGTTTTTCTTAAGAATGATACCGCCAAACGCTGGGTGTAGTACGTCGGTTGTTTACAATGAGCGCGTCGATGTTATGATTTGGCGTCTCAATCTCCACGCGTACAACCCTTGATTAGCCCTTCTACACGTACAAACCCTAGTACTCCATACATACTATGTAAGTAGGATTTTGACAGGGCTTGCCCACCAATGCATCCACATCCAATACAGTCTATTGTCAATATTAACAGGCTCCTGTCTGGTAAACGCGAAACGCTCGCTTGATGATTCGACCAGCGATTAAGTTGACTTTCTCACTAACGCAATGATACCACCGGCTTAGTATTCGCCACATGTATTAAGTATATTCCTAGACGGTCCACAGAAGGTACCAAATAAAATACAGTACTTCGGAGTAATTCTCAAGATCTTATCTTACGACAATCGTAGAGACGTTAGTGACACCTTAAAATTAAGGTTGCAACATCCGACGGCTTGGCACCCACTCTGTACTCCGATGGAGTACCTTCCCTGCAAAAGGCGGAGTGGAGAAACATCAACCACTGGTAATCTCGGGATTCTTACGAACCATGAGATCGAGACTTCTCTCATCTTTCCAACTGCTACACGGGTACTCAATCAATAGCGCTTTCCCTTTCTCGTCTTCGACTGTCGCACTTCACATTGGTCAGCACCGATACACCACCATGGTCAAAATCAATCACAAGCAGGCCGCATTGGATTTCTTATCCTTTGTCAACGCCTCCCCCACTCGTACGTATTTCTGTGAAGCCGAATTGTGACTTTAAGCTTATAGACGTTCGTGCAGCTTTCCATGCCGTCAAGTCGAGCAAGGAGCTACTCACAGCAGCTGGCTTTGAGTCAATTAAAGTATGTATTTTACTTTTTCAACGTCATGCCGTCTATGTACCAGGTATGGTTCACTATCTAACAATTCCCAGGAAAAAGATTCGTGGTCATCAAGTCTCCAACCTGGTGGGAAATATTTCCTCACCCGCAATGGATCCACTTTGATAGCATTTGCTATTGGCAAAAAGTGGAAGGTATGATGCCCTGAGTCTAGGGATGTGGTCAATCTTTCTGACAATATTTTTAGCCTGGCAACTCTGTTGCTATGGTTGGAGCGCATACCGACTCTCCTGTCCTCAGAATCAAGCCCGTCAGCAAAAAGCAGGGCGAGGGCTTTATCCAAGTCGGCGTTGAGACCTACGGAGGAGGTATTTGGCATACTTGTGAGTAGACTATGCGAACGTGATGTAGGGCCATAGCTGACTTACAAAGGGTTCGACCGTGACCTGGGTGTTGCTGGCCGTGTCATGGTGCGCGCAAAGGATGGAAGCATTCAGCAGAAATTGGTCAAGGTTGACAGACCCAGTATGAGTCCCTGTCTTCTCTGCAGCTCAGTATCTAATTTTAACGTTCTTAGTCCTGCGTATTCCCACCTTGGCCATTCATCTGGAACGCAAGGAATCATTTGATTTCAACAAAGAAACTCAGCTCTTTCCCATTGCTGGCCTTGTCGAAGCTGAGTTGAACAGAACCAGAGACCATACCCCGGATTCTTCTCAGCAGGAAACCCCGACAACATCTCTGAAACCCACAACAGAACGCCATCACCCTTACCTTGTCGAACTAGTCGCGAAAGAGATCGATGCTAGACCTGCTGATATACTCGACTTTGAGCTGATTCTTTTCGACACTCATAAGTCATGTCTAGGCGGTCTTCTCGAGGAATTTATCTTCTCTCCTCGCTTGGACAATCTCAACATGTCCTTCTGCGCTGTGCGGGGACTTATTGAATCCGTCCAATCTAGCAAGGCTTTAGACAACGAAAGTGCAATTCGACTGATTGCACTATTTGACCATGAAGAGGTTGGCAGCAAGAGCGCTCACGGTGCCGATTCGGATGCCCTGCCAGCCGTTCTTCGTCGTCTTTCTGTGCTACCCGCCAAGGAAGCCGGCAACAAAGCCGTTGACTTGTCCACTGCCTACGAACAAAGTCTCACAACATCCTTCCTCCTATCCGCCGACATGGCGCACAGCATTAATCCGAACTACAGCGCCAAATACGAGTCCGACCACAAACCATATTTGAACAAAGGTCCCGTCATTAAGATCAACGCTAACCAGCGCTACGCAACCAATGCCCCTGGTATTGTCCTATTGCAAGAAGTCGCACAAAAGGCTGTCGAAGACGGAGGCGACGTTGTGCCCTTGCAACTGTTTGTCGTTCGCAACGACTCTTCCTGCGGAAGTACCATTGGACCCATGTTGTCTGCTAATCTGGGTGCCAGGACTCTGGATCTAGGAAACCCTCAGCTTAGTATGCACAGTATCCGAGAGACTGGTGGCACAGAGGATGTGGGACATGCTGTGAGGCTGTTTGCAAGCTTTTTTGAGCATTATTCGGCTTTGTCTCCTACCATTCTCGTTGATTAATGCTGTCTCCTTTAACACGCTTTGGGCATTAAAGGAATGAACAATCGATAGTCTTTGTTAACCTTTAACAAGAAATGCTAATAAACGAACATGGTAGAAACGAATACAACAAGATACTATAAATACATGTCGATGCAAAAATTTGTACATCCTTTTCTGACCCCATCAGAGCTATTCAACAGGCGTAGTAGCATCATGACTCTTCTTCTCAATAACATCCACCGCCTCCTCGTGAATAACCCCCTCCTGCAAAACCTCCGCCCCTTCCTCTACCAACTCCTCCAACGACTTCACCTTAACCTCCATAACCCTCAAAATCGTATATCGATGCTTACTCTTGATGCGCTGCACATGTCTCCGTCTCCGCTTCGTCTTCTCCTTGATCCGCAACGGCTCAGACTCGATACCAAGCACTCGCAAACGACATTCGTACATCCTCTCGTCGATGTAAGGGCTCCCCTTGAGCGTATAATCACGCGAACCGACCACGGAAGCGCGGTTGAAGCGGATTATGTCGCCCGATTTCACTTTGGGCATTAGGAAGGGGAGACGTAGTTGGTCGCCTTCGGTGAGGAGATAGGGCCGGTCGTGTAAGTGCGCCGAGATGTAGTGAGGGCGTTGGGTGTAGAGGTATGGTAATTTGTCGGCGAGGGATTGCGTGATTTTGAGGTTTGAGTCGAAACGAGGTGGGAGAGGAAGTTTATTCCTAATAAATGGTGTTGTTGAAAGCTGTGTTGCTGCATCTGTGGTTGGAGATGTGCTTGTTTGCGATACGGAGGAAGAAGATGATGCAGGTGGAACCTCAGTAAGCGTGGCTTGAAAGTTTTGAGAACCGCTGCTGGTAGATGCTTGGTGAAGATATGCTCGTGATGCGTATGAGAAAAGTGGTTGTTGATTGGCGACTCGTTCGGCGCTGAAGAGGCTCCGGAGAGCTTGTCGAGAGAACATTATGAGGGCTTATATCAATTCACATGCGATTGAATGTGCTTATTGATCGGTGAACGTTGACTCAGAGAATTATCGCCATGCCTGATAATTGTTGGCTTTGCATACTCGGCCAGTGAAAATCTACGGAACTGCGCGAGTTGCCGCTTCGGCTACCGGGATGGTCACGTGTGAATGTTTATGCCTTAATTTTAAGGCTGCTGTCTTTTCTTCGAAAATATACTTCATCTTTTAGATAATGGGTACTTGCCAAATTGTGTATGACGTGAAAATATAAAGCTGGTATGTTCTTGATTGATCCTCTATTCCCACGCTGGTGGTAACATCGTCAATATTTATACCTCGGCGTTTCCGGTAACGTCACCGACGCCTCAACTTCAAAATACTTCACAGCATTTGCTTAACGTATTGCCCTAAGGTTTTGCGAGAACGTTCACCCAGCATAGAACAAGGCAATATCTAGCCACTCATACATTTATACCGACTTTTAAAGGCTTACTGCAACATTCGGATCAAGTAGATGCGTCGATCGATTCTACATCCTTTTTAACCTAGGTATCTTTTGGCAACGAGGGGAAGCCAGGTAGTATAAATGAGGAGACCATGTGTCGGATCTAGACTTCTCAACGCACGTACTTTTAAATATCCCTCACAGAACACTAGAGCGGGTTCTCTGGTGTCGCGCACATTTTCATCGACGACGTGTGCGGCTGTTGACAGTGCCGAGATGTCGCCGTTATCACCAGAGTCAGCGGTATGTATACCTAGTATGACGAAAATAGCAATCCAATCTCAGGTACCAAGATGTATGGTAATAGCTAACTCTACACAGAAAGCAATCGCAAGATTACGCGCATACAAGCCTCCTCCCAGCAACTATGATTCAGTACCACTTACTCGACGAGCAGCAGTGCTAATCCTACTCTACGCTGATTTGAATGGAGATCTGAAGACCGTTCTCACCATCCGGGCAAAGACATTGAGTTCTTGTAGGTCATTTCTACCTGATTCATTCATGTGAATCAACCACTGATAAACGTCAGTTGCTGGTCACGCTGCATTCCCAGGAGGTACTCCTACCCAATCGCAATGCTTCCGAAGCTCCGCAAAGGATCTAAGCTCATACTTGAATCTAGGAAAAGCAGACTCAGCCCACGAAACAGCCTTCCAAACAGCCCGCCGCGAAGCAACCGAAGAAATCGGCCTGCCAAACATAGGCGAGCCCTTATTCCCGCCATTCAAAGTAGAGCATCTCTGCGAACTACCCGCCAGCCTGGCTAGAAATGAGCTCGTGGTTAGACCTTGCGTCGCATTCTTGCATTCGTATGATGAGACAACGGGTAAAACGGCTGATCCAGAGACAGCACTGATTCCGAGGCTGGATGCCAAGGAAGTTGCGGCTGTTTTTACGGCGAGGTTTCAAGATTTTCTGAGGAAGGAGGTTGATTTTTCTTCCTCTGGTAGCTTGGAGGAGGAGGATGTTGAGAAACAACAGCCGGAGGATTGGTATCAGGGTTCATGGACGACGTGGCATGAATCTAATTGGAGAAGTATGTATACTCCCAAGTTGAACACGAGTCGAGCACTGAAGAATTGGTGTCCGCTTTCTTCCTTCCCCCAATCTCTTGGTTATTTATTTTCGTATCTTTCTATCATTCCTTTTGTATGCTTGAGTTTATCCTCCGCTTGAGGCTGTTTGTCACGATCTATGATCCGAAACTGACAGACTTCAACAGTGCATCATTTCTACATCCCCATATCCGAAAAAAGCGTAACCAAATCCAGGCCCAAACGCAAATCCAAAAATCTACAGGATTTCGCCATCACAAAACTAGAAGAACGCGAACGATCCGGTGAAATATCTCGCTACAAAGTCTGGGGTATGACAGCCCGGATCCTGGTAGATGCGGCTCGATTGGCATATGACCAAGAACCGGAGTTTGAGCATAATAGCCATTTTGGAGATGAGGAGATTATTGCAAAGCTACGACGGATTGGGAGGTTAGGCGCTGTCAGGGGGCCGGGGGACGAGCTCACTCGGGAGACGATGCAGAAGGCTGCAAAACTTTCTTAATTGCATACGTAGTATGTAGTAATCAGATGACAAGATTAAACCCTGCACATGTATCATTAATGACGTCCGAGTCCCGGGTTCTCCTCTCCCTTGATAGAGGCCAAAGAGAACTCTGATGATAACAGCGTCGGAACAGAAAATAGGACCTGCAAGTCCAACATTCCAGAGAAGAAAGATCATGCAGATAACTCATGCTAATTCAACCTAGCCTAGTTGATACTACTCGATCCGAGCGGCCACTCTCTTTGGCCGATCATGTTGTTCTATTCCTCTTTACCCCTTGCATGCATCACCGGCCGGCCTTGTCCCACCTTTTCATTCGGCTCTGCAACAACAAACAAATAACATTCATTGACGAGCGCCACAACAATGACATGAGCCGTGAGTCTGATACTAGACATTTTACACTCTGTACTATGTATGCATGTCATGGATCAATTGACGCTCTGTGTGGGGGCGCTTGAATGCCTGGCTAAAATTACCCTTGATACATGCAGACAGCGCTGAGAAGTAGTAGCAGGATTTTGTCTCGGCATGGATACGTATTGTCGATCCATGTCTTTGTTGTTTGTACACAACATGGTCTTACGTTAGGTTCTACAGATGAAAGCCGATCTGATATAAGGATCGGATCGGAGCCAGATTTCAGGGCATTCTGAGACTTCTCCTTATTGCTGCCCAGATAGGTGATAAGATTGAGCTCACTCTCTTATGTTTGATACAACCTATCTGATAGAGAAGAGGTCTATCGATATGGATTCACTGACGACGTTCAACAAGTCTGCACCAGTACTGGTTTCCACATCCCTGGAAGGCCTCGAAATCGGTGTTCCCCCTCCAACACGTTTACAAGCAGCCTGGCTCGACAAACCCTTACCAAGTCTCCCGGATCGGACATCCAGTGTCTACGGCACTGAGAGCACAATTGATCTTAGCGGCTGCATCGAGAAATCTCTGGACCACGACGACCTTTTAGCCTTGGGAAGGAACAGATCAAAATCGGATGTTGACTCGGATGTAGCATCAACACGTTTCTACTACAAACGAAATGTGGCCAATCGAAAATCGCTGAATACACGTACAAGTGAGCGATACTCGATTGGTTTCAAGGCTTTCTTGACGGAAGAGCAGTACGGTGTAGGGATGCACCTAGCGAGAGCGAACCATTATTTCAGAGAGAAGAAGTGGGAGATTTTTCCTGAACTAGGGCCACAGGCTGCCGGGCGCGATGCTTCATCGCCTACCGCCACGAAGTCACCGAGAAGAGGCCGACCTCGGCTTCCGAAGGGATTCAGTAAACAGCAGTTGTGTCAGGGAGAGGTGTTCGGTATCAGTCTCAGACCAGTTGCTGAGCATATGAAGCCTGTTATTGAGCATATCAGACCAGTTGTCAATCACATGAAGGCTCAAACCGAGAATCTCAAGCCGGTTGCTAGTCATATACAACACACGCTAGTGACCAAAACCTCGCGATTACGATTACGCATGATGTCTGTCGAAGAGAAGGAAGAGGAAGAGGGAAGTGCGCAAACAGTTGCACAACTATCCCGCAACTTCTCATCTTCCTCGTCCAAAGATTCAGACAGAACTCTCGTCAATCACGTTATCGAACCAGTCGAAAGCCCAGAGACATCAAGTCCAGCCGAACCCAGCTTTGCCACTGTCCGGCAACGCATGCGAGACATGTCACCATGGATCGTCACTACTCGCTCCGAGCTCAAAGGAGACTCCATAGCACTATGGAAGTCAACATCCACCACCGTCCTCAACATCGTCTCGCATGCAGAGAACAAATTGACCGCAGCAACGATGACAAGGTCGCGAAGCTGCAGCCAGCCTTCACCTGCACACGGACTTCGACAGTACACTAGCAGCGCATCCGTTGACACATCATCTGCGAACAAGCCTCTACCGATAGTCCGAGTGGTAACTGAGAAACCAATCCTGTCTATCCAAACCCACTTTCATGCATCGTCACCGACAACGACAGAAAGAGGGGGAGTATCAAAGGCCTCCATCCCGGACTACGCCAGACACATTCGCGCAAAAAGTAAGAGCAAGACCAAGGATACTATGGTGTTCGTTGCTGCTGCCTATGACGGTGCAAAGCAGAAGATTGCAGATGTGCAGGCAGCGCGGAGAAGGGCTGGAATGAAGAAGCAGATTCGTCTCGTGGGTCCGATTGATCAGTATCCTGATGGGTCTATTAACCAGCGATTTTGAATCTCTGATTCTAATGGGAAGGGGCATTTTGTTTTTCTGTGTATTATATGAGGTTTCTTTTCCATTTGCTACATGTGCTTGTTCAATTCAGCTACCATATTCTCCTCATACCTATTTACTTACAGGCAGTCTTGAAAAAGCTTGTCTAACATAGAATTGAAGACTCCTTCAAATGACTTGTTATCATTTGTCATAGCCCAAATATCGTGGCCGACCGCTTTAATTTCCGTCTGCAGGCGATTCCAAGAACGAATCGACAGGTCACATTTCCCCTCTCTCCCTGTCCTCCTCTCCGACGTGTCCGAAATGTCATAAAATCTTCCGAAAGTCTATTGAAGTGTCTCGGACGCCAGGCCATTAGGAAAAACAAAAGTTTGTTGCATGGATAAGCGAGCCCTTGCTGTGTGGCGTGCTCTGATTGTATGTAGTGGATGTGCGTGTCTATCCCGTGTCGGGTTACATGCCTAGCTTACCGATGCAGATTCTGGATTCAAAGAGCATGAAGATTCTATCTAGGTAGTCATCAACATGCAGGCTATGAGTTAAGGGATGGATTTTCGCTCTAGAAACCAGGTACGTTTTGATTTTAGATGCTCCTTACTAAAGCAACACCATCCGGTAAATCCGACCCCTCGCAAACAAACGTGAGGGGATTTCATTCGCCGCGACGATGTTTATTCATCTTTGATTTTGTGCCCTCTAAGCTCAGCTGAACATGAGTATGAGCAGACAGCTAGATGGTCCGGCAATGAACGTCCCAAGCACGAATATTAGCCCTAACTCCACATTCAGCTAACATGTGCGGACCACCAGAATAGCCAGTCTTGAGGCTAGTCAATAATGTATATCTACCACAATTTCAATCTACTATTACTTGATACGTATTGCAAGGATCCAGTGTCGTGGCCCACGGATGCTTTGTTAAGTAATCAGTCCTAACAAATCGAGTCCACTATCTGTCAACACTTGTCACTTTTGACCTGGACTAAAATTACTGTCCAAGACGAGAAGATGGAGTCATTTTATTGTCATGGTGAGAGATAAGCACCTCCATGATCTTTCGTCCACGTGTCGGTAACTGAAGAATTCCACATTTAGTTGTAAGGTGAATCTTCGGTGTCGTGCTTGCGTTGTCTACATGTGTACAGATCCGACTGCATTGTATCCCTACCATCAGTTTGTACATGTAGTCATCGAATTTGCCATGATACATGCTATGTAATGAGAAAGCTAGATATCCATTTTTAGATGACGAGATATGACTAGGTACTTATATAGAACACTTCAAAACTATCCAGACCTTTGATAATCATTCTGACTTAATCATGTTGTTGTTTACCAAGGAGTCATCAATGATTCGACTACCTGAATTAATCAAATCCGTCGATGGGTCAAACCATTGTCAACGGACGAATAATTCTTTACGCTTCCGAGTTTTCTTTGTAGATGGCCTTCACAAAAATCTTGCGAGATTGATGCTATCTTCCGTTTCCCGTCTTATTCATCAGTCTTTCAGGCACCAGACTTGTGCCCTAAAAAAACGCAGGTGACTTGAATGTATCAGTGGAAAGGCTCCACAGAAATCCTTCCCGATTAGGAAATAAAGAGTCAGTTAGGGCTTCGAGCACATGGAAGACCCACGTATTGTTCCTCATATGTGAGTATGATCATTGTTGTATAAGGAGAACAGCATAAACCGTTGGCGTGAAAAGATGATACAGGAAGTTTGACCACTGTCTGACGCAGTTGAAATAATCCTTTGGCAAGGACAGTACCTGGAAGACTGGTCAGATACTTTCAAACTCCTGTTTGGAAGCTCGTTTTCAGTAAACCTATAGATGCAAACATTGTCATGTGTACAACGGATATTGAGGACTTTCTGACAGATAGCGGGAAGGTGTTTTCGATTCTTTTATCCTGATATGAAACTGGGGGGCATACGCGGTCTTTCTATGTGAGTTTCCATGATATAGCCATGAGAATAGCGACAGATACTGCGTGTGTTGGAGACTTTAAAAAGCCATAAATGAGATCCATTCCTCCTCGAGTCTATTGCAATAACATTATTTATCATCAAATCAAAAAACATCAATCCACTCAATCATTCTTCACTTACTCTCCAGTTCACCAATTACCAACACTTCAAGCATATCAACATTGAAAATGTCGGACTCTCCGGTCAAAGTTGATGTCTCTGGCATCGGGAAGGTGCATCTACTTCGTGCACTTTGGGCTAACTCCGAAGTCTCAGCATGGTGCCAAATCCACGACGTCTACGAAGACTTTGACGAGCGGGCTGCAAAGAAGGCATTTGCTGAGTCTGACGGTTCTTTTGGCTATTTCTGCAGCCGTGTCATCAAGTGTAACTTAAAGGGAGATTCGGTGGATCCCTGGGGATATGATCGGGACAATGGAAAGGGTGCGTTCCAAAAGGTTGTGAACGAGATTCGCGAGTCCTGCCGCATTCCGCCAGTGAAGCCAGAGTCTGCTGAGGGTGCTGCTGAAGGTGCCACTGATGAGGCTGCTACCGATGCTTCATCAAAGTGAGAAGGTGGCAGCTACAGTCTCAGCCAGCTTGAAGAAAGCCTCCGCTAGGACATACCTAGTTTCAACATCTCTTTCTCCTGCTTAGGCAAGCGAGCTCAATCAGACATCCAAGCCTCTATCTCTAAAGATCTATTTCCTGTGCGTAGCTTAATCGTAGAAGTGGTTTGTTGGCTGTATACAATCTAGTAAGCTTGTTGTAGTATATGTTTCTTATGCCCTTCAGGAAACGCAGTGTAGACTGGGACTGCGTACCTTCAAATTCGGCTTTTCACCGAGTCATCTCATCCTATCTGGTTGTCTGTAATCAATCTTCGTGTATGGATGACTCCATATCACATACAGGCGAACCCCGATATTCTTCAGATTTTTGGTACATTCACCATTGACCTTCAGGGTCTAAGACAATTTGGAAGCATATAATATCTGTGTCATCAGAAACATGTACATTGATATGACCTTCAACTGATCCACCTCTCACCCACACAAAGATTATGTTTCCTCTTGACTCAGAGAATTCACCATGGAGTTAGAACACGTCTGGTTCTTAGTGAGTCAAATTTGGTGACTCGAAAAGCTGTCGAGCAGACATAAATAAAGGAGATTTTACAGTATTCTTTCTGTACTGTTAGCATTCCATTCGAATCAATTCGATTATTTACTGAATTCTTGACAGCTATTTACATCTCCATCGAACGTCAAACGAGACTCAAGATGTCAAAAGAGGCTGATATTAGCGGCATCGACAAATACCTGTTGATGAGGAAGTTATGGTATGGTGTGAGATGGACGGGAAAGAGCGAGGAGGCACCTTTCTATGACGAAGAGAGAGCCAAAGAAATATTTGATACACATAATGGAAATTTGGGAACGTTCCAGGTCGAAGTCTGTGGGAAGTTCCTTCTCGTCGATTTGAGCGGGGACATTGTGAATCACGAGATTTATGATCTTCGATATGGAACAGGCGCCTTCAACAAGGTTCTTGAAAAAATTCGTACACCACAGCAGCAACACTCTCAACCTCCAGCGACAGCACAATCCACCTCAGGTTCTGTGGCCAATGCTCAAGCAGGCGAGGAGAGCTCCGATAGTTCCGTGGATAAGAGCGCCTGGGCCAAGCGGGCCAAAATGGTACATAAGCGTCATCGACGATGAGAATACTGCTGCTGTTGACAATGATGCTATGGCTTCAAGGGCATCTGTGCTCAGTGCAATGACCTCAAGCAAGAACCTTCTTCTTCTGGCAAGGACGAAGCTATCTGATGGTATGGCTGGCGKGGKAATTCGATATTCAGGAAATCCCCAAAAAATCCATTTGTTTTCACTTTCCTTTAATCCGTCTTTAGTGCAACATAAACGTAGTACGTTCATCGACTCCCAGTATCTTTAACATCTTTTCAAACCAGAGTGTAGACTACCTCATATCATTTAATCATACATACGTACAGAGATGAAGAGTAGGTACTAGCATCCTCAAATGTAGACAGATACCTGAACAATCATGTAGAAGAAGCCTTTTTTAGCCCTTTTGCTCTGCTGTCTTGGTCAAGAACGACAAGTCTGGCGCTTAGCAAGGTGAAACTTCGGGGCTGTAAATCTAATGAGTTATCCGGATCTGGATTCAGCCTCAAGAAAGGCTAACCTAGGCGGAGGATTTGATTGTCAGGTCTTGTGATATATCTCAGCGCGAGATGATGGATGGAGGGTTACTCCGCATTTCCGCTTGTGTGTATGAAAGATTGTATTGATCAGTAATGGAACTAGCCGCTAGTGGTATCTTATTGTAGAGTAGTGTAGTATGATTGGTCTACAGTGCTATTTCTACCCCGCAAATCCTCGTCATTGACTGTATTTTGGTATGTACCTTGTAAGTGGCTGGTCAATACCATACAATAACATGATCTGCTTCTCCTCCCTTGTCTCAGCTTCCCTCGCCATCATTCTCCTTCTTTAGTTGTTGTCATTTTGAACACCCACGGTCATTCCGATAAATCCGGTCTATCTCGGATCTCCCTGTAATTGCATCTTCATATATCTCCTCTTATCTGCTTATCATGGGTGGAGAAGCTCACCCAAGAGCTCCTCCCAGCTCTTATCCGAAGCTGGTCGAGCGCCCGGTGGGCCAGCATATCCGGAGTATCTACCTCGACAGATTGCGCCAATTCACTGATGAGGGTCTCTACCGCGAGGATGGGCTTGTTAGGTAGGTCTACCATGACTGATTGATTTACCAGCCGACGCTGACCTCTTGTAGCAAGTATTACGATGCCGTCGTATCCGACCAAGAACACGTTAAGCTATTCGTATACTCCCCACCGAACTTATCGCGACCAACTTTCAAAGAAGCGACATCACATAAATTCAAACCTACCAGCACCGGCAATGCTTTTGGCCCAAGTTGGTCCACACACTGGTTCAAAATCCACTTGACAATACCTCGAGATTTGCTGGGCAAAGAGCGCTTGGAATTCCATTGGGATGCGGGCAATGAGGGATTGATTTGGACAGAGCATGGTCATCCGTTACAAGGATTGACCGGTGATGGTGAACGTATCGAATGGATTATCCCAGAGAGCTTCCGTGATGGTAAAGAGCATGTTTTCTACATTGAGATGGCATGCAATGGCATGTTTGGAAATGGAAATGGAAATTCGATAGCACCTCCGGATGATAACCGCTATTTCACGCTGTCGAAAGCACAGATTGTCGCTGTTAACCTGGATGCTCGAGCTTTGTATTATGATTTTTGGATTATTGGAGGTATGACTTGCGTTTGTTTTAGGCTTTCCATTTGCTAACAGTCACAGATGCCGCAAGAGAGTTCCCGCAAGACTCTTGGGAACAGCACGAAGCACTCATGGTCGCAAACTCTATTATGGACACTTTCATCGCAGGCGGTGGAAGCAAGCAGGCAATCAAGGACGCCCGCAAGGTCGCTCAGCGATATCTAGGCGACCGGGTTGATTCTCACAAAGTATATGATACTGACACGGAGGCGATCGTTTATGCAATTGGTCATTGTCACATTGACACCTGCTGGCTATGGCCATTTGCAGAGACGAAGCGCAAGGTCGCAAGGTCTTGGTCAAATCAATGCGATTTAATGGACCGTTATCCGGAGCACCGATTCACCGTTTCTCAAGCTCAGCAGTACAAGTGGCTTAAAACCTACTATCCATCTGTTTTTGACCGGGTGAAGAGTTACGTCAAGAAAGGACGCTTTCAGCCTATTGGCGGCAGCTGGGTCGAACACGACACCAACCTTCCTAGCGGAGAGTCTCTTGTACGACAATTCCTGTACGGACAGCGGTTGTTTGAAAGTAACTTTGGGGAAAGATGTCGCACATTCTGGCTGCCAGATACCTTTGGATATTCGTCACAGCTACCACAGCTGTGTCAACTAGCCGGTATGAAGCGATTCTTTACCCAAAAACTGAGCTGGAACAACATCAACAACTTCCCTCATACTACCTTTAACTGGGTTGCTCTTGACGGCAGTCAAGTACTTTGCCATATGACACCAGCTGAGACGTATACTGCCTCTGCTCATTTTGGCGACGTTAGGCGGAGTATCACTCAGCACAAGTCCCTAGATCAAGACAAGACGTCACTCTTGGTCTTTGGTAAGGGAGACGGTGGTGGTGGCCCGACTTTCGAGCACCTGGAGAAACTGCGTCGCTGCCGTGGTTTATCTGACAAGGTCGGATTGCTTCCTCGTGTCAAGATGAACACCTCCGTGGACGAGTTCTTTGATCAGCTACAAGAAAAGGCAGCCAAAGGCGTGAACTTTACAACCTGGTATGGTGAGCTATACTTTGAGCTGCACCGAGGCACCTACACATCTCAGTCGAACAACAAGCGCAACAACCGAACAGCCGAGTTCCTGCTTCGAGAGATTGAATACTTCGCAACCTTGGCTACTGTTGGCAAGACAAAAAGTAGCTACAAATACCCCAAGGAAGACTTGGATAATATTTGGGAAGCGGTACTGCTCTGCCAGTTCCATGACTGCTTACCTGGTAGCTCAATCGGCATGTGTTATGAAGACACAAGGGAGATTTACGCCGAGGTTTTTGCCACTGGTCACAGACTTAAGAAAGAAGCTCTTGCTGCTCTTGGGTTCAGTGAACCTAAGTCTAGCGAGAATGTTCAATATATCAATACCTTGCCTTGGCAGAGATCTGAAGTTATTAAACTTCCCGAAGCTGTGTGCCATAGCAATGGGCCAAGCTACGCTCAAATAAGTGGTCGTACTGGTGCAATTGACGCTTCTTTGCTCAACAACTCTGCGACACCACGTGTTAGCATCAAGGAAGTGAAGCCAGGAGTATTCCGTCTTACTAATGAAAAGTTAAAAGTCGACATCCAGGACGGTGTGATCGTTTCGTTGTACGACGTCGAAGCTGAACGAGAGGTGATTTCTCGAGGAGGTAAAGCCGGACAACTGGTTATTTTTGATGATAAGCCCTTGAACTGGCAGGCTTGGGATGTAGAAGTTTTCCATCTCGAATCTCGCAAGGAGCTCAAGTCTAGCACCACCTCCATTGCAGAGAACTCTCCCCATTGTGTTAGTGTAGTGACGGAAACTCAAATCAGCGAGCACAGCTGGATCAAGACTACTATTAGCTTGAAGGCTACCGTGGACAATGAGCCTTCATATGTCGAATTTGACAGCGAGGTTGAATGGCGAGAGAACAAGAAGTTCCTCAAGGTCGAGTTCCCGGTCGATGTCCACAACACTGAAGCTTCGTATGAGACTCAGTATGGTATCGTCCGTCGACCGACACACTACAATACAAGGTATGCCTTCACCCAGCAACTCGTAATTATCAATTTTAACAGACGAACAGCTGGGATATGGCCAAGTTTGAAGTCTGCTCCCACAAATGGGCCGATCTCTCCGAATACGGCTACGGAGTCTCCATTCTCAACGATTGCAAATACGGCTTCGCCACAGTTGGTAACGTGATGCGATTGTCTCTCATGCGAGCCCCCAAAGCACCCGATGCCCATGCTGACATGGGCCGTCACCACATCCGCTACGCCATCTTGCCTCATTCCGGCCCTCTCGACCACCGCACAATCCGCGCCGGATACAACTTCAATCAACCTCTGACCGCCGTCTCGGCGACCAGCAAGAACACTGGTGCCTTCGACGCAATCCACATGACCGGCTCAAAGGCCCTGATCCTAGACGCCGTGAAACGCGGCGAAGACGACGAGGACGTATCCCGGGGCGAACTCGCGAAGAGACCCGGTCAAAGCATTATAATGCGACTGTACGAGTCTTTAGGCGGAAAAGCGCGTGGAACTATTCATACTACCTTGCCGGTTAAGAAAGTGTGGAAGACGAATTTGTTGGAGGATGATGAGGCTGAGTTCTCGATTGTTGAAAATCACAAGGATGCCACGTTTGAAGGGCAGAAAAGTGTAGATCTTGAGTTGAGGCCGTTTGAGGTTGCTACTTTTAGATTGCAGCTGTAGTCGGTCGTCCAATATCAGACAGTAACAATATACGATATAGCTTAAGTTGATAGCATATACATAGCAAATTTCAATCATTCAGATTATCGCCATTAGAAATATCCCTTCTAGTCTACCCATCCAAGATATCTAGAATAATATAAACGCCATCCATCCATCTTTAATCCTACAGAATAAACCCACAAAACGCCCTGCTTGAACGCACTCAAATGACCCAGCTCTCTCCCTCTGTCTCACACACTCAGAAAAAAAAAGAGACTTGCTCAATCCCGCCCATAGGTAATCTTCAATCTCTTCGCAGGCGGCTTACTTGACCCATCAAAATCAAAATCATCTTCATCCTTCGTCGCCACGGGTGTAGACGCTGATCCAGACCCACCACCGCTTTTCTTTTTGTTTTTCGACGATCCTCCCTTTGAGCCTTCGGACTTGGTGCTTGTGCCGTTTCCGTTGCCATTGTTTAGTGTTAAGGAAGGTCCGCCATGCGAAGATGTCGGGGTCGGTGCGTGTGAAGGTGTAGTTTGGGCCGATGACGGGGCTGGAGAATCCTATCCACCCAAAAAAATCCAAATTAACTCCCAGCCTCTCAAACCTGACGAAGAAAGGGAATAGAACATACTCTCATAAACGAAGCCGAACTCCTACTGAAAACCCTATCAACCTCCGAAAACGCAGCTTTCCGTCTTCCACCTGTAATCGCGGTGCCCGTCGAGCCCGAAATCGATAAACTGCCTGCCCCACCACTTCCTCCCAGACCCGAAGAGCTGCTTGATCCTTTGATGTAGTTGTCGAAGCCCTTGATTATGTTGCCGGCGCTGGTGTCTTCGAGGTATGATTGCTCAAAGCGGTAGATTTGTTCTTCAAGTTGGGCCTGTGGGGAATTAGCGTTCTGTGGCTTTTTTGACCAGGGAACGGGGAGGGATGGACGTGTCCATTACCATGCTTTTATCCATAAGCCTCTTCTTCTGCAGAGTGTCGCGTAGCTCGCGACGTAGTTTTTCGTAGTATGGTAAGCCGCGGTTCTCGTTGTTTGCTGCCGCTGCTGCGCTGTTGTTGTTGCTGCCGTTCGCGCCCGTTGAAGAAGCAGCAGCAGTAGGGTTTGCGCCAGGGTTTTTATTCGTTGTAGCTGCGTTCGAGGGCATTGTGTTTTGCGTCGTTGCGTTTTGCGATGCCTGATTTGTGGTGTTTGATGCGCTGGTTGTAGTGTTCGCGGTGGTACTGGTTGGAGCTGGATTTGGTGTTGCGGTCGCCGTGGTGGGTGCGGCGTCGGCCATTATGAATGAAATTGCGAACGTTGGTATATACGATGTCGAGTTTGGTTGCCTTTTGAGTCGATTGCGCACGAACGATATAGACTTGATTAAAGTCAAAGGGCGGAAGACGCGGACAGCTCCGAGTGTTTGTCCTGTTTGCATCTGAGCTACCCTTGCCTCAAGTCGTTATCGATCGCGCAGGTGACGACAGCTGAAACCATCTTGCGACCTGATCTCAACTCGATAATTACACATTGAGCAACTGTATATTTACATTTTTGGGCGACTAGAAACTTCGACTCAAAAGTTCCCGCTGTCATTTAACTGGTACGAATCATCGAAATGGATCACTCACATATGGACCATGGCGATATGGACATGGGCCATGGTGGAGGCCAGTGTGTTACAAGCGTACGTCTTTCTACTCTGTTACAAGACGAAGCTAATATATCATGGATGAAGATGTTATTCACCTGGTCCACTCGCAACATGTGCATAATCTTCCCCGAATGGCGCGTCCAAGGCACCGGTTCACTCATCGCATCCCTCTTCGCTATTATCCTACTCTGTGCCGGCTACGAAGCTGTCCGGAGCTTCACTCGTCTCTACGAGGCAACACATACACAGCGTCTTAAAGCGTTTTCATCTTCTGTATTGGCTGGKAAGTTCTTCATCATACCCACTCCGTTCCCACTCCTCCCTTCCGCCCTCGCTCCCCGCCAGCCTATGCTGAAGCTCGATTGTCTTTAAGACACTGAGAACGCGGGCCCTCGAACTACGTCGGGTGATGTTGATCCCCCGGAACAATATACCAGAAGAGAAGGCCTTGCACGATTCACGAACTCACTGCTTGTAGGCAGAGATAGTAAGCAAGTCTTGGAGCGACGGGGGAGAGTGATCATGGCGACGCTTTATGCGGTACAGGTGTTTTATAGTTTTTTTATCATGTGAGTATTCTATAGTCGACTGCATCCGATGATGGCCACTGACATTGTAGGCTTCTCTTCATGACATATAACGGATGGGTGATGATTTCCGTTGCTGTTGGTGCGTTTGTCGGATACCTGGTTTTTGGCGGTGATGCACCTGCGACGAAATCTGCTGCATGCCATTAAGCTTAATATGCTGGTAATCTTCTGGCCGGAAGCCGCAAAACGACACCATACTATCGTCCATGCGTGGAATATGAGTTCCATATCGTTAGTGAAGGCGACAAGTCCAGACGGACTGCGTGTATCATATGTCTTGTGCCAGGTCGACTAAGGGACTTCGATATCACTATCGTCCCCACCAAATCCAAAGCTGAACTCTTCAGCTTTGCCGCTTGGGTCATCGACCCGAGAATTAGCATGAACAATTTCATCCCATTTTCGCTTCCTTCCTTCCTTTTGTTTTGCTAGGTCTTCCAGCGCTTCGTCAAGGAGCTCTGGATACGATTGTCTCATCTTCTCGACAAATCTAGCGAAAGGATCGTCGACATTTTTACGGAAGCCAGATACCTGGTCGGCTTTGTTTTGTAGAAAGTCTAAAGCCGCAGATAGATGTCCTCTAGGCACAAAGTTCTGTGTAATAGCAATTGACGGCTCGAGGTTGACCACCAAATGCCACCAGCCTGAAGGAACGTGTAAAACTTCCCCTTCTCCACAGATCCCCTCAAGACATCCTGGCGTGCGTCTTGCCTCTGCATGAAAGCCTATCAACCATTCAGCAATACTGAGAGGCGACGTCACCTCACTCTGGTCGTCCGAAACGTAAACGCCAGGAGGAGGGGGCAGTTTAGACGAAGACGGAAACATAATCCAATATTTGGACCCACGGAGTACAGCATTCCACGCACTTGTCGCGTTAGGATCTTTGTGGAAAGTACTTCCTGATCGCTCAGGTCCTATGATGAGCCATCGACTATCAGGACGGTCTGAATCGAGAACAGCGAACAGATCTTCCCCGAAGCATGGTGGTGGCCAATACGCAGCATTGGGGACGACTGAAGGGTGACCGACTTCCAAGCCCATTTTGTCCACAAAACTGCGGTCGAAGAGATATAAGGGACTTTCGTCTGAGTTGTTCCTCATGTATTCAACGTACGTGTTCAATGGCCAGTCTACAGCTTCAGCGCGGAAGGTCGTGCTGCTGTACTTGGCTAGAAGTTCGTCTGTCGACCATTTTTGAAAGACGGGCCATTCTTTGACTGGCTCAGTCAACATGAACGGTCGATCTGTCCATTTATCTTGGAAGTCTTCGGCAGACAGGTTTTGGAGCCGAGGTATTTGATTTTGAGAAGGAATGCCTGTAACATATGGGTCCAATGATATGTGGGCACAATAGAACGGACGATGCAGAGCATCAGAAAAGAGATTCGCACAATCAATCGTTGGAACTTCTGATGGAGACAATTTCAGAAATGTAGCTCGCCAAGTCCCTTGCCATACTAGATCTTGACGAGACTCCCTGCGCAAATTAGTATACATTTTGATTTTGATTGCAATCGATAGGAGCTCTTACGCAACTAGGAAAGCCTTCCATAAATCCTCGGACCGTGTGAATGCATACAGCGCTTTACACGTACGACCGAGGCTCAACAAACTTGTTGAATCGAGACACTCCAAGCACAATTGGATCAGCTCGTCTGGGAGTATGTTGAAGGTCCCTATAGCGTCACGAAGATTTGAGGTTGCAACCAAGGCGTTGCCACTCGGTTTGACTCCGAGTGGATGACAGGGAATTGCTTCCCATCCGTTCCTCGTGCTGTCTATAGCCTCGACTTGGTGAGGATGAGGATCCTTGGGAGCAAGTTCTGCTGCTGTCATTATGATTGTCGCCCTGCCGCCTATCTCCTTATGGTTCGTTTTTTTAGGTAAAAAACGAGTGTCTTACTCCGTAGTAAGTCAGACAAAATACTACAATGAACCATCGAACCAATCAAATCCCATACGCTTAGCCTTATTAGGACTAAGGCCTTCAACGTCACCGAAAAAATAGTACCGCCTCTGATTGGCTGTATCGAGAATACTGACAAAGCGGCGCTTAATGCTGGACCAATCAAAGCTACTTATATGTACAAAGTGGTGGGGCCGCTCAAATGGTTTGGCCAATGGGATGCTGTAATTTAAGCGGCAAACGCTGGCAGTAAGACAGGCTTTGGTGGGAAAGTGCCAGGCGCAGGTTTTGCAGGTGGGAGGAGTTGCCTCGCGCTAAGATAGAAAATTTCACGGCCTGCAAAAAAAAAAAATTACTATTACTTGCTTGGCCTGCCTGCCCTTTCTTTTCCTCCTCTTTCTTCTCTCCCCACGTTATTCTCAACGAAAACACCACTTTATCACAACTACTCAAATTCTAGAATCATACAGCGCTCTCTTGTTCGAGAGTCGATTCTAGTTTTTCTTTTACACAAGTCCATCACTCTTTCAGTGTCTTAGCCACGACATTATCCCCGCGGGATTGTTTGTGGTTTTTCTTCGACCTCGCCAACGCAACCCCACTGTCAAGCCGATCGCAGCGCAGCGCCTGTGATCACCCATCTCAACTCTCGCAATCATGGCTTCTAAAGACGGCTTGGAGGAGATTCCTGAGGGTATGGCTTATTATATTTCCTTTGCGACATTTGAAGCGTGTGTTCCGTTGTCAAGGCGATGATATCAAAGGATGTGCCCTGTGATACTCGTCTAGCAGCCACGCTTTGCAAATATTTTTTTTCTCTTTAAATAAGAATTGTCGGCTAACGCACCTCCTCTTACAGGACAGATCGAGTCTAACTATGACGAGGTCACCGACTCCTTCGATGCCATGAACCTCAAGCCCGAGCTTCTTCGCGGTAAGTCCAGTCGATAAAATTCTTCAGTGGCGATGAACGAAGGCTGACAACATCAGGTGTCTACGCTTATGGTTTCGAGCGCCCTTCTGCTATCCAGCAGCGCGCTATCATGCCTGTCATTAAGGGTACGTTCTCCTCTGAGTATTAGTATTCAGTCCACATCTAACATCAATAAGGCAACGATGTCATTGCTCAGGCTCAGTCTGGTACCGGTAAAACCGCTACCTTCTCCATCTCCGCTCTCCAGAAGATCGACGGCAGCCTCAAGGCTTGCCAGGCTCTTATCTTGGCCCCTACCCGTGAATTGGCCCAGCAAATTCAGAAGGTCGTTGTCGCCATTGGTGATTTCATGAGCATCGAGTGCCATGCTTGCATTGGTGGTACCAACGTCCGTGAGGACATGAAGGCTCTCCAGGATGGTCCTCAGGTCGTTGTCGGAACCCCCGGTCGTGTCCAGGATATGATCCAGCGTCGTGTCCTCCGCACCGACAACATCAAGATGTTCGTCCTCGACGAGGCCGATGAGATGCTTTCTGTATGTTCTCCCCTCTACTTATACCCAGCTTTTAACAAGTAGCTAACATGGTATAGCGTGGTTTCACCGAGCAAATCTACGACATCTTCCAGCTCCTCCCCCAGTCCACCCAGGTCGTCCTTCTCTCCGCTACCATGCCCCAGGACGTCCTCGAGGTCACCACCAAGTTCATGCGCGACCCCGTCCGTATTCTTGTCAAGAAGGACGAGCTTACCCTCGAAGGTATCAAGCAGTTCTACATTGCCGTTGAGAAGGAAGAGTGGAAGCTTGACACCCTCTCTGATCTTTACGAGACCGTCACCATCACCCAGGCTGTCATCTTCTGCAACMCCCGCCGCAAGGTCGACTGGCTCACCGACAAGCTCACTGCCCGTGATTTCACTGTCTCCGCCATGCACGGAGACATGGAACAGTCCCAGCGTGACGTTATCATGAAGGAGTTCCGTTCCGGTTCTTCTCGTGTCTTGATCGCCACTGACTTGTTGGCCCGTGGTATCGACGTCCAGCAGGTTTCCTTGGTCATCAACTACGACTTGCCCGCCAACCGTGAGAACTACATTCACCGTATCGGTCGTGGTGGTCGTTTCGGTCGTAAGGGTGTTGCCATCAACTTCGTCACCGCCGACGATGTCCGTATGATGCGTGAAATTGAGCAATTCTACAACACCCAGATCGAGGAGATGCCCATGAACGTTGCTGACCTCATCTAAAATCTCTTCTGTCATTCTTGCAGTGTCCTGAAGATAGATCAGATTATGCAAATGATCGTTTGGGACATCTAATCAGTTTGGCTTGGATCCAGCTGGTTTTGGAAAATAATTTCAAAAGTGGCTTTTCTATGCAATGTTCCTGGACTGCCCTGCTGTCGTCGGATAGTACAACAGGGTTGGCAGGTTCTCGTATTTCCTTTGTTGTCTCCTTTTTCTCCCAGTTCCATACCGTTGAACATTTATGCTCTTCATGCTTTGTGTTTCAGACATTTACGGATGCGTTAGTTTTTCTTTTTTCTTTCCTGCTATGTATCCTGAAGCTTTGTTCTTGCATGAGGTATGTTTTTGCATACCCTAGTGTGAGACGAAGTTATGAGCGATGTTGCCTTGCTTCCTCGAGATCTTCTTGTTTGTTTAAAGAGCTATAGACAGAGGAGGCAGATGGGCGAATGGACGAATGACGATAATGACACGGGGTGGTTGTATACCGGCTTGTTAGCAAGAGATAGAGGTAAATGCCATACTGTTTTCATTTTTTTCAAGTAATTGGTAAATTATTTAGGGTTGGGTCAGGTGCCCTCTCTCTCCTTCCTTCCGCGTGTTGCAGCCTTGGGTTTGAAACTTCGAGCTTACAACCAGCAATTGTCTTCTCTTTACACATCAGCATGCCCTCCAACACGGCGTCCGGACTGAGCGATGCTCCTGCCAGCTCGTCCAAAACATCGCTCTTATGGGCCTACCAACTCCGCCGCGAACATGTCCACCTCGTAGACCGCATCGACGACATGAGCACTCAGCTCATCTCTTCCACCAACAAATCACAAATCTGCGATGACCATCTTTCCTCTCTCGAGAGTCTCGTTAAGACCCTGCAAGCAGAGAACTGCACTCTGAAGAATGAGGTGACTCTCGTACGCACTAAGCTTACTGCCAGTATCGAGGATATCAACCAACAGATCACTCAGATTGTGAGTGTTAACAATGCAGCGGAATATGTGACGAAGCAGCTGGAGTTAGATATTAGGGGTATGGGGCATCAGGTCACGGAGCTGTCGAAGTGTGTGTCTGAGTTGAAGGGAGAAATTGCCAATGTCGCCTACCAAATAGGGGCTCTTGCTGCTCAGGAGGTGGATGTTGAACCAACGCAGGATAAGGCAGAGTTGGCGAAGGTTGAGTCTGGATCAGAGCAGATTGAAGCACGCCGAAGACGGATTGTCACATTGTCTTTGGGGGAGAAGAGAAGTCTGTCCCATCGTGCAGCAATATATATATCTATATGGACACAACTAATAGCCGGAATAGGCGACCCACAACCCTCTCCTGAGCCAGAGGCAGAAATCACAAATGTTCCAGACAGCATGATTAGCCAAACAGCCCTGTCCACCCAGTCAATCATCTCGGATACCATACCCTCTCCAAACCCATACGACCACATCTTCCAACAAATCCACCAGAACGGCCGCACAATCAGCGACTACTTCGTCTTCACCTCCGAACTCCGCCCCCAACTACCTCGCCGAAAACAAGAAGGACATATAGTTGAAGCATTCTTTGACGGTATCACCGAAGACTCGGATGGTGCTGCGTTCAAGGCTTCGTTGGAGGACTATCTGGACAAAGCTGGGTGGGTATGGAGTAACCTCGAGGTGTTTTGTAGGCCGCGTGCATTGCGGAATAAGAGGAGAGCGATATATAATACCAGAGCGAGGTCGAGGGCGAACGCTTTGGCGAGGCAGGGAGAGTCGCAAACATAATCTTCGAAAATGGCTGATTCTCTACCGTGGCTTCGTACGTCGTGGCAGTTTTATGACTATAGCTATTGCATGCATACCATACACTTAGGTACCTTATGATTCCAATAATTTGTATGAACACATCTCACAAGATTTATATACATCCTTCGCACCTTCTAAGAGCAAATCAAGTCTCCTTAAACTCATACCTCCCCTCCACCCTATCTCTACACTCCACCTCAATTCTCTCCACCTGCTTCCCATCCACCTCAATCTCCGCCCTCATAACCTCACCATTCTTCACCTGGCCCACCCCCTTCGGCGTTCCCGTCAACACCAAATCCCCTTCCTCAAGCGTCATAACCCTCGAAATATCAGCTAACTGTCTCGGGATCTGATAAAGCATCAAATTCGTATTATCAGCCTGACGCACTTGATCGCCCACGGACAATCGCAGGAATGCATTGTGCGGGTCTGGAATCGCGGATTTGGGGATTAGGTTGCTAATAGGACAAAAAGTGTCGAAACCCTTGGCAATGGACCATGGGAGACCTTTGCGTTTGGCTTCGTCTTGCACGTTACGGGCTGTCATGTCGATTGCGAGGAGGTAACCTATCCATCACCAATTAGCCATTGCCCCACGAGGATCCAAAAATAGTTGAGTGTATGGGAGGGGGGAGGGAACGAACTGGAGATAGAGTCCAAAGCACCCTGATGATCCTCCGGATCGAGGTCTTTTAGTGTCTTGCCAATGACCAGGCCAAGCTCAACTTCATAATGCACATTTACGCCTTTGGGGAGTAAGACGGGACCCTGTCCTGGTAGCAGCAGAGAAGAAGTGGGCTTGAGGAAGAAGAAGGGCTGTTTAGGTTTGGCGCTGTTGAGTTCGGTGATGTGGTCTCTACATTGTCGCGAAAGCAGTTAGTATTGTGTAAATAATTTGATTTTGGGAGGGAAGTTGAGGTGGAGAGGGCATACGCATAATTCCGACCAATGCAAATGATTTTGCGACAGTTGTTTCTGAATGCGGTTGTCATTTTGTCGCATACGTTCGCTTTTTGTTTGCGCGGTTAATCAGTCGGGATTCTGGGAGAAGGAGAAAAGATAGGTCAATTGCAAGAATGCGATGTTGTGATGTTGACGGGGTATAAGCTCGGAATGGTTGCCGTCCGGCAAAGTAATGCTCCGGACAATGTCCGCGGGATATCAAAGTTTAATCTATTCGTGCCGATTTGCGGAGGGTTTCTCGTCCGATTCGTACACAGTACTACTGGGGGAAGTATTAGTATAGACATATCATAATTAAACTAGAATTGAAATTTAAGCCGACAGTAGCATAGCTAACAGCTATCAAATATGGACATAGAATCGAATCATAAAGTATCCAGAACCAAAAACCGAGACAACCGTACCAAAGAACCTACTCCGAACATTCCAGGTATGCCAGTATACAGTAAACAAGAGAAAGGAAAATTCAAAAGAATGCAACGCTTGAACGCAAAGGATATCTGACCATCTGACAAAACATCTATTTATGCTCCTCCTCAACCGCAGCTTTGATCTTGGTGAAGAACCCTGCCGGCCATCCTGCCAACTCTTCCTCTTTGGGCACGCCACGAACGCGACAGTGATTCACCACATTGGTCAGTATACGAGCAATCATTTCTTGCGTCACGGGGACGGTGCCCTCTAGCTGAGCTTCGGGATACAAGAACGGGTCACGATCGCTGAGTAACTCTTCAGTCGTAGGACGGAGGGTTTGATCGCGCTGTAAGCACCGTTTCATCGTTCGCATCAGACCAGGTGGAACAGTCTTGCCGCCGATTGCAAATTGAGGAAATTCAATGGGGATTTTCGGGTTTGGTATAGCCATAAGTCGTTCGTAGTATTTGGCGATTCGCGCAAATGGTGGCTGTCCATAGACCATTTTGTACAAGATACAGCCCAGACTCCACACGTCGCTTGGTTTGCCGAGTTTCATCATTTTACCAACGCTGGCTGGTAGTCCGGATGCTGCGTTTGAGTCGATGAGGGCCTCGGGTGACATGTAGTTCGGTGTGCCAACTTGTTGCTCCCGATGCACATTGACGGTGTCGTCAGAGATCGCATTGGCAATACCAAAATCAATGAGTTTCAGCCGTCCCTGGACCAGCAGGAAGTTTGCCGGTTTGAGATCCGAATGAACGATATTATAGTTGTGCACAGCTTGCACACACTCCAACATCTCCTTCCAATAGAAACGAGTGAAACTGGAATCAAACACAGCGTCCTCCGCATTTAGTCGATATGTCAAAATCTTTTCCAAATCGGATTCTCCAATTTCCATAAGCACGCTCAAAGTATGTTTCTCCATGTTGACTTCCCAATCGAAAAGACGCACGACTCGATCAACGTTCTCCAATCGCTTCAACAAATCAATCTCTCCTTTGTAACCCGCTAGAGTAACACGATCGACATCTTCCAAATTAACTCGCTTCAAAGCAAATATCTTGTAGTTTTCGGCCATCACACGGTAGACACGAGAGGTACCTCCACGCCCAATACAATCCATGCGAGTGAAAGCTTTGTGGTTGATTGTCACTTGGCTGCGCTTCTTTCGGGATTGCGACGTCGTTGTTGCTGCGCCTCCTGTCGCTGTGGCAGTCTCCAAAACAGACATCTTAGGTGGTGGTGGAGCTACGGTACGTGGAGTGTTGTTGCTTCGTGATGTGAGCGGCTTCCGCGGTGAAACTGTTGCGGGTGGCAGTTCGCGTTCCTTATTATCATCGTCATAAATGACCGCATACTTCTCAGGCTTGTCCAGAAGACTGAGACCGGATGGTTTGACTCTTTTGAATGTTGGTGGAGGATCGTTCTCTTGATCTTGAGTAGATGGTAGAGCTGGAGGGGGAACGCGGTATTGAGGTTGATCGCTCTCGGAACCTTCCGTGGTTCCAGGAGTTGATCTAGAATGAGAAGACTTTGGCGAAGCCGGCCGAGAGAAAGGCATGTCAATCACACGAGGTGCAGCCGGTGCAGGTTTTTCCAAGATTCGTGGATCGGAGTCTATCCACGACAGTTTTGGTGAAGACGTTGTTCTGGCAAGACGGCTGGAACCCCCGTTTTCCTCTTGTGCGTATCGTGGAGAACTTTCTCGCATCTCTCTTTCTGGAGTGTGTCTGTCGGACTGGTGGTTCTCGTCTACTTCTTCACTTTGCCTGCGTAGTACTCCACGTCTAGCAGGGCCATTAAGAAAACTGCCCGTCAGTCTGCCGACGCGCTTTACACGAAGAGAGCTATGCATGCCGGTTTCTTCCCCAGCGCGACTTCTCAATACCGAAGAAGCACCTAAGCGAGGCGCATAGTCGTCTTCTAACATCGATCGCCTTTCATTGCTCAAAGCTTCTGCAGACTTTTGCCCACTCAGACCTTCTTCGTTAGTCGACCTGTGGCTTGGCGAGTTTGATAGTGGTGAACGGGTAGTGCTTCTTGACCCGGTGATACGAACGCTACGCGTTCGTGGTGCCGGCGTAATCAAGTCTTTCATGTAGCTTTGTTCCTCGGAGTTGGAGCTCTCAGGCTTCGATGATGGTAGTCTTACAGATCCAACCCGGACAATCCGCGGAGCAGGACTGCCAGTTGACGAATCATGCGGAGAAGCCACTCGAACGTGTCTCTCCGGTCGCACAGATGCAAAGTCTCTGGCAGCAATACTGAGTCGCTTTGCACTGGTCTCTCGCGATGTTGAACCCTCTCCAACATCTCCCTTCAACAATGCCTTTACCGAAGCACTGAACTTGGGTCCTGGAACCGGTTCGTCGTCTGAACTGTCTCCATCATAATTTTTGGGATCTGAAATATGCTCATCCGCAAATCGTGTGTGGCGCGTCGCAGGTGAGTTGCGGCCCGGCTCTTGTCGCAAAAGAGAGGACCTGGATGCTCGATGCTGCACACCGCCGGCCCTGTGAGCAGACGATGTGGGTGTTGGTGATGCCTCGGTAGCCATTGTGAAAATTTCCGACGCGTTTGCTTATTCATTCATCGCATATTCCAAGTATACAGGCCCAATGCCCTGGTGGTGTGTATCCAAATGTGTCGTGTAAGAATATAGTGTATACATGAATAACATTGAAGATGGAGCTCGGCCGTGGCCCGTAAGCTCTAGCGTCGAGCTAAGTCACGTGGCTTCAAATCATAACATTGTTGTCATGGCAACGCTTAGTCATGTTGACGCAGTCGCGATCGGAAATTGTTTGTCACTCAACTTCAACTTCAACTTCGACAAAAGTTGATAATCATTTTCTATCCCTATCATCATACTGACACGATAACGTGTGTGAAGCTCAGACAAAACTCTTGTGTATTAATCGAACTCAAAACTTGCTTCATCCTATATTTACTACCGACCGAGCACAATCTATTGACCGCTATGATGTTTCCAAAAGACTATTTTTTTCTTTCTTTCTTTGTTACAACAACCCCAAATGCTGAGTACTCGCTCGTTGTGTCAGCGAGGTCTGAGGTCGGGTATACTTTGTTTCTCTCCAATTTGAGACTGTAATTTCATACTACAAAGTTTACACTGAATGCTCCGATGGGACTATGCAAACTTACCTCACAGCTAGAATATCCATGGATGTATCCCGGATAGCCGGCTAACAACGCCCGTCGTCTAATCCGTACAATACGTAGCACCATGCTTGGAGCAAAGGCGAAATAAGAATAAGAATTGAAAGCGCGCTCCTCTTGTCTCGGCTGACGCGAAGCCTGCTCCATAAAGGCTACATGCTAGACCAACTAGGGGCTCCGCACAGCCTCAAAAGTTGAAACGAAACACAAAACAGCCAGCAGATCCACACCTGCGTTGACCACGGATGCTCATCCCGGCTGCGAAGCCGTCATGGCCGTTGACTTTAATTTCGTTCCCGAGAGATCGACATCCATAACAGTCAGATATTAATATTGGCGTACTGTCGGATGAAGCGGATTGCTTCCGGTCAGGCTCTCTAGCTGTCTTTGTTCAACAATGTTGGACCGTAGACTCGGGACTGAAGAGTGAAGTCCAATACAGCCGACTCCATCAGCCCAAAAAAGGGGTCTGGAAGAGTGGCGTCCGTCGCAAACACGAACAGTTCATGAGAAAGGCAAGTAAGTTAAAACTATCGAACGGCGAGCGATTTTCAGGAACAACCCACTCGGCCAATCATCCGCCTGCCCTGATCCGGGCTCCATCGGCCACTAAACTGCATTTAGATGGCTCGTTTGGCCTGGTGGGTTCCTCGGTTCTCAGTCCTTATCCGACTCTCGTATTCATGCTGCACTCATATTCAGAAGAGAGGAGACACTGCTACCTCGGTCTGTTTGCAGCCAACTACGGAGTACACGAAAAACGCCACTTTCAATACCAAGAATTGTTCAAGACTCTGATTCTGATACTGATGCGTCTGGTAGTTATCCTCTGAAGCAACAATAGGTGCTCACAATACTGAGTCAAATGTCAGTCAAAAAAAGACCAAGAAGAAGCAATCTGATTATCGGAGAGAAACAAACAACTAGATCTAGGCCTTGGTGGCTATGCTATGCTACTGTTCGCCCAGTCGTTTCATGCTTAGGAGGAATACTGTTTCGTCCTGAGTCAACATCCACAGTACCTCCGTACAGAACCATGGATGAGATGCTTCATCTGAATATTGAGGTCATCATGTGAAGTTAAAGTTTGTCGCATATCACATTTTCAAGATGAGGGGATCAGATCCGAGCATGCGTAGGTTGAACTTTCTATGTACAAAATAGGGTTTTCCGGGCCCTGTCTCAACATGTCTCATAAACTCCTAGAAGCTTAGAAAGGCTAGCAGACACGAGCAAGCTGCAGTAGCTCACTAGCTGCACGGCGGAGACATGAGCAAACTTGGTTTCTGTTCCCCAATTCAACCTCCACCTGCGCCCCTGATAAGGCCCCTGATAGGCTTGTATCCTTAAGTCGCCCATTAAGTGAAACGAAACTATCAGAATAGGGCTCTCTTGTACGGAGCAAGACTCAGTTGAGTTGTTGGACAGACGAAGAGGTTCCACCTTTTTTTTCCGAATTAGTAGACTTTGTTCAATTGGATATCGTTTGACTCTGTCATGACCCACTGCACTCCGTAGAGAGCTAGCCCTAAGTTATCGATCACAAGCTGCACAACCTTGGCTCACCTCAGTCACCTCGCTCATGACTCTGGACCATGCAGTTAGATGCTCCGTGCTCTGTCTAGACTGGGATGTCACAAGTCAAAACTAGATGCCACTAATGTATCATACAGCCATACTAGGAAAGACATGTATTCCTGTATCAGGGCTTTATGGATCTATGGTCATGTCTAGGTAGAACCCCCTTAAGTATATAAAGACGATGTTATACCGTCCTCTATTCATGTTTTTTTCTGTCTATCCAACCATCCATCTCCTTCCAATTCATTCGTTCTTCGTTCGTTCACATAGATCAATTTGATCTGACATTCGTTTGACTGCGTCAACATCCACAATCGTTTAAGCTACTCAAGCTATCCAGTCTTTTCGGCCCATACCATACAACAGAACAAAACCGACTTACGTTAATATCTCCTTTCCTATTCATAAATCAAAATGCGTTTCGCCGCTATCGCCATCTCGGCTCTGGCTACATGTGCCTTTGCCCTCCCCTCAGCCCCAGTGCCTGCCGTCCTCCACCATGAGCGAGGCCTCATCTCCGACGTGCTCAACCTCCTCAACCCCTCCGACCTGCTGAGCGGTCTCTCCGCCGAAGGCGCCGCTGCTTTCGTGGGTGCCAGTCTCGGCCTCAAAGCCGACCTCATCGATGCCGACGCAAAAGCCAAGTTGAGCGTCTGGCTTGACGGTGCTGACATCGACATCGACGCTAGCGTCAAGACTTCCCTCAAGGGCTGGTGCTCCGGCTCCTCTGCCGAGCTAGATATCGACGTGATTGCTGCAATCTCCCTCTTCGCTCCCTGCGCCGTCGGTATTGCTGCTGAGGGCGGTCTCGTCGTCGACGTCAACGGTATCTCGTCCGTCGGTGCCGCTGTCGGCGTCATCCTCGAAGCTTCTCTCCAAGTCGAACTACTCGCTTTCCTCACCGCTACCCTCGACCTCGATTCCGAAGTCAACGTTGCCCTCCACATCTGCGCAAACGGCGGTCTCGTTACCGCTCTCACCGCCGACGTTAAAGCCGCCCTTACCGCCTGGCTCTCAAGCTCTGACTGCGGTCTTTCTGCTGCTCTCAAGGCTGCTGTGGGCCTCTGGCTCGAAGCCGAGGTTGGCGTTGGCGCAATCGCGATTGGAACTGTGTCTACCGCTGCCTCCATCTCTGGATCTATTGGTGTCTCTATTGATGCCGCTGTTGACGCCGCCGGTCTTTTGTCTGCCACTTACATTAGCGCCCTCGAAGCCTGGATTGCTGGTGAAGTCAACCTCGACGCTGACATCAAGGCCATTCTCGAGATCTGCGTTGGCGCCAAGGCATCTATTACTCTCGACATCGAGGCTGTTGAGAAGCTTACTGCTTGGCTGTTGAGCACTAGCTGCTCCCTGACCGTCGAACTCAAGGCTGCTGTTCTTTTGTGGTTGCACGTTCGCGTTACCGAGGTCGCGACCATCTCCGTCCTCGGTGCGGCTGATATTGCTACCTTGACTACGTGGATTGCAGGCGACATTGCCGCCGATCTCAGTGCTGTTGTCAAGGGTGTTATTGGTGTTGCTATTGCCGGTGAGGCTGTTGTCAATGTCGCTGTTGACGCTGTTGCTGAGCTCATTGGTGTCTTGACTGGTTGCGTCAGCGGTGTTGAGATCTCTGTCGATATTCAGATCATCCTTGGAAAGTGGATTTCCGGTGAGACTTGTGGATGCCACTCCAACGACAAGAGGGGTCTTGTTGGTCCTGTTCGTGTTTAAGTGAAGCGTCGCTGTTGTTTGCTTTGTGTTAACATCGTATAATACCTTGGTGCATGTACAAGCGACAGTAATGTGGTATTAGTTAATATCTAATGATAATATCTGCGCATTTGTTCCTAATGATATTAATGTTCCAGTATAGATAGTAAAAAATAAATATATCTTTTGTGAAATGCGCTGGTGAACCAGTAACATGATCTCGATAGCAATCTCTGATTTCGATGGGTGCAGAAAATAGCAGCTCATGGCTGACCTACCAACCTACCTAGCTAGGCGACCTACGTCTTGTCGTTGGACGCCCTACGACGCATAGCTTTCAGCTTCTCTTTCAGCACCCTCTCTCGAAGCTCGTTCGCCGACAGGCGGAGTTTGGTTGGTCCTTTGGCCTGTTGCATTATCCATTGCAATCAGTTTTCCTGATATAATAAACAAATGAGCCAATTACACAACCATACATCATATTACCCAAGCAACATAACAATTGATTGGAGAAATTAGGCACTTACGTCGCCGCCATCCCGCATTTTGACGTCCTCCGCATCTGCAGGGGTTCGTCTCTCTGCCTGTGGAGATTCTGAATCATATCGTCGCTTGCCGGCTGGTGCATAGCGCTGAAGCGAGCGACGTCTTTTCTTATCGCCCCTTGGGCTCGGGCTGCGGGAGACACTGCGAGAAACAGAGCGATCTCGTCTGGAAGAAGTGCTCCGGCTCAATCGGCGGTCGTCTCTAGAAGATCGACCTTTTATAGCAATATCAGCCTTTGATCCTCTTACTTTACGATCCAATTGACGAGATGATGACCGCCTCCTACGATTCCTGTTGTCCGGCTGTCGAGACCTTGAGCGAGATGCAGAAACCGAAGAGGTGTTTCGTCTAGCTCTAGGAGGAGAACGGTCATGTCTTCTACGAGTTCGTGGCGGCGATGGTGAACGTGAGGAACTGCGCGAAGAGACTGACGAATAGCGTCGGCGGGTTCTTCTGGGACTAGGTGAGCGTGATGACGATTCATTGCGGGCAACAGATCTATTTCGATCATCACCGTGTGGTGGGCTTCGTCGCCTGCTTCTTTTGTGATCCCTTCCATCTGGAGACGGTGACCTGCTTGCAGATCGGGGGCGTCTCCTGTTGCGTTCATCTGAGCGGTACGAGCGACGAGGGGGTGATCTGGACAGAGACGGTGAGCGCGATACTGAACGAGATTTTGGTCGAAGACTTCGACGGCTTTGCCGATTGCCTCGCGGTACGTAGGAATCAAACTCTCGGCGCGAAGGTACACCACGTCGGTCGGGGCTGTGACGCCGAGGAGACCGCGAGCCTCTGCGGTACGAGCCCCGGCCACCTCTATCATCACGGAATCCTCGATTTCGATCCGACTTCTCTCTTTGTCTGATAGATTCTAGTTCCCTTTCGCGCTCGCGTTCTTGTTCTTTTCGCCGACGTGCTTCTTCAGCGGCTCTTTCTGCGTCCAACTGTTTAAATCAGCAAAAAATTCCAAAGTAGCTTGCTAAAACGGCTCACTTTTTCTTGTTTCAATTCTAACTTCTTCGCTTCCAATAACTCCTTGGGAACACCTTGAGGACTTGATTGAGCGCTGAGGCATAGGTTCCACAGCTCCTGGCAGAACTTGGGCGTGTCTTTGTCCAGGAAACCAGTCAGTTGAATTTGAAGAGCTTTTATGTCGGGCTGTAGACACGCGGACTTGTCAGTATATAGCTTGTGGTTTATAGCTGATGCAAGCAACTTACATATCTCGAAGTCTCCAACAAGCCAAAACAGAGCTCAATGATCACGTCGTCTTCGTCACCAAGTAATTCCGAAAGTTTTCCCGCAATCCATCTATCCGCAAAATTAATCATGGTGGTCCTAAACTCGGGTTGCAGCTTCTCTCACTTCTTCATGACCTCTATATTCACCTTGCTCATGTCCACTTTTTTGCTGAACTCTGGCGGAAATTTGGTCTGCTTCAGCAGCTTAGCATCCACATTGCTAGCCATTATGAAGATATATAAGCTCTAAGGGAGCTTGTCGAGTCAATGTATTCAACGAGTAAGCAGATAGCAAGTGAAGAATGAACAAGATATAGTTAAGGCTGGAATTAACGATGCCGATCACAAGAGTCAATACGACAATGGCAGAATGTAGATCGACAGTCACCGCCTTTTCGAGCAAATCACATGACTTTTTTGCACGTTTGTATGGTCAACTGGCAAAAAGATTAGGGGAAAAAAGAAGAGAAATCGATCCTAGAAAAGAAAGATGCTAATTGACAATAGAGAAGAGAATGACAAAAGGATATATGATTGTGTACAGCATTCAAGCATCCAACTCCCTCAACACCCGATTCACATCCTCCCTTGCTCGTCTCAACCCAGCGTCAACAACAGGTTCAGAATTCGGGTCACTACCCATATGCTTGACCTTGACTCCATAATGGAGATCTACAAGCTCTTGTGCTCTTGAGAGCTCGGCGTGTTGGTCTGATTGTTGTTGGTCTCCAGCCGTAGTCGCCGAGGGGTCTGTTGGTTTTTGGACGTTGACGAGAGCGAGGGCCTCATTGTGGCCCTTGATGAAAGAGTCAGTTATCAGGTACAGGTGATATGATTGTATTTGAAGTAGTGTTTGATGTTACTCACACAAGCTCTCAAGGATGTGAGATCGGAGAGTACTTCGGCAACTTGCATCATGAGAAATTACCAATCATAGCCCGGTAGGTTTCGTAGTCAGTATTTGCTTGTGTAGCTGTGAAACTCTGGCCAAAATCCACAAACGGCCTAATTTCAAAAAGGGGGCACTAAATTTTGATGTTGTTGACAGCTTGGAAGTTGATGCGGTAGAAGACCTACTTTAAGGTATGTCTTGGCATCTTGAAATGAAAGTAGAAATACAAGACATGAACGTACCACAAACATTGAAAGATCTACAGTTGGTAAAATGGCTCTTGTGATTGAATCCTTGCAATTGAATCCTTGCAATTGAAGATTAAATATCTGACAGTTTACTTTTAAACTACATGCAGTGTAAATTCACTATTCCGGTCGCAATACGTTAGATGATCAAGAAGCGTACGGCATTTCTGCAATTGCTGCTGAGCAAGTACCTGCGAAGCATCAGGCAAGCACGTTCTTAGCCTCACCTCATACCACTGCATAGCTGCCTTTACGCTGAAAATCCCTATTGCAGGACCAAAACTTTGCCATGCATTTTGGCAGCAGAAATCGGCCCATACGGTGACTTTATAAGCCAAACTCTCGGCCTCAAACTCCAGGTTGTGGACAGACATCGGGTGCGATATCTCATTGCAACACATATTAGGATAAGGCGAGACAGAGAATTTGTCGTAAATGTTTATATATAGTGTAAGCGTGACCGCCCAGTTGAAAAGCATCAGGCGTGCGGACTGGAGTTCGTCGAAATGAGTGCTAGTAGCTGGGCTACGTCTGCTTGGATATCGATGAGCCCGAGGTTGAAGGTGATCTGTACTATTCATCGATGTCCCACTTGAAGAAAATGTGTGTGGTGGTCCTTGCGCTAGGCGAGGGCTGTTGAGATTCTCCCACACTTTCAACCTATGTATGAGGTTCAGAGTCTGGCGAGCGAGTCTTTCTAGAAATGTATGCTCATATTGTGCGAGACTATTACCAGTTGTGAGACCATCAATCTGCTCGAGAATACCTGGAACTTCCGCGGCTAGATCCAAGAACTGATGATAAGAGTTCTTTGCGCCTTGAGGCCAAGGAATGTCGATCCACTCTGCTTTCGAAAGAAAGGTAGATTTTCGAAGAGTGAGGCTTCGCAATACCTACATAAATTAATCTTTGCCGGCAAGAAGATGTAAAGATATTGAGAGGACATACACCAATAGTCCTATAAAAATAGAACAGCTGAAAGCCAAGAGGATTCGTGAATATCTGAGGGCCATAAAGCTGGAGAACAGTCTCTATTCCACTAGCATGAGCTTCCCAGCCTGTGCTGGACTGAGTGCCAAACTCGAAAAGCTGGAGGCAACAATAAGTGTCTAGATAAGTTGAGAACCATGGCGTAGCCTACCTCGTACAGGAGCAGCATCATAATAGTCGGCAAGAGCTCCTCAGTATACTTTGAGCCTCTGAGGAGACCCTGCGCGCTTGATAAAGCACTGCAATAGAGACTGCGGCCGCGATAGAGTGCATCGTTGGAGTGCACTTCATGTCCAATCCAACCGTATCCCACGCCGGCTGCAGCTAGAGACAGGATATTCGAGCACACAGATCCCTGATAGAGGGACAACAGCCATGCCAAAGGAACGTCCTCGGAAGCTCGTTCAGGCAGGCAAAATGTGATAAACGAACTGAATGACTGGTCATAGAGTGCCTTGTTCACAGCATGTGTGAATGACCGAAGCTCCAGCAGATTATCACTAGCCAAATACTCAGTTCCCTGAGTATATGGTACATGTATACCATGTTGAGCTGAGAGGGTTGTCAATGACCGGCTATGCTGCGCGTGGCCTCGCTGTTGATGGTGCCGCAGCTTTTTTGAAAAGGTGCTCGGAGAGTTATTCCGAAACCTTAAAGCACGATCATAGCCTTCGCAGTTCCAGGAGCCTCTAGCGCACTGGTTACATGCCGGCTTGCCGCCATCACACTGGGTAGAATGTCAGCGCTGGGCTAATATATGTGCGATTTCAGGAGCGCTACTTTGATCTTGCGTCTGCGGCATGTGTGACATCCTTTTGAGCCTCCTGCGACGCCGGTCATTCCATCGAGACTATTATGACATCCTGCAGAGCACTCAATAACGAAGACCAGGATAGAACTGGGATTTGATTGAAGTTGAAATGTGACGTCGGACAAAGAGAGAGTCAAAGTGCACGACCAGTTAGATTGCACAGAATATACAATGTCACGCTAGTCCGTTTCGAGAGAAAAGATGCGAACCGACCAATGTTATGCCGCGTCTCTACACTCCACCATGATCAGTCTATCGCGACATTTCCACCACCTTCTGAATGCGACAATTTCTCTCGGATTTTTGACGGCTTTAATGACAATATGCGAGATCTCTCTTTCATCGAAATTGAGCTTGCCCCAGCGTCTGTGCTGTCTATAAATACAGCGAGTCTTCTTTCGTGAAAGGTCATTCGTCTACTAAACATTACAAGTAACCTCTACATATAATCTTTACTGCACAATGTCTTCTCCTCTTTACAAAAAGGCTCTCATTATCGGTGCCACCTCTGGAATTGGCGAGGCTCTAGCCATCAAACTGGTCGCCAACGGCAGCAAAGTAGTGCTCGTTGGCCGACGACAAGAGCGACTCGATAACCTCGTCAAAAAACTCGGATCAGACAAGAGCTCAGCGGTGCCCTTCGACATTACAAAGCTACAGGACATCTCTGCCTTTGCGTCCAAAGTTACCTCGGAACATTCCGATATCGATGCCATCATTCTGAACTCTGGAATCCAACGATCGTTCGATTTCGCCAAACCAGAGACTGTTGATCTCAATACCGTGCAGGAGGAATTGACGACAAATTATACCAGTATTATACATCTTACAATGGCGTTCCTGCCATTTCTACAGGCCCAGAAGACGACTACGCACCTTATTTATATCAGTGCCACGTTGGGCATCATCCCGACCTTGATCCGCACGGGAGGATATAATGCTTCCAAGGCTGCGTTGCACCATTGGCTGCTCGTCTTCCGCGAACAGCTCAAGCAACAACCAGATAATCAAGTCAAGGTAGTCGAAGTCTTCCCACCCGCAGTGCAGACAGAACTACATGATGAACGTCACCAGCCGGATCTCAAAGATGGCGGCAAAATTGGTATGCCGTTGCAGGCATTCATCGACCAGACATATGAGGAATTGCTCAAGGGTGATGATCAGTTTGGTATTGGGATGGCCAAGGGAACTATTGATGGATGGGAGAAGGAGCGGGTGAATCTTTTCCATCAACAAGTTCCGGTTGTGACCAATGCCTTGAGCCAGTTCCTGAAGAAATAGTTGATTAAACAGCATAGTGCAATTTATCGTTTAAGTTTGATATGTGTCTCCTAGAATATCTATTTATACAATCGGCATGTAAGCCGATACGTAGCATCCCCCGCCATCACGTGGAGCATCATGGTCCGAATCGGCGCCCCGCGGCCCGCAACCAAGCAGATTTATGTATCCGCGGAGTCAGCCAGATGATCTTGCTATAAAAACTGTGTATACTACTTCTATCTCTTTCGCAAATTATAGATCTGTTTTGCTTCTCTCGTACGTTCCTTCCATTGCGCAACATATCAATCAGAGACCATGACGACATCCCCGCAATATCTCACTGGTAACCCCGCAGCCCTGAATGAGTTCATCGATCGTTTCGACGTGAGTTTTAGCATGACGAGTGCACGATCGATTACTAATTCTTGCCATTGATAGACATTCCTTTTCGACTGCGATGGTCAGTAATTTGCCATTTCAATGACAATGCTAATGCGTCTTTACTGATCCGTATATAAGGCGTGCTTTGGTCTGGTGACCATACATTCCCAGGCACAGCTGAGACGTTGGAATTGTTGAGAAGCAGAGGTACGATTCCACTAAAGGCACCACAGAAACAACCAGACACTGACATATCTCGACCGCGAAGGAAAACAGGTCGTCTTCGTCACCAACAACAGCACAAAATCGCGAGCAGACTACAAAAAGAAACTCGACGGACTGAACATCCCAAGCAACGTCGTACGTTGACCATCCCTTATTGTCATATCCAACTGACCCTCTTTGTACCGCAAAGGAGGAAATCTTCTCCTCCTCCTACAGCGCCTCAATCTACATCTCCCGCATCCTCGAACTCCCCGCCAACAAACGCAAAGTCTTCGTCCTCGGCGAAACCGGCATTGAGCAAGAACTCCGCAACGAGGATGTACCCTTTATCGGCGGCACCGACCCGGCTTTACGTCGCGACCTCGTTCCCGAAGATTACAAGCTAATGGCAAACGGGGACCCGTCCATACTCGACCCCGAAGTCGGCGTTGTCCTCGTCGGACTCGATTTTCATATCAATTACCTCAAGATGTCGCTTGCATTCCAGTACATACACCGCGGCGCAGTATTTCTCGCCACAAATATAGACAGCACACTACCCAACCAAGGCTCCCTTTTTCCCGGCGCAGGCTCGATTAGTGCACCCCTAATCATGATGCTAGGTAAGGAGCCGATTGCGCTCGGGAAACCGAGTCAGGCGATGATGGATGCCATTGAGGGCAAATTCCACTTTGATCGTAATCGCACTTGTATGGTTGGCGATAGGACCAATACGGATATCAGGTTTGGTGTTGAGGGAAAACTGGGGGGTACGCTAGCTGTGTTGACGGGCGTATGTACCAAGGATGATATTCTGAACGGGCCTATAAGACCGGTGGCTTATGTGGATAAGTTGAGTGACTTTTTGGGTGCGCAGAGTAAGTGAGTATAGATGGATACAGAGCTAGAGTCATACATAGATAGCATATGCTTTGAAAATAAATCGTCGTCTGGTTATATTTTTGTGTCTACATACAAAGTACCTCACCGGACGGGGACATCACGATGAGGTGGGAGAGGGCTCTTTTATAACGCTTGATCCGGCTCTCAAATCCCGGACGTGTTCACTATCATGCATAACGTAACCCTTCAGCTCCCACATCGCCAGCATCGCATCCACCGACTTTGGCCCATCCGCGCGGAAAAACAATGCTTTCTCGGCAAACCGAGGAATCGCTTCTCGAAGTACCTGACGATCCGAAGCCGACAAGAGGGTGCTTAGGTCAATTACTGGCACGGTGGATTGTGTCTGAGGCAGAGTGAGATAATCCGGAAATTTCGAGTCAAAGGGGTCATTTGCTTCCGAATCCCCTACAATAATCACAGCCCCCGTCCTCATATTCTCCATCTCAAGATTTCGCAACCCTTCAACCACAGCAGATAATGACAGATTTGATACATCCAAAATTCGCCATTGATCAGCCCTTTCACTCTTTATTTGCTCATACCGATAAGCCTCCTTGAGACTCTTCACAACCTTCCTTCGCAGATACTTGAATACCAAATCAGTCAATCTCTCCGGTAGCTCCACTTTAGAGATATCGGCACTCGAACGCATCCGCCATTCGGAAGGCACCAAGTGAAATGGTTTCACCTTCCTAGTCGAATTTCTCGCGAGAGGTGCGTACTCCATCAGAAGCGCCCGCGTGAGCATCCGCATAACGGGCGGTTTCCTATCATCTGACGATCCCTCAAGCGTGGTGGTATCTGATGAAAGTTTGTCTTTCACTAATTCAGCTGGCATCCACCATATACTAGTCCTTCGCACTCTCCCGTCTGTAGCTTCGTCGATCCGTCGTACGAGGTTCATTTCTGTCAGGAATGCTTTTGGTATACGCACCGCTGTCGCCGAGCAGTATCTGAGAGGCGAAGCGAGGGCGACTGCCCAGGGATTGTCGCGCAGTCGAGCATCATCGGCTTTCGTGCCTTGTGGTTTTCGGGGTCGGTGGCCGATTGGGCGTGTTTCGGCTAGTTTGAAGAGGGGAGATTTGGGGAGGGAGTCAGATGGGCGAAGTCTTTCGTTAAAAGTTGGATTTTCTGTATTCTCGGGTAAGGAATCATCTTCGTGGTTGTTGTTGTGTGTACTGTAGGTCCGGAGATTGCGGAGTGGTTGGTTTGTCGATAAATTTCGTTTTCTGTCGACTCGACATGACTGAGCTTGCGTTGAAGGAAGAAACAGCTTAGACAGAACCTGAAGCCTCCATTTTTTATAAGAAATCTGTGACGCGCATGACATCTCGCAAGATAGAATTCGTTGGCACATAATCTCGGAGCTCCCCAAAAAAAGCTCATGAAATTATTTGGGGTCGGGGAGAGCTCCATTATGCTCTAGCCATAAGTGGACTAGTTTCTTGAATATCAATACGCCTCCGCTGCTGCCTTACTATACAATATCAAGTTCGTACCCATCTAATAATGATGTCGGAACAAGCAGCACTCGAGCGACGCTCGGATGATATGACACAACCTGAAACATCTCAAAGCCATGACTCAGACGATGAGCCCATGGTCTACGTGACGTCCAAGGACTATGCGACGATTGCGCGCCAGACGCGCGATCGGCTCATCGCCGAGGGCGCCGACCCTGATTCTGTCATCTTCCAAAGCGATTTACCAAAAATCATCCAACGACAAGAAGGAGAATCCCGTACCGACTTTGCAAAACGGTTTAGCGCCACGATGAATGACATGATTAAGCGTGGCGTCCTTATCCTAAATGATACATGTACTGCGGATGTAGTGGCTTCTGGGTTTAGATTCCGAGGTGGAAGACGTTTTGATTTAGGTCCACGGTCGGGTGCGACAAAAAGAGAATTTAGAGAATTCAGTAAATGGTTTTCGGACAATGCGAATACAGGTGAGGTGCCTGAGGTGCCGGAGAAGTGGTTGAAGTTTGAGATGCACGCCGAAGAGAGATCTGGATCGTGACGGCGAAAGCTCTTGCGCTTCTGAGAAGACCTTGTTTAACCTGTTTCTATTGTGTTCTTCTTCAATTGCTTTGTTTAAATTTATACTGTTCTTCTCAGACTTCACTAGACCACGCCTGAGCCAAGGTGGACATTCCCCAATCATGATATACCCCCAACCAAAGCATCCAAATCAAACCCCAAAGTCACCGTCCGCTTATGAAACGTAGCTCCCAGCGATCTACAAACACTCTGACTCTCTAGATTATCAGCAGCTACCTGCGCGAAACACCAGTCGCTCTGAATCTTCCTCTCTCCTCCAACAAGACCATCACATAGATCTCGGATCACTGCACCGGCAACTGTTTTTGCTAGACCTTTACCCCGATGCTCTGGAAGGACGTAGAGCGTTGTCAAGGATTGGTCGATTGATAGGTATGCCCATGCAACAAGCTCCTTTCGTGCAGTATTAGCAGGGTTTGTATATAATATTGCAGCGTTGTGATTCTCGAGCAAAGTTGCCGGCTGCCTCTCCACTTTGGACGTGACAGTTACCAAGTCTATCTCGTCGAACGGGACTTTTCCGAGTTCATATCCCCGAGGAAGTTTCCTGGAGGCCAGCATATCTTTCACTTGAGACGTGGAGAATATCAACTCATCCCATTCATAGCGATATTCCGGCTTGACGGCTAGATCCTCTACAAGGATGTCCGCGATCACTTCATGTGAGGCCGTCAAACGAATCGTGGGCGAAAATGGATAGTTGAGTGGTTTCACATCTGCGGTCAAATAGCTCTGTCCAATGAGATGGATGGTTCGTAGCAGTTCACGTAGTTGGTTGGCTAATACTTCTCGAGATTCTTGTGACAAGTCGCTCGGTTTGGTATCTCTCTGACATAGTGTATTGAAAATGGCGATTTGAGACTCCTTATGCCTTGAGCGGTCTACAAGTGAGACTGTTACCGAATCCTTTCTGTTTAATTCGGCGGCGTTTAAATCGTAGGTTGGAGGAAAGCTTGCTAGAAGTAGAACCTCCCGCTCGGGGATGTTTTGAGGTGATTGGATGCGTTGGTAGATGGGGATCGAGGTAGGGAAATGGTTGCGAAGAAATTGCTGAACTAGCGAGGGGTTTGAATGTTTGAAAAATTGTATGGATGTCATATTGATTCAGCACGAGCTAAAAATCTCAATTGAGCGCATACTAGTGCATATCATCAGAAAATAACTGGTAATATAGGTAGTTTCGAGTAATGTTACTGCCTTACAGCGGAGCTTGAACTAGCACAGATGACTCATCGGATCGCCATGTTTGACCACGAGATACGAAAACAAACATCAAGAAGGGGACCATATTCTCAAGTACGGTGAAGTTTGGGCAATTGGATATGTGCAGGTGATGAAATCGAGTCCTTGAAATAGCCTTAAAGGAGGTACTTTCAGATACTAGCACCCAGCTGAAATACGTTTTTCATTCTAGGTCGGAATAAAGGCCACATGCACCATTGAATGCTCAAAACTAATGGTACAAGCTCTGACCTCAGTAGTAGCCAGATCGCAGATGCATGTTGTATTGTCTCTTTCAGAGAAGAGAATGCCTTGAGACGAGAATCATAAAGTACATCGCTTTGCAGCTTGAGTAGTGAATATGCGTCATATCATGCCGCGTCAATAGTATACAAGCCATTCATGCCTTCCTGATCATGAGCATCATTTAGTAGCTTCAGTCTCATTCTCAGGCTTTAGCCTTCGGTCCAAGATCTCATCCACAATGCCCATCTCTAGCGCTTCCTGAGCGCCCATGAAATAATCTCTCTCCATGAGCCTCTCAATCTCGTCCAACGATAATTGTTTCTGGCCAGTCAAATGTCTTTGATATATCTGATTCAGCTGTGTCCTTACTCGCAGGATCTCCTTCGCGTGAATCGCAATATCGCTAGCTTGTCCGAAGTATCCACCCGAGGGCTGATGGATCATGATAGATGAGTGTGGTAGACAATACCTTTTACCGGCATGACCACCGCACAACAACAAAGATCCCATACTAGCCGCTTGACCGACACAGATGGTGTGCACAGGCGACTGTATGTATGTCATGGTGTCGTAAATCGCAAGTCCAGCTGTCACCGAACCTCCGGGAGAGTTGATGTAGAGATAAATCGGCTTTTCGGGGTTGTCTGCTTCGAGGAAGAGGAGTTGAGCGACAATGGCGGCGGATGTGGTTTCGTCAACTTCGCCATTGAGGCAGATGATTCGTTCTTTGAGCAACCGGGAGAATATGTCATCTTTCAGCGCATGCATTAGCTTGGGTCGCGTTCAAAGGTTGCGGAGATGTAGTTTGGAGGGGTGTGGTGCTTACATGTATGCCATCCTCCGCCCTAGTCTTTCATCAGCAAAAACAAAATCAATGTTTGAGTAAGGCCTTCACGTACTACGGTCTCCGTCACGAATGGTGTAGGCGTCCATCCCCGAGGGGCCGTTCCTGACAGCTTCGGACTCAGATTCGAAAATGCTCTTAATCTCGACGAGGTAATTTGTGACTGTAATGTAGATCGGAAAGAATTTTGCCGCCCAATGGCGCCTAGCAATCTGAAAGGTCGTGAGGGATTCATTTTGCGATTGTGTGAAGCTGCGTAGACAAGCTAAGTCTGTGCAAGCTCACGAGAGCTCTGCGCGGGATGTGTCAATCTGACAATTTGGTCATTCGGATGTATATTAAATTGTGTGAACTCTCGAATAGTCAATTCAAACACTCTCGGGCTTGATAGTAGCTATAAAGACGCTGTAGCCAAAGCAATGTCGCTGAATCAGCATTGTTGATGCCGTCGGGGCAATTACTGCCTGGAAGGTCACGTGAATTTTCTGCCTTATCTGCTCGCACGGACCCTGGGCGGTCAGTCCTTATCGGGCGGTGAGTGAAAATTTAGAAAATTAATTCCCCCCGGCAACTCCACCCAGCCAGCCCGTCCCGAGATTTTTTTTTTCCTGATAAGAGCTCTGCTTCTCCCTCTGTAATCTGATTTTTCTCATCTCTCTTCATCTTCATTTTTGTCTTTTCATTCTCAAACTTTGAAAAAATCAAATAGGATTCTCTTCCTATTATATCAAAACAAGGTAAATACCATCCTATCTCTACATTACTCACAACAAGGTACTCCAGATCACTTTGTGGGCTGTTATCACTGAGGGCTGTGGGCTGCTGGTTTTTGCACATTGCTTTGTGTGGGCTTCGTTCTATCAAGAGGGCTTCATCATACAAAGAGGATTGCATTATTTCCTCGTCCGTCTCTGTGGGCTTATGCACTGTGGGTTCTGAGGGCTACGTTCCTTGTGGGCTGTACCTCGTGGGCTGTACCTTGTGGGCTGTTCCTTGCGGGCTGTTCCTTGAGTGTTATCGGTTCTTGCATTTATTTGCTACCGAGAGTCGTTGTTGCGTTCCTGTGGGCTTGAATCTAATTTGTGGGTTTTGTCAGATATTAAAATCTGATTCTGTGGGATTTTTGCCGCGCGTTCAGAATTTTCCGTTGATCAATCACATCAATCAGTGTGTACTCCCCTTCTCCTGTTCTCACCACTTTCATGGTCTAACTAATCACTCTCTTTAGATAACAAAATGTCCAAGACGAAGTCCGCTACCAAGGGCAGCAAGGCCGACAAGGCTACCGACAAGGTCCTGTCCAAGGTCAAGGATGCTGGTGTCACAAAGGCTTCTCAGTCCCCCAAGGCTAAGAGCAAGGATATTGCTCGCAAGGTGAAGGCCAAGGAAGAGAAGGCCTCTCGCAAGAAGAAGGAGCCTACCCCCAGCTCTGAGTCCGAGTCCGACTCTGACGAGGAGATGAAGGAGGCTTCCTCCAGCGAGAGCGAGAGCGAGAGTGAGGAGGAGAAGGAGACCAAGAAGCCTGCTGCTAAGACCACCAAGGCCGCTGCCAAGAAGGACGAGTCTTCTGATTCTGAATCCGAGTCTGAGTCGGAATCTGAGGATGAGAAGCCCGCCCCTAAGGCTAAGAAGGCTGCTGCCAAGGAGGAGTCTTCCGAGTCTGAATCCTCTGACTCCGAGTCCGAGGAGGAAGTGAAGACTGACAAGAAGGCCGCCGCTAAGGAGGATGCTTCCAGCGACGAGTCCGACTCTTCCGAGAGCGAGTCTGAGGCTCCTGCCAAGGTTCGTTAATATTGATTCATATACATTACATTCTTGACACTAACAATTGCGGCAGAAGGCTGAGTCTGACTCTGAGGATGACTCTGACTCTTCCGAGTCTGAGGAAGAGAAGGAGGCACCCAAGAAGCGCAAGGCTGAGGAGGAGCCTGCCACCAACTCCAAGAAGTCCAAGACTGAATCCGCCGACAACTCTCCCAACCTTTTCATCGGCAACCTTTCCTGGAACATCGATGAGGAGTGGCTCCGCCGTGAGTTTGAGAGCTTCGGTGAGCTCAGTGGTGTTCGTATTATGACTGAGCGCGAGACCGGTCGCTCCCGAGGGTGAGCACTACTTTTCCATTCTCTATGACTTTTGTACTAATTGCTTATACAGATTCGGTTACGTTGAGTATGCCGATGCCTCCAGCGCCAAGGCCGCCTACGAGGCTAAGAAAGACACTGAGCTCGACGGCCGTACCATCAACCTCGACTACGCCAAGCCCCGTGATGCCAACAGCCAGGCTCCCAGAGAGAAGGCCCAGACCCGCGCCCGATCATTCGGCGACCAGACCAGCCCTGAGAGCAACACCCTTTTCATTGGCAACCTTGTCTTCGGTGTTGACGAGAGCGCTGTTCGCGAAGTTTTCGAAGGCCAGGGACAGATCCAGGGAGTCCGTCTCCCCACCGACGCTGAGACCGGCCGCCCCAAGGGTTACGGTTATGTCGAGTTCTCCTCTGTCGATGAGGCTCGCCAGGCCTTGAATGACCTCCAGGGTACCGACATTGGCGGACGTGCTATCCGCCTCGACTACAGCACTCCTCGTCCCCAGGGAGAACGCCAAGGAGGTGGTCGTGGTGGTTTCGGCGGCCGTGGTGGCCGTGGTGGCCCTCGTGGTGGTGGTGGCCGTGGTCGCGGTGGCTTTGGCGGTCGTGGTGGCCGTGGTGGTGCTACCGGTGCCAACTCCACCAACCGTGGTGGTGTCGGAGAGTTCTCTGGCAAGAAGATCTCTTTCGATTAAATGTTTAAACGGTAAGTTGTAATCATGGCTGTTACTAGTAAAGACGGCCGTTTGTTTGATGCATGTACGCTGGAATACCTTTTCGCTTGTGGGATTATCGGTTTTCAAAAGTTTGTCATTGCTATTTGTAGGTTTTACGGACTGGGTGTTATTCAATACATTTCACGACTTCATATTTATACTTTATATGCTTCATGCTTCATATACTTCATAATACTCCGTACTTCGTTGTCTTTGAAGATCAACGATCATCAGCGGGCTTGGCGCCGTGGCACATGACGCGAACAGCCAATAATGCCTAATAAGCTTAACCCCACGCACCAATCATTGGCTATATGCACGCGACAAGCACGCAGCCCCGCATGCTTATGCTGGCTCCACCGTACAACTCATCTCTGGATGCACGTATTTCCACAAACGGCCCCAGTATATCGCGATCCGGCAATCTTCAGCCCGAGAGACAAGGCATCCGTTTTTTCTTCCCCTTCACTACAACAGATTCCCTTACAACTACTACTGAAAGGGTGCGTATCTTGCATAAAGTATATATACACGGTGCACTGCGATCCGGCAATACCGAACATCAGACACTGCCAGACAACGTGACTTCCCAGCGTCATCACACCTTGCTTGGACGGTCAGGTGTCCGGATTGGCTGGCTGTGGCTGTTCAGTACAAGGTTCGCTCGTGCTCTCAGCTTGTGAATGACATCCACCCTGTTTCTCTCGGCCATTTTGTCTCTCCATTCTCTTCTACTATCTGTTTCTCGTTGACAGCATCGAGGACAACCACGAATATATGTGTACTGCGATACCACTACCACAGTGATACCGGTCCCCGCGCGCTGATAAGATACTGACAGGGTTGGCATTGGACACCGCTACTATCTGCCCCACCCCATCAGGCCGAGAATCCATATCCAGCGAAACACTCATACTTCTTTTCTGTGCGACTACCTCTTCCTGTGCCTGGGGAAGAGGTTATTATATTTATTGCCTTCTTCATATACATCGAATTACGAGTTCAGCATTTGGGTCTTCATCGCTTCGAAGATGCAGTCTCATCGGCATGACGGATATGGTCACGATACCACAGCGACTTCAGAGAGCAGTGCTGCCTTGTACCGGGCACGGGGTGGTGCTTCATCGTCGCGAGACAGTCCTCTCGGGTCACGAAACCCTAGGCCACGGTCTGAAGGTAATTATTCTTTTTCTCGATTCTCTTGAACCTTTTCAAGTTATTCCTGTAAACAACCACATCCTGCAAATTTGTTACTATCAAGATGGACGAATCCTATCCTACAACTCCCTCATCATCGCCCGATGGACCTTACTTTAACCCTTTTGATCTATACTCACTTCGATATTATATAGACTCGTGGATCGAAGTATCCTCTCAACCGTCTACGTCTTCACTATCGTCGGCTGCGACCACCGACGACATTATCACAACAGGACTCCGAGTAGAGCGATCAGATCCACGCATCTCACAGCTTCGAAATAAGCGAAGACGGACAAAGCAACATATATCTCTGCTGCAAGACTCCTCGCGTGAATCAAGCATAGCTGGCAGCAGTCAGGATGAATACGAAGAAAGTGACAGCGAATCTGATAAAGTCATGAGTGGTTCTAACGAAGACGTCACGGCACAATCGCGAGGTGATGCTCTCCTCTTGCGCCACGGATCCATGTCGGAGAACACGTCGTCAGGAGAGGATGACGAAGATGATCGGTCAACAGCGTTGGGACCACGAATAAGTTCATCGCCGTTTGTTCCGCAACCGAATGCATTCTCTCATGCTCCACAATATTCTCGATCAAGATCATATAATGGCCCGGAAACTACACCAAGTCTTGTCTCAAATAGTAGCCAAGCTACTGCTATACGGCACAACTCAAGTTCAACCGTTCGAAACACTCGGAGGAGCAGTCGCACGCAACATGTACCATACAATATGATTGCTCCAAGTTACCAGGCAGATCACGACGCTGCCCTTCGCGCCAGTCTGTCTACGTTACTGTCTCTTGGTACAGCAGTCCGCGGGGCACCAAAGAACGATAGTCCACCTACGCCTGCTGGCCCACAAATTGCACCAGCATCCTCATTTCGTGTCGTTTCCGAGTCAGTCGCCATGGGCGAAGAAACAGATGACGCCGGTCGCGCACCAAGAATGAACCCCGGAACCCCTCGAACAGACGTCCGAAACATGCAGCAACCCAAACCCCCTCGCTCTATCTCATCTTCAGCACCTTCCAAAGGCAAGAGGAAAGCGTCCAAGGATCGCGGCTCATCTCATGCAGCCGCATCAAAGAAATCACATCAGACTAGCATGAGCGGTTCTGTAGTCGGTGTCAACCCGACTTTAATGACATGGGTCATTAGTGCCGGCGTCGTTGTGTTATTCTCGGCTATCAGTTTCTCAGCCGGATATGCTCTGGGACGCGAAGTTGGTCGAACAGAAATGGGCATGGAATCGATGGTTGGCGGGGGCATGTCAGGTCAATTCTCTACATCGGCCAACTGTGGCAGAGATGCAGTGAAAGGCAGCCTCAAGCGATTGCGTTGGGGAGGTGCTGCCAGTGGCGTGAGTGTCTACAACTGATTTCTTATCGTCTTACGGAAAATTCGCTTGGAGTTTGGTGTTTGCTTTTGAATATTGATCACCACACTCGATGACCCAGACATCGTTCTTTGACTTTCTTTTTCACAAACCGAATCTAGTCATGATTGACGAGTCACATGAGATATGTCACGAGGTTGGATGACGCATTGTTAGTGGTTTCTCTTTTGAAGGATCATTTTGACACTCGTTGCAACCACTGTTATTGAAGTATAATCTATACCCAGTCCCATTATTTTGTATTGATTTTATGACTTGATGTTCATGATATTTGATAATCTAAAAATGGAATATGTCAAGTAATTTAAAGAGTCGTATGTCGTATCATGTTGAGAGTGAAGTTGTACATGAACATCTATCAGTCTATTAGACACCTACGTACTTGATCTTCCCTGATGCGTGAAGGCTTTCTTGCTCCATTTTATTGCTCACTCCCTTGCCGCTTTTGCTCCTTGAGTAGGACTGAGCATAATGTATACTTTGATAGTGCTGGTATTCTACTAGATTCCTACTGCTAAGTAACTGAAGAGCATTTAGCTTGCCCAGCCCATATCATGTTATATACGGATTTCTTACTGAGCTTACCACTATGCCTCATGCTATATCATACGCCATCATTTTAATGCCGTATTTGTGTATAAATACAAATCATACAGCCTGTTCAAGATTAATCTCGACCTGCGCCTTGGCCTGATTTTCAGTAATGTAGAATCCTTCTGCGTCACATCATACCTCGCCTTCCATTGTGCCAACTCCCTTCAACTCTACAACAAGTCGCATCTGCTCCTCGGCGGCAGTGACAGTCTTGGACCACCTCCACGCTGGGATATTGCGCTCATACAGCTCGTCGATTTCCGAGACAGAGCGGCTTCCGTATGTCAGAATCATGTTTCTTGAAAAATTTAGGGTATCATACCTTCTAGTCTCTGGGAGATAGAGCCACATTAGGACGCAAATAGGAACTGAAAAGGCGCCATATACAAAACCTGTCTTGAGACTAAGCGCGAGAAGCATCGGTGGAGTGGCATAGCTATGGCATAGGGTCAGTGACGATGTTATTGTTTAGGGAAATCAATCACAACGATCTTACCAAGTAGCAACGCCAACGATAGAGTTGGTAAGAAACGTGATCGGACCAGTTTTTACTATGTGGAATGTCAGTAAGAGATGGGACGCGGAAGTGAAGAATGTAAAGCCGGAAAAAGAAGTTTATAAACTTACCTCTAAGAAGAGCAGAGGGCAGCTCAGCCGAAAAAAGGTAGTACGACATGATTATTATTTGAACTGCGAAGGTCCAGAAGCAGCAGATTACGAGCTAAAGGAAGAGAGAGTCAGCAAATTAGTTTCAAGATTCCAGAAGGGAACGCACCAAACCTGTGCCAGCTTTGGCGTTACCATTCGTCGCTCCAGTCCAGTACAGACCGCCACAGAGAAAGAGAATGACACAAACGACGGTCTGGCAAGTATTGATAATAGTGCGTCGACCGAATTTGTCGGTAGTGAAAGACCAAACCAAGACAGCGAGGAGGTTGACACAGCTAAATAAAAAAGTATGAGTTATGTTCACTGATTGGTGAGGGAATTCAGACTTGCTTACGATATGATAACAGTGCCGAGAAAGGGATCGGCCAATCCAGCAAGTGAGAAAAAGTCTGCTATATTAATTCTGTGTTTTTTTGAAAGGGGAGAATGAAACTTGATAGCTTACAAGTTGAGTAGGTACTGATGATGGCAAGACCGGCGAGCTGCTGTGAGACAGCAAGTAGCATCACAGTCAGTGTTCGTTTCTAGAATTTTGTTAACTCTTAATTCTTTTCCTGGATCACTGAAAGAGCTGCAGACCAGGTTCAGACCCTTGAAGATGTCAATGTATTTTGGTTCATCTTGCAGCATGCTCCTTTCATGCTCGATGGTCCTCACAATAATTCCGTATTCTTCTTCTATATCATAGCCCTTGACACCACTGTAAAGTTGTCTCATGCATCTTAGCGCCTTATCCTTATTTCCACGACGTGCATGAAACCACGGGGACTCTGGTATAAACATCCAACAAATGATCATGAGTCCAACTGGTGCCCATATGATACGCATTGCTAACAAATAATTATCAGGATGCTTTTGGTTGAGTTGTTGCATCATCACGGAACAGATAATGCCACCAATGTTACTCCTAATAACTGAATCAGCTTGGTTGCGGGTGGCTGGAGAGTCATTGGTGATAAAGAAGATTGAATTACCAAACAGCTTGGAAAGTAACCATGCCACCTCGGATCCTGTTCGGACAAATCTCCATGATGTAAACCTGGCATGTAACCCTAAGATATCATGAGCAAAGACTCTCGCAAATCTGATGTGGGATAAGTACATACTGGAGAACCCCAATACCAGCACCATTGCAAAGCTTAGCAAGGGCCTGTGGCGAGGTTTAGCATGCCAATCTTATCACTGATTCGAGTCGACCATTGTGACCTACCCAGACAGATGGACTCCTGGCAGTATTGAGAAATACACAGCCCTGAAACGACATGAGCTTATGCTGTGATATACCTCATAATTACAATAATCTTGTAAGCCAAGGACTTACAATGACAAGCCATGCCCATGCGACATAAAGCGACGTCTTTCGACCGAATCTGTCCGCAAACCTATTTCATGTTGTTAGGAGTCTTGCAGATCTGCAACTGACGCATCATAAGATGCAAGGTTTCCCCTCACCAGGAGATGTAAGTGAATGTCACCATTTGACCGACGTTCTAGCCTCAAAATGAGCAATCCATGTGGTGAGTGCGGTAGGAATGGGTTGAGAGACATACTAGAAGCGCACTCCAGGTGGAAACTATATCACTGTCAGCGCACCCTATAACAAGTTGATTATGTGTATAGCGTACCCCAAGTTGGATCAAGTGCTCTGACACCAGAGTCACCTTTGTTGCCAAACTGCTTGATGAACCCAGTGTTGGCGATAATGCTACCTCCTGCACCGAGCTGAAACATACAGTATTAGCTGCCAATCCAATAGCCATGCCCATAACCGTTTTCTCGTCTAAGTTGTATGCGACTCACCTCGAAACCTTCACAGACATAGCCGGTGTAAACAGCGAGTGATATGAGGATAACACGTTTGAAAGCCCATAACGTCTGTGGTATTGACAGCTCATCGAAGGTTGATTTTACAAGATTAGGGCTCTCGAATTCGTCAATTTTCATATTTATTTCTTCTGTATTTGTCGGCATGCTTTCAAGATGTGACGCATCCTCCTTCTCAGATTGCATAGTGGTAGCCATCTATATTGGACTGTCTTGACGAAAAGTTGTCGTAATTTTTGTATCGTCAAATTGTCCTCTTATGGCGAAGAGTTAGGGTCCACATTCTAGAAGAAGTACTCTATATATGTACGTTTTATTATAAACCGAGAGACCCAAGGTTTGTAGACATGAGAGTTTGGGAATGTCGTGAGGGGCTCCAGACTTCAAGGTCACCTAAGCTCAGTCCCTCGGTTACAAATATTCCGAAATCGAGGAGGGCTAGCCTAGCGCCTTAAGTATCTGTCAAATCATGATAGTGATGATATGAACAGCAGGCTCACTGAGTCGCAGGCGCAAGGCTTGGACAAAGAGCGGTTGTTGATGCTTTGTCAAAACCATTAGCGTCGGTCAAGAATACCCCGGACAAGGGAATGCGGGGCCCCAGGTTCTCAGCAAAATGGACTAAGGCACAGTCAAGTTCAGGTACGTAGATAGTTAAAAGTTAAAAAAAAATTCAGGAGATGATTACTGAACGCAACGGTAGGTATCAGCTAGCCAAAGTGCTAATAGTATAAGCATTTGAGAACAAAATAACCATTACGCAATAAACGAGGCCGATTATAATACGGTAGATCAGCATCGAAGCATCGAAATAAGCCGACCTGGTGATTTTGCGCTGGCGATTTTGCGCTGGCCATCAGCAATATGAAGTTTTCCGTCTATACAGTGGCCCTGTCCAATTGATTTCAGAAGGAGGTGCGGTGTAAGTTCTGGGAAAGATCAGACCTTAGTCTGGAGATCTTTACCATTTAGAGATGGACACTTGTAACTTTAAAAGCTGCCTCAATGACAAAGTAAAGGCACTAAAATGTTACATTCTTGCATAAAACCTCTACAAGCTCTGCTCTCGGCATGATATTGACCGAAGTAGAGCGAACGACAAAGCGTTAGTGCTGACAGTGCACAGAGCACTCGATACTACCTTCCCAAATAGTCCTAATGAAGAAACAAGGTATCATTGTTTAGGGAGAAAATTTAGGGAAATGCTGTGCTCATTTATTTTAAGCTCGAAGAAAATCTAGTAGGTTGTACTGTAGAGATGAGATTCACTTTTGATAACCTTAAAGGCGTATCATGTCTAGTATAGTAGGGTAAAAGTGAATGATGACACATCATGAAACACATGAATATTGCTAGATATTTTTAGTTCATAGTCTCCACTCCCTGATGCTTGATGACTATACCAGGGTCGCATATAAGAAATTGGCGGTAGATAACTTGGTATATATAGAGCTGGCTGATGACACTGCCTATCAGCATTTGAATAATACTTGCATTAATATATTTCCATTCACCATGGCCTCTAAACGCATGGCATTAGTGGCGCTCACAGCGCTTTTGGGTACTATGCCCACAGCGGGTGCGGTAACACTCAACGTTTCTACCGAAGGTGGCAATGCGACGAGTTCCATCATGTATGGCCTTCTCTACGAGGTCTGTCATTTCGTTCAATCGACCATTGAGTAGAAAGCTAATTGTCCTCCAGGACGTCTACCACTCTGGTGACGGAGGCTTATACAGCGAGCTAATTCAGAACCGTGCATTCCAAGGCACTTCTGTTAATAACAATCAGGGTCCCTATCAAACTCTTCAGTATTGGCACACTGGTGGATCCGATACTCTAACCCTTGACAACGATGCCCCGCTGCTGACCAGTGCGCTTCCATGGCACATGCGAGTTGATGTAGCCAGTGACGCAACTGGCCAAACTGGATTCTGGAACGAGGGATATTGGGGTATGAATGTGACAACAGCAAGTACCTATAACGCAAGCTTCTACATTAGGGGCAGCTACACAGGCGAGATGTTAGCTGCCTTTTGGAGTAATACGACAAACTCTATGCTTGGCAGCACGTCTTTCAACGTCAATCAGACTGAAGCAGACGGTTGGGTATCTTACTCACAAACTTTCGTACCAACATATTCCGGTCCAGACGAAAAGAATACATTCCACATCACCTTCGAAGGATCCAATGTTGCAGGTGGAAGTATCCGCTTTCAAATGATTAGCGTCTTATCGCAATCATTTAACGGCTCTCCGAATGGATTGCGCATGGATCTTGCCGAGGCTGTCAATGAACTCAATGGCAAGTATCTCCGCCTGCCCGGTGGAAATAATCTAGAAGGAATTGCTTCTCCATACCGGTGGAAATGGAATGAGACGATTGGACCAATCATTACACGCCCTGGACGTCCAGGTACTTGGGGCTATGTCAATACCGATGGACTTGGACTTCTTGAAATGATGCAGGTTGGTAAAGATCATTGTTCAATGTAATTTGCACAAGTCTGACAAACAAAATTTAGTGGTGCCTTGATATGAATCTTGAGCCTATCCTCGCTGTGTGGGATGGTTTGTACCTTGATGGAGAGATAGTAGACGAGGCAGATTTACAGCCATACATTGATGATGTGCTCAATGAGCTGGAATTTCTGACGGTATTTTATTCCACCATCCTATCATGTGAAAAGCTCTACTAAAAATTTAACAGGGGCCCTCTACATCAGAATGGGGTTCCAAGCGCGCGTCCTTGGGATATTCCGATCCCTTTACAATCAATTATCTTGAAATTGGGAACGAGGACTTCCTCAATGGGGGCATTCCTAGCTACTTAGGTATGTCATACTGATATTCTTGTCATTTTGGAAGTGACGTTTACCCATTTATTCAGCATATCGTTTTAGCATGTTCTATGACGCAGTCAAGAACGAGTATCCCAACATGAAAATCATTTCATCCATCTGGGCAGGATATTTCACAGATTCATCGCTTCCTGTCAATGTTATTCAAGATCTCCACGACTACTTGTCAGCAGATGATATGGCTGCAAAATTCAATGGTTATGATAATGCTCCTCGTACTTATCCCGTTTTGGTTGGCGAGTATGCCGCCATCTATGATGCCCAGCATACCAGTCCCAATCAGCTCGACAATCCGACATTGCAATCTGCCACTTCTGAAGCTGTATATTTCCTTGGATTGGAACGAAATGCAGACCTCATCGTCGGTATTTCCCACGGCGCGCTTATTAAAAGTTTGCATGACGAGCCGGACAATGTTGCCATGATCAAGCATTCCCCAACTTCGATAGTACGGTCAATGAGTTACTATGCAGCAAAACTATTTGCAACCAATTTTGGTTCAGAAACCGTCGAGGTGACAGGTGATGTTGCATATGGGCCGCTGTATTGGGCTGCCACGAAGAACGATTCCGGCACCTTCTTCATTAAGATTGTCAATTATGGTGGTGACTCTTCGACAACAGTTACCGTACTCGTGCCAGGGAAGACCAATGTAGCCACATTGAAGACCCTGAGCGCACCGGACATGTATAGCACGAATACCCTGGGAGATACTCAAAGTATCTGGACGGAGACACAGATCTCAGTGTCTGAAGGAGGTTACTCATTTACATTGAGTGGAGCCTACATCATGGCCGTTTTGGTTGTTTAGGCCGATACCATATTAGTACTGACAGGTCAATAATGCTTTACGTGTGAATTATGATCAAGAGCCTCATTTGAACGGATTAAGAATCGCTGGGCGTCTGAAGTATATATATACCATACTCTGGAAACACAATCCAAAAGTCAGCTACTCAGCCACTAGTGCAGTGGAATATAAAATTTGAGCTAATTGTAATTTTATGACGTTAATATGAACAATGGAGTGCCGAGTATAAGCATATTGCTCTGCATGTTACGCGGTCATCTACATCGTTGTGAGAGCCTTAGGAACTGGCAATATTCCTTTGGTTTGAACTACTTGTTCAGTAAAATGCAATTTAAGCTCCCAATGATAAACTAAAATGGAAATGTTAAACTTCTAGTCGAAATGTTGAACGAGCAAATTCTGCCTTTGGAGGCCATTCCGCGGGCTTGTAGGGGCATGAAAACTCATATTTGCCGGACCCAACTTGAATGCTTTCCTCTTCCACCTCTTGTTGATTTTCTTTCCAAGCAGAGGGTAAAATGACTCTGGCTTCTGAGTTGGGAGGAATGATGATGGTAAGGGCAAACGTGTCATCTGACTCGTTGATGCTCCACGAACATTCAATGCGACCATATGGGCTCTGATGTGCTACTTTAGCGTTTCTGAGAACTCCGCCTGGAACCGGTCTCACTTGGATTTTTCGCCATCCAGGATCCAATGGACTGATTCCCCCAACGTTCTTATGCAGCCAATTGGCAACAGAGCCCAATGCGTAGTGGTTAAAACTTGTCATATCTCCCGGGTTGATCGAACCGTCCGGAAGCATACTATCCCATCGTTCCCAGATAGTGGTCGCACCCATTGTGATTGGATAGAGCCAAGACGGGCATTCCTTCTCCAGAAGCATGCGGTAAGCCAATTGATGATTTCCCGTATCTGAGAGTGCATGTGCAATCACAGGGGTTCCGGCAAATCCAGTTGCAATTCGGTACTTAGCCAAGTGAACCAAATGGCATAGACGACTCGCAGACTTTACAACATGATCATCATTGTCAAACAGCCCAAACGATATTGCAAGTGAATGAGCCGTTTGAGTGTCTCCCACAAGGAGACCCGATGGTGTGACATATTCGTATTGGAATGCCTTTCTCGCATTCGACTCGTCTTTGGCGAAGCGAGTTGCGTCCTCCGTCTCACCAAGCAAATGGCTAATTTTGGCTATGATACCCAGTACTCGGACTAGGTAAGCATCGGCAACGTACAGACTATCAGTACGACCTACTCCTGGCTCGGACGGAGGAGAAGCAGGATCTAGCCAATCGCCAAATTGCCAGATGTTCTGATCCCAAAGACCATTTGGTCCTCGCTTGATTCCTTTATCCACCCAGGCTTTCATACTCTCGTATTGCCTACGGAGAATTTCGATATCGCCAGAGCTATTGTATAGATCCCACGGCGTTAAGACAGTCACGTCGTGCCAAACGGACTGCGGCCCTGGTGGATTGGGCGGGTTGTCAAATACATCTGGGACCACTAGTCCTGGAACTCCGTTCTTCGAGCTTTCTAGTTGTTCAGCTGCAACATCTTCGAGCCAACTTCCAATGAATCCACGGGTGTTGAATAAAAAATTCGCTGTTGGACTAAATACCTGTATATCGCCGGTCCATCCCAATCGTTCGTCACGCTGTGGACAGTCAGTGGGTATGGATAAGAAATTCCCTTTCATGCTCCAAACAACGTTATGATGAAGTTGGTTGAGGAGTGATTCGGAGCAGCTAAACCATCCCGTACGAACCATATCACTGTGCATAACAAGGGCCGTGATGTCTTCGCGGCGGGGAAACCCTTCATCTATGGGCCATCCATCTATCTGGACGTAACGAAAGCCATGAAAAGTAAACTTGGGAGACCACGACCAGGGCTGCCGGCTGGATAAGACAACATTGTCAACGGGCTTGGCTCCTCTCAAAGGTCGCCTTCCGAGCTCATCAGATTCAAGCACTTCAGCGTGGCTGATTGATATCTTTGTTGTCCCTGTTGCTGCCGGGAGACGGACTCTCAATTTTCCGACTAAGTTCTGCCCAAAGTCCAACAAGGCTTTTCCAGACTTTGACTTGAAGATCCGAACAGGGGTTTTCACTTCCATGATCCGCACAGGAGGTGAGTCTGAGGCCAGTGGCCTGGCACGAGGGAAGGGTAGTTGCACGGTTGGCAGCCAGTCGTGTTCGTTTAGATTCGGGTCGTCATTCCAACCCCAGTGCTCCTCGCGGGAATCGTAATCCTCGCCATCATAGATTTCACTGCGAGTTGTCGCACTTGTATTAGATTTCCACGTAGTATCAGAGTTAACCAAAACCTTTTCAACCTGCTCGAAGGTGACTTCTAGCTGAGCTAGAATTGCCAAGTGATTCCCATAGAAATTGCGTTTTTGGTCCATTCCCAGGCGACCGGCAAACCATCCTTCACCCACTTCAATACCAAGCACGTTGCGATTTCCCTCGATAAGCAGCGAAGTCACATCGAAAGTCTGATAAAGTAGCCGGTGATTATAGCTAGTCCAACCAGGCGCCATCTCCTCATTGCCGATTCGATGACCATTTACATAGGCGTGGTAAACACCATGAGCAGTGATGTAAAGACGGGCTTTCTGGATCGATCCTGCGTGTAGCTGGAAGACTTTTCTGAAAATCAAGGGACGCATGGGCGTATTTTTCATGTCCGTATGCGTGGAGGTCATTAGATTTGCTATCCAATCTCCTTTATCTAGAAGCGCTGCTTCAATAATTGACTGCTCAGACCATGCAGTGCTTGCTGTTATGACTTCGCCTGCTGCGTTCGTCGCTTTTCCATGAGCCATCACTTTCACCCAGGCACGTTCTCGGGAACAGAGAGCATGACTGGGCCAAGGTACCAAAACTGAAGATGAGCTTTCCACACGATATGTTTCAATATCATTCTGTCGACGGATCTGTATCTCGTAAGAAGATTGCACCCAATCTTTGACGTTGTCGTCATTACAAGAGAAACTCCATGAGATCCGAGGACGTTCGTATCCCATCCCAAAGCCAGTAGGGTGATGCTCAAAAGTGACCGAAGCAATGTGAATCACGGCCATGGCTGAAGAACCAGGGTATGTCAAACGTGTTCTGTGTCAAAGACGATTTTAGTGATATCAAAGTTAGCTTTAGTCATCAATATTCCCTTCAAAAGACAATAATGCGACTTTAAATGCTTCCCTTGGTAGGTTGGTAAGTGTTGACGTGGGGTTTGTAGCACAGTATGCAGAGCTTACTGTACTAATTTGACCTTGGTAATAATATGATAGTTATGGCAAGCTTTGAAACCCACTGATCTCATGTACATAGAAAGGCGTAAATGCTAAAAATTTATTCCGGCATGCCTATTAGTGCAGAAAAGGGGAGTTCACTAATGGCGGGGGKGTCAACCCCGTAGCGAGGTCCTAGAGCATGATCCTCGGGGAGTCGGGGTAAGTTCATCCGATCTTGAAGTGGTTTGGGGGAATTTGTTGGAAGGTCGGCATAATAACAGAAGCTACTGAATCGCCCTCAACAATCCTTTGTGTGCATTTTTATTAGCATCGGTCACTGTATGAACGCCCAGAATCAGTTTTAAATAAATCTTTCTGCATCAACTAGTGACTTTACTTACAATACCCAGAGAAATTAGAGGCAGCCTTAAAAAATATCCAATACTCATAAAATTATCAGTTTACTACTTTAAAAGGCTAGACTCTCTTTAGATAACCTTTAACTTACGGGGCGAGAAGAGGCTCCAGACTTAATAATTACTATCACTAGAATACAATAGCGGCAAATAGTGGTTTGTTGCAAGAGCGTGGTGATCTGTAAGCCCGCTGTTATATCACAACCCATTGATATTACACTGTGACTTAAAAAGATTGATGAAAAACCGTTGTCATAGTATGGATATCTGATAAAAGTTAGCTCTATAGTAGTTAGTAATCTTATAGCAGTCTTACAGAAGGCTTCTAAGGCTTAAAGCTTTCCACGCTCACTATCTTGTGGAGATATATATACTCAAAATTATGCGAACCTAGCGCGCACCTGCGTACGTCCAAATAGATCTCACGTTCAAGACCTTAATTTGGTGTTTAAATTTGGTGTATAGATTCTATTTTCTATTGATTTGCGTTTATTTATAAATCCACGTACGAGGCCTTATTTTGGTGTCGAATTTGGTGCACGAATCCCCACCCCCCTCCTCTAATCCAGTTAACACGCGCTTATTTACGAATCTAGGCTTACAATCTTACATTGAAGGCCTCATTCTAGCATTGAATTTGGTGCGCGATTCCCCCCCCCC